TCTGAGAGCAAAACGCAATCGTTTATAATAATAATAATATATTCTCATTTTGTACATGAGAGACGTCAGTTTACAGGCATCATCAATATGATAAATTACATATACGATTAGCAATCATAATTAATAATAATGTTTTAATAAAATACACATTTTTTCCTACTTGTGTAGGACACACCAAACATGCAGGCATGGGTAAGCATTATTTAAATTTCATAAATTCGGTTTATGGTTAAGTTACATGGTTGCTGGCGTTTTTGTTTTAGGTCTGTGGGAACAATATGATAACCAGTCATTCAATGGAGCACGTCAAGAAATATAGGAATATTAACTTCGCATTATGACGAAAAGGCCTCAGCGAAGTGGATATCGAGAAAGCTTTATGGTGTCTAGTAATCGATATAAACTTGGTGAGTATGACAGCCTTCGTGGTGCATCCCCAACAGATAGGTTAAAAGCAGGAAGACAGACATGGTTGTGTTTTACACGTTTGCAAGAAGTGCATACAAGGGTGAACTGTGAGGAAGTGACTAAATTTAGTAGTATGTTAAATGTGAAATCAGCGTCATCAAGGTCTGACTCCGAATGGTGTGATAATAATGGTGCAGTGAGGAAGCCTGTAGTTGCAACTGGTAAGCCATCGTTGAATAGATTATCACAGACGACACCGCAGTTTGTGCAGAAGAAGGGAGTTATAGTCTCAGAGGACAGTTCTGACTCAACAAGTTTACAAGGTATTACTAGTCAGAGTGAAGGTATAAAATCTTTAAGAATTTGTGAGGAAGAACCCAAATCATCCACTTCTGTTATTAAAGAGTTTGAAATTGATGAAGTCGACTAGATAGATGACGGTAAATTGAATATTTGTGATAATGATCATGATAGAGCAGATTTGTCTTTGGTTGATCATGATGAAATGGGGGGAATGCCTACTACTGCTAAGTTGAACAAAGGTTCTGTACAACTTGAACGTGAAGTAGAATTAAGTGCGGATGCAGTTGCAGAAGGTATGGACACTCGTGAGACTGTCAGTGTAATTGATCAGCGTGTAGCCCACCTATTGTCAGATGCTAGTGCTAAACCGAAGCTAACAGTAAAAGGCAGCAGTGGTGTTAGTCTTACAGTTAGAAAACTTTGTGAAAGGCGAACAACAACAGCTTCTGATCCACCGCTAAGTTCATCAACTGATATCAATCAGTTGTCGTTGGTGTTGTCATCCACAATGAAAGGGACGCCCATCAACTCAAGTGTCTGTGTAATGACTAAGATAGTATTGGTACATTTGAAAGGACGAAAGATATTGCTCAGTTTAGTGAGGATAAGCCAAGTGTAAACGGGAGAGTAATTGTTAAACTGACTTGCATGAATAAAGGCATTTCAAGTTCCAAGTTACCATTTGAATGCTATTATCTTTGGTGTAAATTACTCTGTTTCTACACTTGGTTGATGAGATATGTCGTGTGTTTGTTCGTCATCTATATTCTACGATACAATGAAATGGGCGTGTTACCGTTCAGATTTGAGGATATAGCTGATAAAGGGAAGTCAGCAAATGAACTATACGACGATTTTACAACCTAGAGTGTCAACCTGAGAAGGGTGGTAAGCTCACTGCTGTAAGCCTTACAATTCTTCAAAGGATGGCACATCAATGAGCAGTCCAATGTGCTTGGTGTGTGATTTTGTACATATGTTCATATTGTATATACTGAATTGGTATCATTTATCATCTAGCTGTTGGTAATTCTGTTTGTGTCCGGACGACTTCCACTTGGATCATCAACCTGAGAAGGAATGTAGGCGTACTGCTGTAAGTCCTACAGTTCTTCAAGGGTAGTTTTTCATGCCGGAATCCACAACATTTGATGTGTTGATTGTACATATGTTTGTGTTAAATAATTGTGTGAGTTCCAATTAATGTAATTGTTGGTTAATCTTGTTTGTGTCCGTACATTCCACAACTTACAATCGTCAACGTGAGAAGGGTTGCAGGCGTACTGCTGTAAGTCCTGCGATTCTTCGAAGGAATTCCATGGAGACACGATCTGCAATTTTGTGTGTACTGTTTGTATATATGTGTGGTGTGTCATATCATTTGGTGTTTTTGGATTCATTGTGCTTTCTCGTAGTTTTCGTACCTTGTTGTTATTGCGTAATTTTGTTAAAATTTTCGTCGTGATTACTTCTGAATTTGTTTCTAGTCTTCTACATCCGTGAATGAATTGATTGATGTTAAGGACAGCAGATGGGTCGTATACGCCGGGGAGGCTAGGCTATTGCTGAAAATGACATGCATACGGAGATAATTGTTAGGTGCGGTCCCACACGCCGGGGAGAAAGAGTGTAAACGACTGAGGCTCTCATGTGTCACCGCTACTAGAACTGAGGCAGAATGAGTGACAAGCGATTGCAATGGTAATTGGCAGTGAGTAGATACGAGGACGTGCGTGGAGTATCATGAGTTGGTGCTATGGTCACGTTGCATTCTGCAAGAGTCATTCTAGCAAGTGGCGATTGTGTTGCAAGATGTCAAGAGGAGGTCTCTGTCTGGAGGCGCAGGTCGTCAGCGATGTGTGAGATTGTGCTGTGAGTATGCTTGTGGTGTGTTGGCTTTTCTGTTTGTTTTCCATTTCAGCTCTGTCTGTGTGACCCAGGTTCTGGCAATGGCATCCAAGTCAACGTGTGTTGGTCGTGATGGAAAAAAGGGTTGGATCCCTTTTTTGCCGGGGAGTGTCAATGTAGTTGAATATTGAACGATCAATTCATGGTTGTTTGCTCAAAATCAACTTCCCCAATATTCGCGGAGGCATCAATACGACAGTCATCGTCTCATCGGTCGCTGTTCAGAAAGAAGTCAGTAGCAAACCTTCAAAATTCACAGACCTTAGTTCAACTATTATTTTTATATGTTGGTGTAACAATAAATAATTCTCAAGCGGCCAATCGGTGTTTTGGTTTTTTCGTCCGTTATAACTAAGCGTTTCTTAAAACTTCTAGAAACAGCGTAGGCCCGAGCTTAGCAAGCGCTGGGCATTAACGATTTATGAGACGTGGATGACAGTTGCCGTTGGACAACCCGACAGGCATCAACGTAACCGGGAATGGGTTTTCTAAGAAGTGGCGAAAGTCCAAATGTTTATCTGAAATTTTACAAAAACATATTTCATTTTTAAGGCAATGATGCACATGTACAGACTCTATAGGGTGCGTACAGATTGGTGATCTGGTTGCCGTAGTATCGGATTTTTCTGGTAGGAAACAGTAGGCACTAGAATTAGTGCAATGGGTATCGTTTAGGAAAATGGGGCAGTTGGACATGTGGGGGTAATGACAAATAAAGAACTTCCCGTCATATTTAACACTAAGTTGTGTCCTCTGTAAGCTTCGGGGCATAAACTTCACTAGTCCTGGAGAAGAAAGGAAGGAGTCGGATTAGAGGAGTGCCAGGAGTTCTTCTGAGAGTTTTCGCTGCCTATTCGGCAGCGAGCATTAATTTTGGTGTGTGTAATTCCATGGGTTTATTGTGTCTGCGTAGAACTGACGAATGAAATTTGTTGTTCATGTCATATATCACTTAATTACATGTAAACAAAAGCTAGGGAGGGCTTGTCACTGAATTTTATCTGTAAACACAGATGCAGCATTAGAAGTATAGTCAAAATCGATCCCTGTCTATTTAACTGTTTTCGGAAAAGGATAGGCATGAAGACCACAAGTGCCTCGCTTGTGGAAATTGTCCGGAAAACTATTCTCAAAACTTGTCGTATATATCCTCGCAACAGGACTCAGTGTTTATTCACGATGTTTACGGCACAGTATTCACTTTTATCTTTAATAGTGCCTGACATAGTTGCCAGAGAAGATGAGCATTAAGCAAAGTGAGAATTGCTCTTTTCTTCAGCATTCAGAAGCAGTTAGGTGTCACAAGAAGGTGTACTGAGATTACCTTAATTTGCAAGTGGAAAATCAAGGCTCAGAAATATCCTTTAGTTTCTTATGCCGATAATGGAGAAGTTTATTTAGTCAAATGAGGGAGATAGGACGCGACTAAACTGCCTTTCGTAGCGTTACTGATGAAACGGAATTTCATTTATCTGGAGCAAAAACATAACTTTATTAGTTAAGTGCATATATCGCTTAGCAAAGCAGTATTATTCATGCGATAAATTTTAGAATACGATTTATGTGTCATGGTCACATCGACTGTAAATGCATTACTCCAAACCTTGGCTTTTCTAGTTCTAGTTCTCTTTTCCCATTTGTCATACCAGTAGCGAAGTTATACAGATGAGAGGGATAGGTATGGCATAATCCCTCTTTAATATATTCTCAGATTACTGCTTCAAAAAGTCTCTGTCTTCCACCTCCGTCTAGAAGACGTTCTCAAAGACAAGGAGCGTGAATAAGATGGTATTCACGCGATCTATCATTTGTTTTCTGCCAGCCGAATAAGAACAAGCAATAACCCGTAAAAAGAGAGTAAAATTGTGATTGAAAAACAATCAAGAACGAAGTTCTCTTAAGAAGAGTGATCTATTAATGTAGCATTTCCAAGATATATGTTTAAGAAACTATCAGGGTTCGATCCCCTGCTGACGCACACCTGATATCTATGGTCGACCTGCAAAATTTGGGATACCATTATCCATGCTGAAAATTCCATACTTGTATAAAAATTACAGTGTGGAATCAAGCTGTAATCAAAAATAAAAAACAAAATAAAAAAATCATGTTAAGCCCAATGTTTTCCCTCCCGTTCTAAACTTTTGAAAATCAGACGTCAAAGATATTCATTTCTTAGTGATTTTGATGTCTGATCTCCATCGAAAGTGCTAACAGTTACAGCCGAATGCTGAAGTTGATCGCATTTCTATTATTCGTTTTAATGCTTCGCATTACATTGACTTATCTGGGCGGGTTTACAAATTGGGGTAAAATGTTTATGATAAATGACTTTGCCAGCTATATGATCCATAATCACTTAAGATGACTATTTGTTCAAAATGCAGGATAATAAGAAAGAAAAGGAAAATACTCAAGAACTTTCAGTGGGCATAGAAGTTACTCTTTTAGACGGGAGACTGGAAAAGTTTTGTCTTTCTGTGAGTTTTTATGTGTGTCTTCACCATCAAATGATTTGCACACTATCTTCTAATCTGACTCCATTACGTTTTGCGTATAAATGGAAACCTTTTACCTTAATTCGACTTCCAGGTTCATAAAATTCAAAAGAATATGTCATATTTGCATGCCTTGAAGAGAAAAATAAAAAACAGTCTGTTTCACTGAAACATGTTTCTGTGACTGTTTTCCCCTTTGTAAATCTGAATTTTTATGATGAATTTTTTGTGGCAATTTACTTGTTACAATTTAAACTCACTTGAGTAACAATTAGTGTCTCCTAGTGATGATCAAGTTATGTCTTTTTTGCCTGAATCTCAAATTTCGCACAGCTAGTTAAGACACTCGAGGGACTTACATTTTCTGAGTACATATAAACGCACTGTAAATTTTTTTTACGAAACGCTAGATTGTATGAGGTGGTGGTTTTGCACATGTCTACGTACTCATCGAAAACTTGACTTCTCAGGCGTACTCATGTGTGAACAAGTTGAAGCATGTAACATCAAGTGGAGGTTTAATGTGCCAATCAACATCAGTCCTAGTCTTAAGTCTTAAAAATAGTTTTGAGAAATTATCTATTACTTCCTAAAGAGTGGTTAATCACTCAAAGTGTATGATTTTCCAACGAAACCTTCCTAAATTTACTTCAGCAGTGTTCAGATTTATACAGCCAGAGAGAGTTCATATAGGCCGAACATATTTTATTCTCAACCGAAATTCTGCATTTATTTTTATTACTAGTTAGTTATCACAAATAGCTGAAGCCGTCATTCATTCTTTTATCAGAAATACTTCCGACTATAAAAGGCCAAGTTTCTCTCAATAGCCTTACTGGGCATCTGTCTTTAAGCGTGCGAAAACTAGTTGAACTACTAGCTTATTATTGTGTCATAAATATCTCCTTTCGTTGCATAGTAACAGTATGACAACAACGTTTCTTGATACTTGCCTTTAGTTTTTCCACCTAATTATCCGTAGTCTAGTTAGAAGTGGGCTTCAATTCTGGTAACATTCCCAGTCATACTAATTACATTTTTATGTTTTGAGATTCTGTTTCAATAAACAAAAGTTGTGATTTTAGCCAGTGTGATTCTGAGCATAATTCTCATTCCTCATAAATATTTACTACCAAGTGTCGTGAATTTACCGGCATTGCAGCGATGGGTTTTATGAATCGTAATTTATATATGTAGAGATCTTAGTAAAAGTGCTAGATTGAATTTATTAGTATTTATATTATGATTTGTCTCAGCTAAAGTTTAAGATAACAAAGTTGACTTGCTATGTCCTTACTTCTCTTTTGTTTGACATAGGAACGTTGTTTGGGTCAGGAGTTATTTACTTTGGTTATTAAAAAAATTGGCTTTTTCGAGTATGAGTACTTTGGATTACTTTATACTGATTTTGAAGGCAATCGGGTGAGTTTTATGTCATGAAAACATTGCTTTTGTATGCTCTGCAATGATGAAGTAACTGTAAGATTTTTAGGTAACTTTAACTTGGATGTGAGTAGTGTCAATAATATTCACCGTAAACATGTCACTGAATTTGAATTTTAAGTTTCCCTAAGAATAAGTATTTTCTCGTTGAAAATCATATATGACAGAGCTTGAGACCTTTAGTGGTATTACAGATGTGCTTAGTAGTTTTCGTCGGATACATTACGACACTGTCGCATTTTTTATTTTACTAATTTTTCTAATGTTCTGATGGTTCTCTAACTCGTAAATATAAATCTAATCCTTACAAACCAACTTTTGAAAATTAAACTGATGCTCGCCAGTGACTTGCTACGGGACGGATTTTCCTGGAGTTCTAGTAGGAAGTTGTGACCAGTACGGTTCATCCAGTCACGTGTGAGAATGGATGTCCCACCGACGAAATTGAATGGTGGCCGCGCTAAATCACGAATTGGTAGAAGTTAGAATCCATGGGCTTGCCATTGAATCGGGTCCCAGTGGCTGAATGGTATATGAGCTTGCCTTGTGACCGTTAGATTCTGGGTTCGAACCTCATGTAGTCGATGCGTACTACTGATGAAACAGCTATCCACTTTTCCAGTACTAGGTTCTGTTACTGATATCAACCCGTGTTCAAACTCGTAAAAGCAAATCTGATCCTTACAAATCAACTCTTGAAAATCTAACGCTATAACTTATTTTCACTCTTTATTCTTGGACGAATCATTACTTAGAAAAAATCCACAGGTAACGAAATCTATTTTCTTTTGCTGAATGTTAAAGCCACTTGATGCGAAATGATGTCCAGACACATTTTTAATACAAATGTTCAGATCTAAAGGTTACCTTCCTTCAGGCATTACCTAGTGATACAGCCAGCGGCTTCTATACCGCGTTTTTCATATGGAATCCAATAACATATACCAGTTGATTACCATTTAGTTGGCATTTACCTTAAAAATTTGTTAGTATTACTAAAATCAGTAATATGGTCCCAATTTGCACCGTTTACCCTAGAAAATTTATGAAACTCAGTAATTCATAAAGTTTACTTTTCATCTCTTTATACATACGCCTTTCGTAGTTAAAAGTGCAACTACTTTCTTTTATGTTATATTTTAGTGTTGGATCGATAATAACAAACCACTGACGAAAGTTTTAAGAAATTCAAGTGCCAGGCCACTAGAGTTCTTATTCGCTGTTAAATTCTTTACACCTTATCCAAACCTTTTAGAAGATGATCTAACACGGTAGGTTGTTGATTACCTTGATAAAAAAGTTTTTGTTGCATTCAAATGGATCATGGATATATTCCACTTTATGTACCTTTTCTCTTCTAGGTATTTGTATGCACTGCAAATAAGAAATGACTTTTTCCAAGGTCTCCTACACAGTAACCGTAACACCAGTCTTCTGCTTGCAGCATTCATTGCACAGTGTAAGTTAATTATTGTAGAATGTGCCACTAATTTTTGTTTATTTTTTTCTGCTGAATTCGATTGCACCTGTTTCCCATATTTTTTGTTGAAGTTCGAATTTTAATTAGGATAAAGATAATGCAAAATCTACCATCATTATCTCAGTTACTTTGAACATTTGGCATGAAATACCACTTGATCTGTTTGTTAAAATTATTACATTGAATTTCTTACTAACTGATGTTCTTGACTGAAACGCTCAGTCACTGTTAACTTGTCAACCCGTAGTATGAATGTTTCAACGTTTCCGTAGCGTTAATGTGACGCCACTTGTTTTTGTATCGGCTAGTAGTGGGATCCATGAAGTGCATATCCAATCCATTTTGGACTTATCAGCCACATTTACCTGCATCAACAGTGAATAGTAACTTTTCGGCACAAATATCAAAAATCAACAAACGAATCTCGTTACACCAGAAGTGTATCTTGTCAACCACTAGCTTATTTAATAATGCTTCGTTGTTTGAAACGATAGACAGTCTGGTCGGAGTGTCGATCAGAGTATTATCATTCATTGATGTTGCAGTTACATCCAGTTGATGGGTTACATATGGAACTTTGTTCCTTGTTTCCAGTGCTAGCCACTACCAATTAAATACCATAATTTGATTTATTCTACATACACCTCGCCTAGATCACTAGCTCGCTAGTTTTCTAGCCGGTCCCAAGCCCGGATAAATAGGGAGGGTAGGGGCGTGGTGCTAGCAACTCCACCCCCAAAACCTAACCAAATTCAACGCACAAGTTTACATACACACATAAGTATAAAAACAAATCGGACATTCACATAGTATTTTTTCTTGTAAGATGATGAAAGCTACTAGTGATGCTTAATATGCTGAAAACTAAAACCCACAGTCATCTTCACGAAGAGCTTAGCGGGGTGTTGTGAGTCTAGATCGCAAGCTTGTTCGTATTGAACATGGGAATTATCATTTAACACAAAGAAGGTGAATCTCTTTCTGCTTCCAACATGAATCGTTCAATGTGATGACCATAGAAATTATCGTCGAATTGGTCAAACTCGGTTTACAGTTTTTATGTTAAGCGATACGTGATGTCGTTTTAAGAACAAGTAACTTATTCTTTATTCGATTGCTTATAAAATGCAGAGATGCTGGTTACTGCTCGGAACTTGAATTGATGTACAGTTTTACGTATATTGGTTGACTGATTTATAAGAGTATGTTTTCAATAGAACATGAGAATTCTCTAAGCTTGAAAACATGTCTTTGTGGTAACTGTCAACGACTACACAGTTGTTTGGAATTTTAACCGTTACTTTCGAGAGTTAACTACTAGTTAACTGACAAAAGGTATTCTACATTTAGCATGTAACTGAAATCTGGTGCAGAAATTACTTCGTGATCAGTTAAATCCCTTCAAGAATAAGCTGACATCGGGTTAGGAATATGATTATTTGCTGTATGCATGTATAAAAGTTAGATCATTCAAGTTAAACTTCGCCGTGGATTATCAGAAACTAATAAACATGATATACAACGTTTTCTCTTAGTGGTTTGATTTCAAGATAAGGTTTAAAAGCGATAGGTTGGATCCAACTAGTGAATATTGAAAGGCTAAGAGGCATTTACTATTCGATAATTTATGCAGTTTTACTGATTTTCTGACTGATATCCCCTTTAAGATAAAAATGCCTTTAGTTCCGTTCAATTCACAATAGTAATCACTGCACTGAATTATCGAAATGCGTTTCTCTGCTTTTCATTAAATAGCTCAACTGGGTGATTTTCAAGAGACAGAATGTAGATCTTATGCCTACTTGAAAAAACATCATATGTTCAGAACAGCTCCTGATTCTTACCTAATGCGTCTTATGGAACTTCATCAAACGTTAATGTAAGTTACTTTTTACTACATTGAGTGTTTTCATCTTTCTAGTGTTGGCTTTCAGGGATTTGGTTTATCTCAAGACTGATCACAAAGTGACTTCAGTCAGAAAACCATTGAAAAACAGGAGTACTAGATAACTGTTTTGTCCTAGTTTAAAACTCTTAAATAGTGTTTACAAATGGGCCTACTCAGGGCCGAACCCAGGAACTTCAGGTTACGAAGCGAGCTAGTTATCTGTTCAGCCACTGACTCGTGAATTCTAACTTCTGCTAATTCCTGTAGTCTTAGACGAGTAAGACTTTCGTAAAATGTCCATGTATTGCCAATAATCCCATTTTATTAAAATTTCGAATCCTTTATGTATGTTTCGGCACATTTAAAGAGTTAAACCTGTACTTTTTCAACTCTTATAAATTGGTGTACTTTACTTACCTGAATATTCATATGTTGTTGATATGAGTGCTACTTTTTTATGGAGATTAGCGTTTGCATCGAAAAACTATTTCATATTTTTTTTCCCTTCACGTTCCCCAGTGGAACATAGGGCTTCAAGCTAGTGGCTCTTTATCAGCATTATTTCCGGTTTAGCAAGATGAAGGAATGCGTCAGCCGGGGATCGAACCCCGGACCATGTGCATGGTCGGCGAGCGTCCTAACTGCTGTGCCACCGACGCACTTCTTATGTAATGTGTGGTAATTCCGTAGCATATATCTAAATCTCATCTTAACTGTATTATTCTCAACCATATATCGCCTCTGGGTCCATAATTTTGCTTCGGTGGCTTATAGGTGGAATGCTCGCCGACCACGCATGTGTCCTGGGGTTCGATCCCCGGCCGACTCACTCCTTTACCTCGCTAAACGGATAATGAGACCTGTGAAGAGGGTAGGCTGGACATGAGGCCAGCAACCTCATCCAGTAAAAAAACACCACTGCTACCGAAACTTCAAAGCTCTAGCTTGCAGCTCTCTATTCCACTGTGTTTGTAAATGAATTAAAAAAATCCTGTTGCTGCTTTTCCATTAAGTTATTTTTCTATCCTAACTATCTTAACCTAAAATGACATCTTGTATTCTTTTGAACTGAAGTTTATTACGGGACAGGACAATCAGTAATTTAATTATAATTCATTGATTAAATTATCTAACTTGTTTACTGATGATTCATTGCTTTACTTACGTTCATCTGAAAAAAAAGTATATTGACAATGCGCATTTCTCTTTTTTTCTGTATTTAGAGGAATCACAAAATCAGAAGCTGATTATCGTCTTTTGGATGCTGCTCGAAAAGTTGAGCTGTATGGGATTCGTTTGCATGCTGCTAAGGTGAATGAATTTCTTTCTTTTTTTTACGATTACTGTTCAATAGGGCTTCTTTTAAAGAACTTAGATGCAGAATGTAAGATAAGGAGGGTAAGTTAATCGATGGTGTAGTGAAGCTACATTGACTAGGATGGCTAGGACATGTGTTGCGTATGCCAAGCTACCGTCTTCCTTACAGGCAATGTTAACTGACGTAAAATTTGGTTGAGAGAGAGTCAGAGTCAAACCAAAACCTGGCACTATCTCATGAAGTCTTTGACAGATGGTTTAAGCTAGCCACATAGAGAAGTATAAACCGCCTGATTGGGGAGGGGGAGCTTGGGATGCTAAGAGCCAGCTGCTGAAGGCTGTTGATAATATGGCTTAGACTCATTCACAATTTGTATTTTTCCATTTTACTATTCTTTCTTCCGTACATTTCTGTACACTATATTTAGTTTGATCTCTTTTTTCTCCCCTTTCACTACCACTGTGGGCTACATGGAGTGTGACCATTTGAGCTGCTGCACTTCTACACTGTATTCTCTGTTGAAACTCTATAAACCAGTTAGTTCTTGAAACTATTGCTAATAATCATATACTTTGCTTTCAACAGTGACGTTGAAGAGCACCATAGCAGTTGCACTAGTTATAGTCTGAATCAGGAATCAGTGTATTTTTAAACGTAGGCTGTTCATGACCAACAAATAAAAGTAGATCATATTACAGAAATGCTTCGTTTCAATATTTTACACTTCAAAAAAAGCACACTAAATAAAAAGACTTATTCTGGGAGCTACATCATCACTTATCAATAAGCCTCTGATAAAATTTCAGCTGATACCATCTTCGATGCAAGCAAGACATTCAGTTAACTATAAAAATGCTATTTAAAAGACTCATCAATATACTTTTATTGCTAAGGTGCTTTTAAATTCCTAATTTATAACAAAGTGGTTAAACCACAGCAGGTATAGTTAATCTAAATTTATGATAACTTCACTCAGTACTAAAATTAACTTGTGTTCATAACTAATACATTTTCAAGTAAAATGACTTTAAAATGCGAAAGTCATAGTACATTCGGCGGATGGTGTCTAGCAGTGGGAGCCAGGATGCCCATTTCGTCCTTTACTGGACTCGTCATCTGGTGAGTGTGACTGAATTCCACAGTGAGTCAGTGATGGTGTTCCCACTGAGGCTCGAACCCAGAACCCGTAGTTTCGAACGCCAAAGTGTTACTCACAAGTCCAGTTGAGTCACGAGAGCCACTTCTTGTGCAACGGGTATCAGTTATTATTTATTCCAGCTTAGACTTTCCGATTGATTGATTGATTGGACCGAAGTGTTCTGCCCCTGTTGACAAGTTGGTGTCTTGTGAGGAAGCTTCGACGATGTCTGTAAACACTATCACTCACTGAGGAATGCAGGCACATCCGGATCACGAGTTCCAAGTAGAACGAAATGCTCATCCTGAATTCTACTGCTAGTTACCATCCATCAAACTACTTCAGACATTATCGAAGCATCTGCACAAGGAGCTGGCATGTCATTAGTGGTCGCGAACTTCAGTTCAATCAAACAACAAGAAAGTTCAAAGTGAATTAAATAATATTTGCCATTTGTTTGGATTTTGACCTGGATCTTTAGAACATTTTTAAACTCTTAAACATATATATCTTTAAGGTTAAATAGTTGTTCGAAATATCATTTATGGATCTAAAAACACCAATGTTACGTATTTTATTTTTTTCATACCTAATTTCCTGAACTGTGTACCCGAAAGACATTACAATGATCTGTAGCTTTGGAAAAGTGAAATCATAAAGTCAGTTAGAATATCTGAGTTTACTAATCTAATATTTTTGTATTGGCATAGAAAATAAAGCCGTCATTAACCTCACTGTCTAGATGAAACTGTAAAACAATATGAAATAAGAAAGATCTTTAAATCACTCCTGAAAGACCAACATTCATCTGTCCTTAATTAAATTTGAGATTTCCCCATCGATTGATTGGACCGAGCACTTCGGCCCAGACATCGTCGAAGCATCTGCACGAGAAACCGATATGTCGACCTGAGACCGAGCACTTCAGTCCAATCAGTCGACGGAAAAATCTCAAATTCAATTAAAATAATATGACCCATTGCACAAGCGGTGGCTCTCGTGGCCCAAGTGGTCTAGTGGATAATGCTTTGGCGTTTGAAACTATGGGAACTTGGTTCGAGTCTCGGTGGAAACATCATCACTCACTGGGAAATACAGGTACATGCAGCCGACCACGAGCCCCAAATAGGACGAAATGCGCGTTATCCTGGATTTCACTGCTAGTCACCATCCATCAATCAAATTCATCTGTCGTCTTTCCATTAGATAAACGTACCATATAAAACTAGATAGTTGGGAAATATCCCCTACCAGTAAATATTTGGTGTCATTACTGTGTCTTGAGAACAAAATCCGAAAGCTTTTCTCTCGATAATTCTCATATTCGGTTGTGTTAGATGAACATTAAATTAAAAGATGAAATGACAGAGTTTGGGTGAAATTTTTTCCGATAATAATGATGATAGTAATAGCTTTATTCTAAACAACGTTTATACAATGTACAGAGTTTTCAGCAAACTTCACTGCATGATGTTTTCTCTTCGTTCAAGATCTTCAGATAACAGATTTGATTGACAATAGACTGTGTGACACAGTTCTATCTGACCTGAAAGGCCAGCCAATCCATGATGATGTTTCTTATTTTTCTCCCTAAATAAGTACACGAAATTTTGTTGAATGCCAATCATAAAAATTTCAGGAGTACATTTGTGAACCAAAGATACAAACCAAAAACATTTATTTCATGTATTGTGATAAGCTGCCGTTCAGGATAATGCTTTTCCTCGAATTTAGCAGAAACTTGTGAAACCTCAGGTTGTAAATGTTTTGAATACTCACCAGAGTCATATTTTATTAGATTTAAACAAATAGAATAAAATGAACTATGCGCAATAAATTGATGGAAGTTTCCAGTAGCCCAAGTTTTAAACAAGCCGCCAAACTACTTTGTAACCTAGACATGTCTTAGTAAGGTCATTACCAGTGCAGAAAGCTTCTAATTTCAATGTTGAATAATGAAGACAACAATATTTTGGACAATGTACGCTGATTTATGACTCTAAATATGCCTTGTTAATAAGTACTCAAAAGTGACCGAAACTCAATCCACGACGTAATAATGACAGGCTCCTTACATTTCTGCCAACTTTTTCACTCCGCTCCAGGTTTGTCCACATGCTTTCATCTCCTCTTCACATGACCTCCTCCAAGTCACCTCACCATCGCACTGACGACCAACTCGCGGCTTCCCTTTCGAGTTCCACTCGAGCAGTGGCTTGTCTAGTGATGTCACTTGATGGTTTCCTCAGCGTATGGCCGATCCATCTCCATTTCTTCCTGCCTATTTGTTTCACAATCGGTTCCTAGTTGGTTCGGTCATTGCCAGAGATCCCTGTCGCTGATCTTTTCTGGCCATCTGATCTTGAGTATTGAGCGACGACAACTGTTAATGAAGGTCTGAAGTTTGTTTGAGATGCTCTTTATGACGCGCCAAGTCTCTGATCCGTAAAGCAGCACTGACTTCACATTGGAGTTGAAAATCCGGATCTTATTTTTGATGCTGAGTGGGGCTGTTGAACTCCACACAGACTTAAGGGTAATGAAAGCTTGCCTTGCTTTTCCGATTCTGGCTTTGATATCCTCGTCAGTTCCGTCCGCCTGTAGTTGAAACTATGCTCCCCTGGTAAGTAGGTAAAGGAGGTTGTTTCTTTCAGGTTCCTTCCATTTATGCTGGCTGATTGTTGTCTGTTGTTGTTGGTGGTGGTGTTGGCCAAGAATCTTCATCACCTCTGTTTTATCTATGTTCACTTGAAGTCCTATCTTTGATGCTTCTTCTGCCAGCTTGTTACTTTTCACTTGCATATCTTCCAGTTTGTGGGAAATCAGACATATATCGTCGGCGAAGTCCAGATCATTATGCATAATATTAATTGGAAATCTATTGACTTTTTGTAGTTCTTAGATAATGATTCTACTATATGTTTCGATTGTGTAATAAGGGTCATTATTAGGCGACACAACACTATTGGAATTTACTTTTAGAATATTCGATTTGACAGTTACTTTAATTTCATTTTCTCCAGATTTTATTGAAATCGTTCCCTCAATTTGTATTATATATTTATCGATATGTGTCTTCAGTTAAGTGTAATACATTCAACAATGCTTGTATTAGATTTAACAATGAAAATAATTAATTCTGTAATTGTTCCCTTTGTGCTCATTATTGTCCATAGTACAAAAAAATGGAGATAAGAAACGGTAATTGGTTTTCAACACTTTCTAGCTAATAGTGTAATCCATGATAATAATATAGATGATAAAATGTGATCTGTTCAATTCATTTCAGAGTATGGAAGATAGAACAGTGAATATGGGAGTTAATCATATTGGCATAATGATATTTGAAAAGTTCTCTCGTGTAAATACCTTCAATTGGTCAATGATACGTAAACTTAGTTTTAAACGTCGCAAATTACTACTTAAGCTTCATATGGAAGCGTATGTAAGTCAGTGTCTTTATTTTGTTTTCAAGTGTTAATTATTTTTCACCACGGCTTGATATTAGTTAGGCAACCATTGGAAACCAGGGAGTACTGAAATGCCTTTTCGTCCTTGCTAGGAACTCTTCAATGGTACACAATTGCGTCCACACCTCTCAGGATCGAACCCAGGACCTTCAGCTTACGAGGCGAGCTCATTCACCATTCAACCACTGGAACACACTCCGACGGTCCGTGAATTCTAACTTCTGACAGTTCATGAATTTTAGCGCCCCTACCAATGAATTTCATCGCCGGCTATTTATTCTCTCATGACCTGGTCGGCCCCAATGGTCACCACTTCTCACTAGGACCCCAGGCAACTTCGTCTTGCACTGAGTCACTAATAAGCCAAGATTTAATGAGTCTGCATATCGCTGATACTGAAACCACAATGACAATTCATTCCATAAATATGCTGTTCGGTCTTGCGTTAGAACTTGTTTCATATTTCAGTATGAAGTGGAGCTGAGCCTCACTTGAAACTTCAAATTATGACTATAAAATTATAAGGAAAATCTTATTTATGAAAGCAAAATGTTTTGCTTTGAAATGATGGAGACAGTTGACGGAATATTCTACTACCAGATTGAACCTAGTTGTTCATATTTTCTAACTTTTAGAGTCCGCAGTATTTTAGATAGTTGGAGGTGTTCAGCAGGAAACTTTGTTCCTGGGTTTCTTGCTTGCTGAAACTCGTCAGCAAGGCCTATCTGCAGTATAATGCGACTCCTATTCAACTATGCTAACAATGTCAGTCATAAATTTTATTCTGTAACTCCTGGGATCACCTGTAGATATCAATCTAGTAATCATGAGTAACTAACTAAGCAACTATATCTTCACAGATCCAAACATATAATCACGTTTACTTACGCGAAATGCTGCATATGCTAACCATATTCCATAATTATTTTAAGTTGTTTATGCAAATAATTATCGGACATCTTTATTGTAATAGTTAATAAGCTCTTTCACCAGTATACTGAACGGATTAATCCCATTCGTTTCATGTAGGAAGTAATAAACCTTATTCGTCCTGTTGTCACATTGCAGCTGAAGGAATCGGCTTTAGGGTCGATGCTGTTTTCATTCTTTTTCTTTCTGAGTGCAACATAGGGCTTCAAGTGTAAGCTTCGAAGTTTCAGTAGCGGTGATGTGATTTCGTTCTTTAGGAGGATGTGCTTTCCACTGGCTAAGTAACTTAAAGGGTCACAACGACCGGGAAATCAATACCAGACCACTCCCTTGACTGGTGAGCATTTTACCATTAAACCACGGAAGCACAATCATTATTAGAACGGGTCAAATGCATATAGCCCACAACCTTCTTCGGACCTGGCAAACAACTATTCGATTGCATACTATCCCAATGTCATTGAAAGATCAAGCAGTAAAATGTCATGAGAACGCTGTTAGAGTATATGAAGGGTTAGATATCTTTAAGGATCAATGGGAGTGCCTAAATAACTGAATCACTTTTAGAAGAGGTGTGTGACTATTACAATTTATAAGTAGATACGTCACCTTCATCATTTGCATAAAACACAGACTTGATTTACTGGATGAAAACCGTCAGTTAATGATTATTGCTAGAATTCTAACCAACGTTTTAAGGACCCAGTGAAGTTCTTGATAAATTTAATGTGGCTTTTTCATTATCATACTACCTTGTACAGTGTACATCGTCGAATTCAGTGATCATGGATGTATTTATCTATTCTCAGACGGTGACATACTACTTGACTGTTTAAAATTTACGCAGCAGCTTTAGAACACCTGATCATCTGATTAAGCTCGTCTGTGTTTGAAACTGGGGACATTCGTTGAACCATGATAAGCCAAAATGATGTACACCCCATCACCAATATCTCTAAGCTCCTACTGATTTTGATCACAGTGGATATTTGAAATATTTTTAAGTGATAATTGTGAAAAGCCTGTGAAATTTCATTAATTTAAACATTTTTGTGAATTACAACTAACTATAAGCTGAATAGAAAGTTTACTATGTCTTGTATTGCTCTAATATATTTTGTATTGCATAATCTATGATTATATTCTTCTTTTTTCAGGGTTATGGAAATGATACCATTGAATTTTCATTTCCTACTCGTAATAGTTGTAAAAACTTTTGGAAAAAATGTATTGAACAGCATACATTTTTTCGTTCAATATCTCCATATGATACTAGACAGGCAGGAACAATTCATCGTGGTTCCAGTGTATTCTCACATTCATCACCTGGAAATCTTTTCACATTCCCATTTACAAAACTACGAAGATCTGCTAGCTGTGGTGCTAACACTTTATCTAACTCACGAGGAACATATAAACGTGCTGATGAAGAGAATTCTGAGACTTCAAATAGAAAAAGTTCACAAACTTCACATCTTAGTACACCGGTCAAACGATTTGCTCATCTTAATCTTACTGGCTCAAGTTTTCAGTGAGTTAACAGTTTGTCTTCAAATTTGTCTTAAATTTCTGAACGATTGATTTCTAAGGATATTTTTAAAACTGTTTATTTATTCATCTGATAGCGCATAATGCGTTCCAGTGGTAATTTGTAAGGATCTGACTGATTTCAGGTGGGATCACGAACTGAGAAGGGATCAATCCCTAGTGGGGTCATGTTTGTGTATTGATGGAGAGCCTCGAACAAGGATGAAACAGCTAGCTGTCCAACAATCCCTGTTCTTTAATGGTTCTGTAACTGAAGTTGCCTCGTGATCATACTTGAAAGATTGCATTCCTCACATAATCTCTATCGGATCCATTGCTCGCATCCTTTAACTACGTCATTACTTCGATGAATTATAATTTTGCAGCTTCTTAGTAGCTATGAAATCTAACTAATTTTCGGTTTCAGTATATTCCTTGCCAAATATTGGCGTACACAATTTTTATAAAAACTAATTTTGAATATGTTTACCTTTGAGTTCTTCCCTCAGCTGCTTTGTATTTCAGTAACGTTAACTAGTGCTTGACTAAAATGCATACGGATTTTAATTTATAAAATAATAGCTTTATTCCAAACAGTATTTGTGGTACAGGTATGGAATTTTCAGCTTGCATTACAGTATATTACATCTAATTACCTCATAAATTATATAAGATTTTAAAAATCAAAGAAATAAATAAAAATAAAATAAATAATTATAAATAAATAAAATAAATAAATATAGAAATTAAGAAAAAAACAACGTAGAGTATTCATTTCAAACAATGCAACACAGGATTGAAATATAAAGTTGATGTGTGGTAGTAATGAGACAGTGTAGTAGTAACGAGGAAAGGAAACAAAAACTAATGGGACTATTGTTAGAGTGCCGCATAAGTTATCGTGTATACCTGGAAGAAACATTGTGGGTTCCAGATTCCACTGTCGTACTATTCTTATTTTTCGTCAAACGTAGACAGATATTTTCAATTGCCTTGTTTGAAAACGGTTAAAAAGGTTTGTCTAACAAACTTTTTGAACATCGAAATTGTCTGACGTATAGAAATGTACTTTGAGTATGTTCACTTCACTTAGCAAGTTGTCTTTGCTACAGCCTAGGAGATAAGTGAATAAAAGTGATGTAATCCAATTTCATCCTTGAAAATCTTAATAACTGTTAAGTTGTATTTCGCTCAATAGTAAATTGGGTATTTATGTAGACACGAAATATTGTTTGGATGCCAGTTAAATTGACAGACTATCAATTAAATCACTTGTAGTAAACAACTATCTAAACTTAATTTGATCATTTCGTCGAACGAAATATCGAAGGCGAGATTATCTAAGATAGCCGTGAGTCGTTTTTCACTCCACGGGCTTACTACTAGCTGGTAGACAAAGCGACATTTAAGAGTGCGTTAACCTGGAGTAAGTGCTACTATACGGATCAGAGACTTGGCGCGTCATAAAGAGCATCTCAAACAAACTTCAGACCTTCATTAACAGTTGTCGTCGCTCAATACTCAAGATCAGATGGCCAGAAAAGATCAGCGACAGGGATCTCTGGCAATGACCGAACCAACTAGGAACCGATTGTGAAACAAATAGGCAGGAAGAAATGGAGATGGATCGGCCATACGCTGAGGAAACCATCAAGTGACATCACTAGACAAGCCACTGCTCGAGTGGAACTCGAAAGGGAAGCGGCGAGTTGGTCGTCAGTGCGATGGTGAGGTGACTTGGAGGAGGTCATGTGAAGAGGAGATGAAAGCATGTGGACAAACCTGGAGCGGAGTGAAAAAGTTGTCAGAAAACAGAAGGCAATGGTGGTGCGCAGCTGAAGCCCTATGTTCCTCTAGGAACTAAAGAATACAATAATAATAATAATAACCTGGAGTCGAACCCAGGCCAAATGCATCGTTGGCTAGGATTTCATTATCCATAAAAGCCAGCTCCCCTTCTGGGAATCGAAACTGAACCTTCCACGTGACAGGCAGAGATACTCACCACTGTACTGTTATTGAAGTAATCGGCGATGACTGAAGGTGATTTAAATATCTTCTTTGTGGTAGGATTTAAACTATTGGCTACAGAATTACTAATCCTTACGATTTATTCATATGGCAGCTGGACAACACCTCTAGTAACTGCAGTGAAACGGTGACCTAATCTCTAGCTGTATCTCGCACCTCACACACACCCAGATTTCCATTTCATCATCAGCCACCACTGATGTAACATCAGGAAAATATTCTTCGTACACATGTTTCCTAGAGTTTTATGGCCTGTCTGATCTCGAAATCTCTGCTGAATTACACCACTGTCAAGTTGGCAAAAATCATCTGAAAAAAATAAAAGAATTTTTGGGCAACATATACTGGGTTATTTACGTCATTGTTAGAAGAAAGTGTGAAAATGTTTTTGTCAATCATAACATTATCCTAATTTTTTCTTCACCTTTCATTTTGATGTGATATAATGAAAATGTCAAATTGAATTAATACACTTCTTATTTGCAAGATATGGCATTTCGACATATGAATGCCTGGAAGTATTATGCATATTCTTTTGTTTTTGTCGTGAAGATCATTCAAAGAAAAATCAGTTTTGTAAAAGTTTATGCATAAATGTTACTTGTTAGAAATCACCTTTAATTCTTCAGTGATTAATTTATTTCACCTAATAAGTGGACCCCCACTGAAATAAGGGCCACGTCAATGAATTCGCTTTCTGAAGACATAAAAATTATTATTCTAGTTTGATCATGGGTTGAATTTGGTTAGGGAATCACTGGGATCCAAGCAGTAATGGACGACTATTTTGTCTTATTTTGGGGTTCTTCTACAGTACACACCCATGAACCCACCATTAGGGATCGAACCTACAATCCTCAGGTTACGTCGCGAGCTCGCTGACCATTCAACCACTATGATGGCATCCAATGCCCTACAGGAGGTCATTTGCGAGCCTGAATAGCTGATCGATAACGTGTCTGACTGCAACACTGATTGCTTCCAACCATCTAATATCAATAAATCATAGGGCACCGTGCTGGTGAGCCACCTAGCATAATGGCCGCACTGCAAACTTGACTGATACAATTCAGTCTGCACCAAAGATAGGAATAGACACAATTCACTAGTTACTGACTGGAGTGCAATCAAAGAATGTTCTATCAGTTCTAATTTCTGTCAATTATTGACATATATGACGTGATCACCGGATAGTGTATCGGTGAAATTCTGTTCCCCCTATTCAACTTGGTGCACTCCAATAAACACGACTTCTTACTAAAACTTCAGGTAACTTCATTGTGCAGTCAGTCACTAGTCAGCATTAAATTAATTTTCAAATTTCGGTATGCAGAGATCTGACTAATTTCAAATTTTTTTTATCACGAACTCAATTCAGTTAGAGAACTACTGAAAACCAGTGTGATTCACCAAGTTGGATGTGAAGGCAGATTTTCACCGATGACACTTGCCAGTTGTCACTCTACATTTCATGAAATGAGAGAAGTTAGAATTGCTGGGCCATTGAATTCCATCGCAGTGAATAAATAGACAACGGGCTGGGCTCATTAGCTGAAAGTCCTGGATGCGACCTCTGTTGTAATCGTAGACGTGTGCTGCTGAGGAATCCCGAACTTAGGCGAAACAGTTATGTATCACTATCTGGTGTTCATTGGCTGTTTAACTAAATTGAGATCGTGACCAAACTTGGAATCGATCAAATTCCGGGCAAAAAAACTCTTGAAAAGTATTATTTTGTTATGGTAAAAACAACAGATGTCTGTGCTGCTTTGTTTGAAATTTACAATTACTTTAAGTGAATAAAAAACCGTGTTATTTATCAACTTTTGGTAACAGTTTTTTAAAACTATTATTTTCAGTTATACAGGACGTACACAAAAACAGCTTATGGAATCCGATCCGGAACATTTAAAGTAAGACATTACAAAGTTGTTAGTTTTCTGCCCAGTAAATTTTTTGATTGTCGTTTGTTTGTTATTTTTAATGTAAGTAAGTAAGTAAGTAAGATTAATGAGTCAGTGGTGCCGTGGTAGAATACTCATCAACTACGCAGATCGATACACTGTATACATAGAGTTCTTGCAAAATATTTTAAGATTTTTACTTATGAGTTGTTTATTATATTGTGACATGTTCGTAAAATCGCATCACATTATTTTATTATTCCTTTGGGTTCCGATTGTACTGCAGAGCTTGAACAGTTTAATTCCATTTCATCCTGTTGTCTTCAGTTCATATCTCCTCCGTATCAACATCAGACCCGTGCTCAACCCGTCATTTCTCATTCTAATTAATAAACACTGGAGGTTAATACAGGCCAACTGAACATTCGTGACACATGTCGTTTCACTATGTTGAGAGTGATCTATCTCATGTTAAAAACTAAACTCAAATAGAAGCATTACAAGCAAACGTTTACCAAGTGAATCACAATGAATATCAACTGAGAAGACTATGAGATCTGTTCATTTGATTGCATGGAGGATTTCATCATGAGCTGACATCAGTTAGAGAACCAATGAAAAACCTGGGAGTACTGGATAGCTGTTTCGTCCTAGTTTGGGACTCTTCAGCGGTACCCAGGACCTCCTGATTACAAGGCGACCTCGTATACGATTGAGCCACTGAGAACCCTCGGTCCAATGGTCCTTGAATTCTAACTTCTGCCAATTCACGACATAGCGCAACCATTTTGCAGTGTCGTCTTCGATGAGTTACTGCCTCATCTTCAATTTGCTGTACCCTACTGGTCACGGCTTACCACTAGGACCCCAGGTTATTTATTCTATTTAGTTTATTATGTACTGTAACAAAAAGCAATACACCATGATACGTGCACTCAAGAATACCCACCGGTAAAACATCATAATTACTAATGTCAGTTATAATAATATTTGTGTCTCCCTAAAGCTAAATATTTCATGCATTTATTCCCCTTGATGAATTTGAATAAAGCAAGAACAACAGTGGTTTGTGCAGAATAATATGGTACTATCATTTATTTCGTTGGCTTCTCATCAGCTGCTTACAGCCTAAATAAATTATGAGGTTTAAGTACAGAAACGTTTTAACATACTTGCAAACTTTACATGTTGTCAGTTGATAGAAAGTTCCACAATTACCAAACAGTGCTCATAAAATTGCGCTTATATAGTTTTTACACAGGCAGTTCAAGTTAAAACAAAATAAATGTATGCATATAATGGTAAAGGAGTTACATAATAAAGATGAGATGTGTGTTAGATGCATAGTGACTAATAAGTTAGGTAACAGTGTACTGAGTTGAACTCAAATCATAGAAATAAGAGACGATCAAAATTACAGATTATAAAAGGAGGGTGAGGTTAAAGACGAAGATTATGTAATCATATGAGAGAAAAAAAGACATCCAGTTACCAAGGCAAGGAAAGACTAGTAAGTGCCTCTTTCTGAACACATAAATCTGGTTTCAAGCGTTTGATAGAAATTGCTTCGGAAAACTTGAGGAGAATGGAGCTCCTTTGCCTATTGATAATTTTGAAGGATTTCTCGATTTCCACCTCATGACCCGTGTCGAGGAGATGTCTGGTAATAGCGCTACTATAAGAGTTTATTCCATTGAGACGTAAAGCTAAATAAATTTGAAGAAAGTTTTGCATACACTTCAAATAGTATCATTTTTTGATTCGGCACTTAGTGGTAACTAATATCATGCATCTAGTCTTTCGTTTTGCTGCAGACTGAATTCTGTCACTTACGCTTGCACCAAACGAAAGACTAGACGCACGACATTAGGCACTACCTACTGTCCAATCACAGTATCCATTACAGTGCTACAGAGAGTCTATTGTGAGCCCAAATAGCTCAGTGGTAATGTCTTTGACTTCGGCGCTGGGTTCGAGTCCCAGAAAGAACATTGCTTTCCCTAAAACTGCAGATATCCTCGCTGGCCGGTACCACCATGCCCGAAACTTGGGTTTAAGGTTTCCTCCTGATTCCCTTCAACCAACAAATAACAATAATTCTGAGTATATCTAAAGAAAAGTAGCACGGCTTTTCTGATAATTGGGTACACCCTGATACAAATCGATGTTATATTGTGAGCAGAATTGTTTCGAAAAAATACAAGTCATTTGTATCAAAATCCTTTTTTCTCATAGATGTATCTTCTTTTTTCATATATGGTAAAAAAAGTTTCGTATTTCGTTAAATTCGACTTGTTTCCTCTATTTTTAATTATATAACTTATCAGCTATAAGGTGTCATGTTTAATTCTATGGGGAATTCCCATAAAGAAGAATTTAATATAATTTTTTATTTCATCCCTTCATTGTTTAAAAAATTAATGCATATGAAGTTGCTTTTTTTTAAAGAATAATGGAAAAGGTTTGTAGCTCAGGTGGATATATTATTGTGTTCTCTGAGCTGTCATTTTCCTTGTAGACAAAATTTCTTTAGTGCTAACTTCACTGAGAGTGGTGTATATAAAGTCTGTAAAACTTCTTATGATGCTGTGGAGTAAAATGTATTTTTAAATTCCTCTTTTAATCTATCAGTAATCTCATCAACGTTTCTCCCATTCCTCAAGTTCTGAATGGTATTAAGGCTAGAAAGAATTGAAGTTCCAGTAGCGTTTGTGTTGTGATTTTTAAGGGATGGGGTCTCACGCCTTACTCTCCCTGTTTTCTACGCCTGCCACCAGCTAGTTTAGCTAGCTGAGGCTAAGGATTGAGTTAGCCCGGAATCGAACCCAGATCAGCCGAGCAATTGGCAAGCGTTCTACCACTGAGAAAGCAATGCATATGCTGTTCTCTTTAAAATGTCACGATTTAAATTAAACATTAGAAATATTATTGAATTGAATTATAGATTTTCCCATCAACTCAGTAGACCGAAGTGCTCGGTCTCAGGTTGACATGTCGGCTTCTTATGTAGATGCTTCGATGATGTACAAATATGCAGTTGGAACTTAACTGGTGGATGGTGACTAGCATCTTCGAAGCATCTACACAAGAAGCCGGTATGTCAACCTGAGATCCAGCACTTTGGTCCAATCAGTCGACGGGAAAATCTAAAATTCAATTAAATAATTGATATGACCTAATGCACAAGAGGTGGCTCTCGTGGCCCAAGTGGTCTAGTGGATAACGCTTTGGCGTTTGAAACTATGGGCACTGGGTTCAAGCCTCACTGGGGAGTGCAGGCATATCCAGATGATGAGTCTCAAATAGGACGGACGGATGGATAATATTTTGAAGGAATTGTTTTCATATTTAAATAAATCCCATTAATCTTCTTCTTGATTGAATCAGATGCTTTTCATGGTACTCATTCTAGTAATTTTTAGGGTCTCTAATTTTAATCCTGGAGCGATACAACGTTTGTAAGTCTGAACAAAATAAAAGAGATTACAACAATAGGAAGACAAAATTCGTCAGCGAAATTGTCATAAATATAAAGAAGTAGACGGTCTAAGTTATTTAGTCTGTTATTTATGAAAAAAGTATCAGTTGTCATCAAAAGGAAAAAAACTATAGGAGGTCATCTTTTCCACTTATATAAGCAGCACTGTTTCAACTACAGTAGGCACAGATGCTGAAGTCAAAGGCGGTCAGGATCGGAAAAATGAGAGAGACCTGCAATATTTACTAGAAATCATTATGCGAATCTACTTCGTTCGGCATAAGGAACAAGATTAGGATTTTCAACACATATGTCAAGGCAGTTCCTTTATGTGGTTCAGAGACTTGACTTGTTATGGTAAGTATTCTTCAAGTCTGCTGCTTTCGCTGAATACTCTAGATCAAATGACCAGAAAGGATTGGCAACAAGAGAACCTGACAAATAACGAACCAAGAACTTATTGTCTAACGTTTATATGGAAAGAAACTGAGATGGACTGTACATACGCTGATGTAACCCTCAAGTGAACCTGAATGTGTAATGGTAGGTTGGAGCTTGGTCCGATAGTGACATGGAGGGGATTGTGCTAGTGGGGAATGAAAACTTATGAGCGATCATGGAGACAGCTAGAGGGATAACTGAATGAAATTGTTGATACTACAAAAATTTACGTTCAGCATAAATTTGTCTTCATTGAGTACTTCTCCAGTGCTCCTAGTTGATATTCATAGTAACTTTTAGGTTAGTGAATCCTTCAGGCGACAAGTTGAAATCGAAATTTTTAAAAATTCTTCCGGAGTCCAAAATCAGATTGTAACAGGTTGTCTGTCACTCAGGAAAATGATTTATGGAATAGTGATTTATTTGTTGATCAGCATACTCTTTGCATTATAATTGAGTTTTGTGCAATTTTGTTCCCTAAATTTCAATATATTAAATTTGATGGTGTTTTGAAATTCAGACTTGTATGAGGAAACATAAAAACTCCTCAGTGTGTTTCGGTTTAAAATGAGTCTTCGGCCTAGTTTTCTTGCAGTATATGAAGTTTCTGAAGTTTGTAGGCTAATTTACACTCCTCGTTGATTGATTATGTCCAGATGGTGGCTCCTAGTACGGATGCTTCGACAATGTTTAACTGCTGATGGACTGCTATCTTGTTTGTTGCTGACTAGCACTGGATTCCAGGATACTCGTTCTGCCCCATTTTGGACTTTTCACTAGAGTGGAGTAAAGCATTCTCACTGAGTGACAGTGTTCCCGTTGTGACTCGAACAAGATGTGGCTTCCACGGTTAATCTTTTAACGTTTGAAACAATGAATGCAGGGTCCTAGTTAAAGTGAATACTGCCACTCACTCAGAATGAAGGTACAGCCGGATGATGAGCCCCAAGTAAGACGAAGTACGTATCTTGGATTCCACCGCTAATCAAAGTACTTGAACTCCCTGTTATATAATCATTAGGATAGTTAGTAATTTGAGTTTCTCAGTCCTTTCTATTCACCGCTGTTGCCAGGCACAGTAAATTTACAAATAACCCTCAAAACAAACCTCTACAAATGTCATACTTCTTTTCTGTTGATGTGTACATTTCGTTGGCCAAGTGCTTCCCCTTTCATAAATTCCTAAAATCACACTATTGTTTTTGACTTCTACAAAATGTAATGTAACAATTTTTAGAAACACGCTTCTCCAAATCAAATGTATGATTCCCCAAAAATTTTTAAATTTTCCTCTAATTCTTTATGACACATACAAAATAAAAACAAAGAGATATTAGAGTTGACAGCAAAATAGAAGTGATTCTAATCATCTGCCACTTTAAATTGACACAATTGTTTCAAAACCGAGAAAAAGAATTGGTAGTTTTCATTTTTGAGGTCAGTCATCGTTTGAATAATGCTCCTTTTTATTCTTTATATCAATTTTTATTTTACTAGTTTTTTTTATAAAAATTTTTTTATTGAGATTACTATTGTGTTTTCATTTTTCGTTTTGTTTTTTCTCTTTTTTCCTCTGCTGTAAAAGGTTTTCATCTGAATACAATTCATCTAGTCTAAAAGTTAATCCATACTGTGATGATGGTGATCATAGCAGTAATAATAATAGAACAGCATCAATGCGTAAAAAATCACACTTGTTAACTAAGCTACTTGCTCAAAAATATCCACTGACTACTGGTGGTGGTTTTGTTGGTGGAGGTAGTGATCATTTTGAGTTATTTCGTCTTTCATTTACTTCACTCATTCCATATCCATCATCAACATTGAACAGCAATAACAATGGTAATAATAATAATGATCTGTATGATAATTCGTCCACTTTGTATGGAAAAAGTGGTTTCAAATGGAATTGGTGAGTTTTTGTTTGTTTGTTTGTTTGTTTTTTACTTCTTTGATGCATTTCACTACCTTTTTATATTTGAACCGGGGAAGGATGGTGTTCAAAGGATTCTATTAGTTTTTAGGAGAAATTGTAGGCTAACTAATTATATCCATATTAGTTTGTTTATTAGATGTATCACACAGTGAAACAGTATTATTTACTGGATGATGTTTCAAACACAATTTATTGTTCATAATCATTTCATCAATTGTAATCACATGACTTCGAAATTTGCGTTTTATAGTATTATTTGTTCTCTCCTATTCGTTGTAAGGGTAGTAGAATTTTACAGATATCTGGGACAGGTATTGAATCATTCCTATTACATCTGTTTGCAGTTGATTCGATGAAGAAAGCTTCCATTATCAATCTCTCCCTCCATCTTGTTACATTAGATTTTAAAAGTGTCATCTTATCCCATCCTATTTTATGACTGTGTGTAACTGCATGTAGTGAGTGGTATAGCTACACTATTCTCCAGATTTCTTATCTTACTCGAGTCAACTAATCTAGATTTTGCTAGGTTTTTGTGCTCGAATGATATGACTGCACCTGTTCCAGATATTTTGAAAATTCTACTACCCCTACGACGACAAATTGGAGATAACAAAGAAAACTATAAAAATCAAGTTCCGAAGTCGTGTGATTATAATTTATGAAATGCTTATGAACAATAAATTTTGTTCGAAACGTCATCCAGTAAATAATACTGTTTCACTGTGTGATATATCTAATAAACAAACTAACATGGAATTACTTACTATCACACACGTCAGCGGCACAGCGGTTAGGGTGCTCGCCGACCATTCACGTGGTCCGGGGTTCGGTCCCCGGCCAACGCAGTCCTTTACTTCACTAAGCCAGAAGTAAGGCTGGTAAAGAGGAAAGGTTGGGCATGAGGTTAGCAATCGCAGCCTGTAAAATTAAACTCTGCTACAGAAAATACAAACCACTAGCTTGAGAACCTATATTCCACTGGGAATGTGAAGGAAAAAATGATAAAAAAAACACTGCCCAAATATTACACATATATTAACTAATTAACTATACCTAAGGATGCTTAACTTGGAACCCAAAGCAAATGAGAAAAATTTAGCGATGACGGATAGTTAAAGGATCATATTATTGTGGATGAGGGTCCGCGTTATCAATCAAAATGGCAATTTTGTTGTTGATATTGATAACTCATTCCAACCTTCTGAATATTTTGCGTTTGTTTTGGTCAAATGTATGCGTGGGTTAATCGCTGTATCAGTGTTATACATGCCAAGTGTTACGTATTTAACTCGACAGTACATAGACAGTTGTCTATTGGTTTCATTATGAGGAATAGAGTGTAGTACTAAATGCACACTGAAAACTTTAAGAAAACCTGTCAGGGAAACACCCTTCACCTATATGGTAAATTTCGTGCCTTTACCGTGTTTTCCAGTTTGGACTACCTGAATAATTACACTTAGTTTTTCTGTGTGTTTATATGTGTGTGTCCTGGACATACAACACACATTCAAAGCCCAAAATATCAGAAACTTGATTGGTGAGACCTTTTCTTCAAGTTAATAGAAGGTTGAAAGACCCAATATGTAGAGTCAGCAGAGTGGTTACAAGAAACATGAACAATGCTTTTGCATTTAAGTTGACTACCAGTGGTCATATAATTCAAAGAAGGTGAAGATGCTGTATCAGTAAGGGTATTAGCACTGACAGACGGTAAAAATTAATGAATTCAAGAAGGTAAATGTGGAGAGGATGAATAATGAAATGAAAAGCTTTGTATGCTCAAAGAAGTGTGCGAAAGATTCGTTTTCCTTGTTATCCACATACTGTGAAAGTTAATCTCTTCATGGATTGAATCAGACAAAAAGGACTCATTTTTAGTTATCTAAGAGACATGCATGCACGCATGCCGTATTTATTTGTGGATTTTCGGATGTATGTGTTTACAGAATATCTTAATACTGTCATGTGAGTTGGAACATACTATAATGGGGCCAGTCTTTCTCTAACTCCACCTCAAACCTCCAAATAACCACCTCTATCTTGCTTGTTATCTAGGGGAAAAACCTTACTGCTGTTACACCTCTCCTTCTGAAGTACCATCTCACCTTCACATTCCCATTATAATTTAAGTACCTCAAACTGTAATGGTGACTGCTTTTAGTCTAACCGCTATACACCCAGTAGTTCTAGTATAATAAGACATTTAGAAACACTTGTAACACCTGGCACAACTCGTTGAGTCACTACACTGTACCAGCCTGACTGTTGCACTGAGGTGTGCGCTGTTAGTTGAATATTTTTTCATTACTGTTAAATTCCTATGGTGTGACGTCATATAATTCAACTCAAAACCGTTATAATTAAGGAGATATTTTTTACAACTCACTGAAGTGGTTTTTTACACAAATACTAATCAATTAACTTGTCACACTTCATTGAGCATAACATTTTAATTGGCAATAATCTTGAATATGCTCACTAGTTAAACATACTTCGTATTACTAATACAACACAAAAAAATTATTCTTTTTTGTAAACGCCTTACATTTCCTATTGAAGTCACTTCACCCTTATCTGTAATTATTTTTCTGTATAGATGAAAGGTTTTCTTTGAATTATCTAGCCCTTTTTCCCCTTAAGGAGTACATGTTCAATGAATCAGAAAATTCCTTTGACTTTGTTGTTAGGCGTTATGTATTCTTCTCTTTAATTGTAGCATATCTCTTAAGAAAATCAGTCGTTCTTCTCCTCTCTAAACGAAATATTTTCTATCATAATTACACAGACATTTGCAAGGATGGAATGTATCCTCAGTAAAATATGATTTATTGTGTTGAAAGTTACATTCATTCCACTAAACTCTATACTCATCATAGATTTAAATACAAAAAGGCGAAAAATTCAAATTAGTAGAACATGCAGGCAAAAGAGGCTCCATTGAATTCAAGTTATTCGGTAGATGTCAATGCATGAGAGAAACTACTTAGAAGTCTGTAAGTCCCATTAAAGTCCTCCCATAGTATATGCTTCTTGAATAAACTAAGCAGCTGAGTTTAGAAATAAAGGACTAGTGAGTATTACCCAATAAAAAGCAAAGAATTCACTATGGCCATACAACTAAAGGTGTTAATGACGGAACGAAGCAGTATCTGTTTATTTGGCAAAAACATAAAGACCTTTCGATAAAATTTTAATGTACAAACTTTATTTCTATTCTCCTTCTTTTGTCTTCATTGCAGGCTTCTGATATCAATTCACAATGATGTCTAATTCTTCTCTGTGAAACTTAATCTGACTTTCCGTTACTCATGATTCTTGCAGAAAACGTTACCAATATTATTAGTATTGTTCCCTTGGGTTCCTAGAGGGACATAAGGCTTCAACTGCACGTCTCCACTTGCCACTTCTGTCTTCTGCTGTACTTTTCACCTGCATCCATGTTAGTACATACTCTTTCAACTCCTCAACTCTTCACACGATCTCCTCCATGTCACCCTTGAACGTCCCACTCGCCTCTTCCCTTTAGGGTTCCACTCGAGCAATGGCCTGACACGCGGGCGATGTCACACAGCGACCTCCTCAGCGAGTGAGTGTCCAATCCATCTCCACTTTCTCTTGCATATTTATTTGTTGTTTGGTGAATGGCTCTTGTTTTGTTTCTTCCCATAGTTTCTTGTTGGTGATTCTTTTCGGCCCGGCCCGGCCATCTGATCTTCAGTATAGAGTTAGCGAAGACAGTTGTTGGTTGATGAAGGTGTGCAATGGGCTGTTGGAAATATTCTTTGTGACCCACCCGCCAAGTTTCTGATCCGATCCGTATAGAAGAACTGACTGACTTGACGCTGTTTGTATTGAAAATCCGACCGAATTTTGTTGTTGATGCTGGCTGAGTGACGAGGATTTCCAGATTGGTCAATGTGTTTCTCACACACTACCCGATTCTCGCTCGATTTGACATCCTAGTCGGTTCTGACTGTCTGTAGTTGGGACAATGCTCCTTAGATAAGTGAATGAAGTAACCTCTTTCAATATACTTATCACAAATTCTTGTGATCAGTACACGTCATATATGAGTAAATAAACTTTCTGTTTCATCCAGTAATTATTCAGTTTTGTGTTTATCATCTACCTAAAGATAGCATCACTAGAATACTCAAAAATAAAATAACTGAAAGCTGTTTCTAAATGTCTAACTTAAATGTTGAGGTAACTGAGGTGAGGAAGATACCTGATAACCAACAACAACAACAACAAGTACCAATCACTATAAACGGGAGAAACCTAAAAGCAGTCATCTCCTCCACTCACCTACGCAGCATCGCTTCAACTACACGCTGATAAGACGAGGATGTTGAACCCAGCCAGGACTGGGAAATCAAGACAATTAATCATTACTCTAGAATCGGTATGACGATCTACAGCACTCAGTAGTAAAAGGAATAATCTCAGAATTTTCAACACCATTATGAACGATTTCTACCTATCGTTGACTTACCTAGGCAGCATAATTTCAGCTACAGGAAGAATGGGTGAGAACATCAAAGCCTGGATTGGAAAAGCAAGATAGATACTCATTAGGCTGAAATCAGTGTGAAAATCTGCTGCTCTCAGCATAGACGCTAATGTCAACATAGTCAGTGCTTCTATACGACTGAGAAACGTGGCGCACATGTTACCGAAAGCATTTCCAACAGACTGATGTATTCTCTCTATACTGAAGATCAGTAGGCTGGCCAGAAAGGACTTGCAACTGGGAACTCTGACTGGAGGCCAACCCATGAAGAGCCTATTGTCCAAGAAATATGAGAAAGAAAATGAAGATGGATTGGATAATCACTGAGAAGGCCGTTGGGTGAGATCACATGTTAGACTGGCCATCAAGTAGATCCTGAAAGGAAAACGATGGATTAAGCATGTTTGCTGGTATGGAACAGAGGCGATGGTGTGAGGTAGAAATGAAAGTCTATAGGCAATCGTAGGGCCAACTAAAGATGATTTCAAAGAACAGAGTGAAACGACCACCTACTACTGAAATCCTACGTTCCATTCCGTTTCTAAACGATGAATAATAAAAATAATAATAATTTCCGAATGTGTTCTGTCCTTTTTCAGTAGAAGATGCGAAGAAAATGCCGGTGTGTTGACGTCTGTAGTAACATAGTTCACACTGCATTTCTCATTAACTTGTTTTTAAATTGTATTGTATCGAGTAGTTATTCATTTTTAAATGGTTTTACTGTCACACTAATACATGGTGCATTATTAACTGTCATTGCTCAATGTATAACAAGTTAACATAGGTCTGTAAAGTGTTTACAGAAATGCCATAATACAAGGAAATACCCATTGCTTTCTAATCCTACGAGTTCCGAGCGGAACACAGAGCTTGAAAATTGAGCTTTGAAGTTTCAGTACCAATGGTGTCTTTTACAGGGTGGATTCGCTAGCCTCAAATCCAACCTTCCTTATCTTTGTCGGTTTTACAACCGGCTTGGAGAGGTAAAGTTGTGCGCCAGTCGGGACTCGAACCCTTGACTACATGCATGGTCAGTGAGCACCCTACCGCTGAGCCACCTGATCTCCACTAACTAGCAATATGTAATTACCTTTTGATATTATTTAGCGATATCATGTCTGAGTATTATAACTTACATAAATGTTGTCATGACAGTGGTAATAACAACGATGTACTATTAATAAGATTTTGTATTTCTATTAGTGTATTTCTTTATCATATCATACTTTTTAAAATGAAATAATACTAACAATAATATTCTTTTCATTTTGCTTATTAAATTTAATCTTAAAGTAATCGTGCTGTAAGTACATCATCAATTGATCGTCAAGTATCCTCTTGTCGACGTAAAGTTAGTACACATTCATATGTTCCTCGTCATTTTTCTGGTACTATAAGTAGACAATCTTCTGTATCCCAAGATGTACACACCATCGATTGGTCTGACAGTAAATATTACAATGGACAGTCTACTTATACAAATCACTTAACAAAACGTCCATCAGAAGGTTGTTTGTCTAAAAGTAAGCAGACGTTTGGTTCATTTAGTTAACCTTCTTTTATTCATATTATTATTATTTAACAAACTACTAAATGCTTTATTTGAATTTCGCCATATAGTTTTGTTACTTTTCGATGCCCAATCATGTCGAAAATGAAAACATGTGTTTCAGGCGTAATGGCAGGACATATCTCAGGTAGTCACATTTTTTTAGCTTATTTACACACTCAATCGAATTTTAGATTTTCCTGTCAACTGAGTAGACCGAAGTGCTCGGTCTCAGGTTGACATGTCAGCTTCTTGTGCAGATGCCTCGACAATGTCTGGGCATTTAATTAGTAGTTAATTGGTGGATGGTGGCTAGCAGTATACTGTTTGAACTTGTTAAGTATGACTGCTTTCTTCGAAACTTTCTTAAGTATCTTAGATCTGACACTTGAAATTTTCCTACATTATTCGGTTGGCTACATTGTTGTGGAGACGTTGTAATCTGTACTTAGCTTGGTTTCATTCTCAGAATATTAAAATACATTTTAGTGTATCCTGAGCATAAATAAGGTATGTAATCATTGTCATCAAATGAAGGAATTCATAATGCCTTTATGTCACTGATTGACTGATATACGTATTTAGTTACCATTCATATGAGCCAGTAACGCTTGCTAGCTAAATCAAAATAATCGAAACCCTGGATAGCCGTTTTGCTTGTCTAAAAAGAAGGAGCTCATCATCGGTGTACACACCTTTACCCAGCTCAAAGAAGCGAGTCAGATAAAAATAGGAGAATTCTGGTTAACTACGTGGGCGAATTGGTATTAAGTTAAATCAGATTTGTTATTTTTAATTTACACAGTTTCAGGTAAAATTTCACCACAGATTGCTCTGGAAACCACCATAAGTGGCGACCAAAAATTTAAGTATGAACACATGACGCTATATACTACTGATTGGTTAACATAAGTACATGGACACCAATCACATCAACAAGTAGTGACGCCTGGTGTTAAGATCACTGTGGTCTGCCTAACAAACACTACTTATCGATGTGAACAGTATCCGACTATTCATATCAATTAGAAGTATATAGAATCATGCATTCATGCTTTTCATTGTTGTTCCTTAGGTAAAAATTACATTTTAAGATCGTGCGTCGGTGGTACAGCGGTAGAATGCTCGCCAACCACGCCACACTTGGTCCGGGATTCAATCCCCGGCCGACGAGGCACTCCTTCACCTCGCTAAGCCAGTAATAAAAGTGGTAAAGAGGGAAGGTTGGGTATGAGGCTAGCAACCCCATCCCGTAAAAATAAAACACCAGTGTTACCGAAACTTCAAACCTCTGTAGCTTAAAGCCCTATGTTCCACTAGTAACGTAAAGGAATACATTTTGATATCAAAATATATGAAAAGTAAACAGAATTTGGAATCCGAACCTTTTTTTTCCCATTTTATATTTATATGTATATAAATAATGCTGAACTTGTCATCCTCTATTATCCTATAATTTTATTTTTATGTGTATGTAAATCTTTTCTTTTCTTTACCTTAGGCTCTACAAATATGTTTAAACCATGTGTCAATGAATCGCCTAATTCATCTTCATGTTCGCTAACATCAGAATCCTATCCAAGACCAGTATCCTATGATGAACCGATAGATCATCCACAGTATTTGTTAACGTCAAAAAGTGATCTGTCTAATCTACAAATCACTGAGTTAGATTATAGTGCAGATGAAAAGGATACTTCACCTTTGTCTGTAATTTCTACTAAACAAAATTTAAAGGTTTGTACTGGTGTAACGATCTATGCTTTATTTCTGTCTGTCTCACAATCTACCTGTCTGTCTATCTGCCTGTCCGCCTCCCTATCTCCCCATATATATATATATATATATATATATATATATATATATATATATATTATTCCCTTCGATTCCGAGTGAAACACATTGCTTCACCAGCAGATTTTTATTTCAGTTGGTTTTCTGCTGTCCATTTTAGATGGCACCAAGATTGCATGTAAACTTTCATCTCCTCCTTACAGACCCTCCTGCATGTCATTGTCAGACGCTCAACTGGCTGTATGTTATGTTGGCCTGGCACAAAATTTACTAGATGGCCCTAGCCCAGAATAATGGAAGAGGTTTGGCGTGGGGTTAGTGACCCTTTCATGAAAAATTAATCCGTTACCGCGGGAAAAATATTATGTATGAAGAGAGAGTAAATTTGTGCGCCTGAATGATTCTATTCATCCTAGAAGTAATAATAATTTATTATGATATAAAGCAACCGATAGTCAGTTTTTTGTATAATATCAAAATGGCTAGCTAAAAGATATACATTTTGGTTCTAGTGTTACTTCAACTGTTATGAAATCTCACAGTTCTGTTAAATTCTCTCACTAGCATTTTTTACCGATCCAAAGCTTTATTTTAATTGGATTATATGCAAAATAATGAAAATGTGGAGAAAAGATCAACAGACAACCTTAGTTTATGTTTGTTTCAGTTAAAATTTACCTACTTTGATTGAACACTAATTAACTGGTGTCATGTGTCTAGTCCTGCCGACTACCCCCAACCATCTTAAGTTTTCCTACTTCAGTTGTCTTCAGTTGTGAATTGCCTTCCTACGATTACAACAGTTTAACACCCTATTCTTTTCACTTTAGCTACAAATTAAAATAAATCAAAACGTACATCAAATTAGTCAGAGTAGTTCTACATTCATCTTCAGATGTTCATGACTTCCATGAAAACCATTGGAAAGAAAATCTTATTCATCTGGCGTCTTTTTCTGCTAACCTTCACAAAACATTTAATCTATCACATATTCGAGTTTTTGAGGTTTCCAGGAGGTTAGATCACTAGCTGAAGTCATTCTGGGAGCCATTGAAATATAGGCAGTAATGAGTGGCTGTTTCGCCCTTGTTTGGGACTCTTCATCAGTACACACCAGTTCACTAGCCCAGAAGGGCATGAGTTTGGATTCCACTAGCTACACGCACTTTCAGGCCCTAGATTCGATCCCGAGTGGAGTTTTGGGCAAGCACTACTGAAGAGTCCTAAATTACAACGAAACAGTTACTGAGTACTCCATAGTTTTCGATGATTCTCTAACTGATATTAGTTTGTGACAAAATCCGAATCCTCACAAAATCTTTAGTCTGAACACATATTTTATCATTAAACTATGATACTATGTTTAATAGTTATAAATAAATAGTTTTAAATCATGCATTTACAAGTTTACTGAATAACCCTTAGATTAAATACTTTGTAACACAGTATACTAAATTGATAGATTCTTGCCTGATAATATTTTATTCGGCTGCATGGAGGATTTTATCATGACTTGAGATCAGTTAGAGAACCACTGAGAAACCTGGTGAAGAGTCCCGAGCCAGGACGAAACAGCTGTCCAGTACTCCCATTTTTCCAGTGGTTTTCTAACTGATGTCAGCTCATGATGAAATCCTCCCTCCATCCAATCAGACAAAATCCCTACAAAACCAATACTTGAAAAAATTTTATTTGTTTAACATTCCATATTCCATATTGCTCCGTTGAATGAAATGTAAGATATAAAGTGTGACATTTATTGAATTGTTCTTGTTAGCATACACTGTAATGAAGTGTATAATCAGTGATGAATGCATATTCACCTCTAAGTCTTCGATTTCACTTCATTGTAATTTTTTTTCATTTGGTTATTAACTTCTAGAATTGTACATATGCAATACAATCCCCATTAATGACATCTTTACGTCAGTTTGGTGAAACAGAACTATCGAATAATCATCAAGAGTTATTAGACAAAGAAAACTATTCGGGTTCCCATGAAAGTTTACATCGTCATTATACAACATGGGACAATGATCATCAACAGAAGATTACTTCTCCTGCTACTGAAAACGATGCAGATTCACATGTCAGTCTAGCAGAAGTGAAGAGGATATAAAATCAGTGGACAGATACTCGGCAGATGAGTAAGTTTATGTAACATATACTGTGTTTGAACGTTTAATGCATATACTGCCATCATACTCTATCGAACTTCAAATCTCTGTGTTTTTTATTTGTCTGCTTGTGGCCACCAGGGAATTCAGAATGTGCGTTTCATCAACCGGATGTATCTGAATCCCCAGTGGGTGGTGGTATTTCCATTGAGATTTGAATCCCCCACCCATCATTTCAAACGTTTAAGGAAATGCGCATTTTGAATTCCACTGCTGGCCGCTATCTATGAAATAACATTTTGCTAACCTTCAAACATCTTATTGGTGGCCGTATTAGGAACTGATATGGTGACAAAGATCGAGTATTTCGCCCCAATATAAATCAATCAACAGAAAATACCAAGTTATTTAAACAAATAAGTGCTTTTTTATTTTCATGAGTAAACGCCGTTGTAATTTTCTCACTGATAGAAATTGATTCTAGCTTCTGTAGAGAATGTGAGTGACAGAGTAACTTTATTTTCATCTATTTTTCAGACAAAACGCTGCCTTATGCATTAATAACTAGATGATTTTTATGGATAATAAATCTGTAAAAAACTTGAAAGATAGAAATTGGGTTAAAGCTTTTCGCAGCAATTAGTTCTTGTATAGGAAGTCATGTTTCCTGCATTGCGCTAACTCTGAAGAAAAGTAACCGAGATACGTTACACCACTTCTTGAAGGTTACTGCGTGGTATCTATTTCACCTTTAACAAAGAGATAGGTATAACAGTGGCAAGATTACTGTAACCGAAAATATTATTTACTAAGTACCATTCAGTAAGAAAAACATTCTCGTTAACTATGTTTCATTTATTCAGCAGAATGACTCTATTTGTAGGTCATATTTGAAAAAAAAACAGTAATATGTCACGATTTCAAGTAACGAAGCTGACTTTAAAAAGAATTCTTCAAATTAATTTTACTTTACAAAGAAGGGATTTCAGCGGGTCACCTTTCATGTTATTCAACTGTATCATGACCAGTTTTAATGTATGCTAAGCATTATTTTTGAAATTCAATTATTCTTAAGAGAAGAATGGAACCATCAGTATTTCACTGGTGTTATCAGTTTGGTAATAACCTGAAAATTGTTTTCAAGTGGGCTGACGAATTGACAACACTTAGGCAAGCATTGAAAACGACGTAGTGCCTTGGCAATTGCTTCGTCCTTGTTTGAGACTCTTCGGTAGTACGCATTCAACCCCATCTCTAAGGATTGGACCAAGACCCTTTAGATTACGAGGAGAGTGCTGTTGACTATTTAGTCACGGAGACAGAAACCAATGGTCAATGGATTCTAACTTCGAATTTCTGCAAAGCAACATTTGAGGTCCTAAAGATTCTTTTAAGCGTCCTCAATATATTTTGTTACTAACGAATATACACTTAATATATATCTGTATCTGTGCGTCGGTAGCACTGCGGTAGAATGTTCGCCAACCACGCATGTTGTCTGAGGTTCGGTTCACTGCCGACGCACTTCTAAACTTCACTTAGCCAGTGATAAAACTGGTAAAGAGGGAAGGTTGCGCATGGGGCTAGCAACCCTACCCCCTTAAAACAGAACCACTGCTAAGGAAACTTCAAAGCTGTAGCTGAAAGCACTATGTTCCACTGGAAATGTAAAGGAATTAGCTGTATCTGCTAATACTTAGTTTATTGCATACATTTGGTTCCCTTGATAAATTTCGATAAAGAAAGGAAGACGAAATTTGCAGTATAAAATGATATCATTCTATTTCACAGGTTCTCATCAGCTCCAGACTACCTGAAATTACAATGGTTATATAGATGATAATAAACTATTGGTGGTGAAAAAGAATATAAAAGCCTAAAAAAATTTTTTTTTTTTTTTAAAAAGGGGGGGGGAAAAAAAAAATAAAAAAAATTTAAAAAAAGGTTTTTTTGTTTATTGGCTTGTAAGCTTTAGTCTGACAAATGATTATAAGCATTAAACGTATATCTGAAGAGCTTACCACTGATTAATGTCATCTATCTGATAGTAAGACCAAAATCTTGTTGATGTCATTTAAAAATAAAGGTAACTAAAGTAAATAGGTCATCATTTCCAACCTAGACAGTGTGACATCGGTAACGTCCAAAATTGAGAATTGCTATTGAAATATGCATCTTAAATTTTATGTGACATAGTTTAGCCTAGACTATTCACTTAGAAGCTAAATTAAGCAATTACAAGGTACGGTAATATCTGATAAAGTACACTATATCATTTTTGTATAAGACAAATGAGAGAAAATACCCCACTGGATTTAGATGCTATCAGAGACAGAGAATTTTGAGGTTAATTTGATTATGTTGCCCGAAAATGCTGGGTTTTATGTTGACACATGTTCAGGCATAGGTATAGATTTTGACCCTTCGTAGAAACACCATTCCTTACTGAGAATGCAGATACATCCGGATGACGAGTCACAAATGCGACGAAGTGTACATTATGGATTCAACTGTTAGTCACCATCAACCAAAAATAACTTCAAAGAGTGTGACAGTATTTAATACTATTTTACAGGTGTCTATATTTCTCATTAGTGTCGCTGTGAACTGTAGAAATGTACAGACTTTATCGTATATTCTCACTGGCTCATCTTACTTAAGAATAATCATTAATCACTGAGATGTGTATTTTCTTTTTCCTCAAACAGACAAGAATTATGCTTTCGTCTCAGGCAATTATTGCTCAGTCCATTAATTATATTCTAGTTCCCTCCTAATAAATGTATATATTATCGTTATTATATTATATCAATTTTGTAGCATTACGTAAACATTGTATCATATTGTATCATGCTTAATCAGTTGAAATAGACACTCTAATGAACAACAGAAATATATAAATAAGTATTACTCTGAAGAGTTCTTTTCTCCCTAATGTCCATTCATATATATGCTTGTATATATACAAATTTACCTTATGCATGAATGATTTATGTCTGCACCTCACTTCATCTCATTGTAAACCAGTTATAAATGAAAAACAATTAGTATATAAAGAGAATTCTTTATTTCTAGTTCTACAGTGAAAATAAGTAATAATAATAATTCCCTAAAATGGCGAACAGAATTGATACACTGTGATGTGGTTTGTTACAAAAAGTAAAATCAGCTGGCGAACAACTAGAAATATCTACGAGCCGAGAGAAAAATCGACATAAAGTAGAAACATTGTCAAAGTTTCGAAATGAACAAATTATTATTTATTCATGCTGTCGAAAACCAAAATATCAGAAATCGATATATAATTGGATATCATTATGTATTAACTTATTCCGAAATATTAAACTCAGTCCCCTATATCACTGTTAAAAACAGACTCAAAGCTAAGTGAAACATTATCACTCAATATTATTTATTCAATAATACTCACCTGGGTTCCCAGTGGAATAGAGAGCCTCAAAACATACATCTCCATTTTAATCTGTTTTCTGAAGTCCTCTTTAGTTAGCTCCACGATTGTTCATAAGCTTTTATTCCTTTCCCACTGGATCTCCTCTGTGTATTACCCTTAGAACCACTCTCAATTGGTTGTTCACCCTTAGGGTTTCACTCAAGGATCTCCATCGCCATTTTTCACCGCATATTTTTCAGGCAACAGGTTCTTGATTGGTTTGTCGCTAATCTTTTCCGGCCACTTGATCGTCAGTAGGGAGCCAACGAAAGTAAATGTTGATAAAAGTCTCCTACTATAATATTACAGCTGCCATCTAGCCGATTTTTACGACTGTGACATTTTATTCTATAAAAATGATTGAATCCGTGACTTCATTCAGTATGTCAGTGATTTATTTTAAAGATTGTTATTGAAAATATGTGAGAGGAACTTCTGTCTTTAATTTTCAACATTGATGGCTGAAGTAGCACCACTTTTAGTTAACGTGAGAAGTAGTTATACTCAACCATAGCAGATATCCATTAAGTTTATAACTGTTAGCATGAACGGTCAACGGAAGTGAAGGTTGATGTTTTTCAGTATGTTAGAAATTGATTAGTTGCAGATTTTCAGTGACAATACAAAATAATTCACATTGATGCATATATAATATATTCATTGATTATCATCTTCGGAATACACAACATGTTGATGAATGTTCATAATATTATTCCATTTTCCGTCAAATTAATCTTTATTAGTTGTAGTATCTATCATTCTGCTTCTATCCTCTTTACTTTTTTATGGTGTTTTCATGTTCATAATGCGTTTGTATTCACGGTTCAGTCTAAAGCTGTTTTTCTCATGTCGCACATTTTCCTAGTCTTATGGAACAGAACACTTAAGTAGTTTATGACCTAGATTTTCAGAGACAGTATCATTCGAACCTTAGAAATCTCTTGGTGCCTATCATGTTTAACTTCTAAACCTACCGCCTAGATATGATGACTAGACTAAAAGCCAGCAAAAATTCTAAAGCCATGCAAAGAAATACCTCAAGAAAGGTTTTTTTCAATTCCCAAGCTAATGTCAACATCCCTTAAAACATATTCATTATGTCACTGTGTGAACCATGCTGCTACAACTGGAACCGTTGTTATGATGAACCATAAAATCACTTGAAGATTAATAGGCTTTAAAATAGAGTTAATTTTTTTCAGAGTGTTAGTTTTAAGAATTTTATCTTTATTCCTATACAGGATTAGTTCTTCAACATTAAACAAGAAAAGTTGGTAAATTTTTTTTGCACGTATTTAATTTTTAACACTTTAAAAGATTTTCCTTTAAGTCATTAGTAGACATTTACATAATTTATTGCTTTTCTGGGATCATCTGTAGTAAAACTACAGCTTTCGGTAACATTTAAAACAATACTTTGTGTACAGTCTCAACAAAACAAACATATGCTGATATAACACTATTTGTATGGGTTTATAATTCTGTGAGACGATAGATGAATTTCGCCCAGCTTTCTGCCTTTCAGCATCAAAAATAAGATCCGGATTTTCAACTCCAATGTGAAGTCAGTACCATTTACTATACGGATAAGAAACTTGGCCAGCGCGTCACAAAAACCATCTCAAACAAACATCAGACCTTCATCAACAGTTGTCTTCCCTCAATACTCAAGATCAGATGGCCGGCCAGAAAAAATCAGCAATAGTGAGGGATCTCTGGCAGTGAGCGAACCAACCAGGAACCGATTGTGAAACAAAGAGGCAGGAAGAAATGGAGATGGATTGGCCATACACTGAGGAAACCATCAAGTGACATCACTAGACAAGCCATTGCTCGAGTGGAACTCGAAAGGGAAGCGGCGAGTTGGTCGTCAGTGAGAGGGTGACTTGGAGGAGGTCATGTGGAGAGGAGATGAAAGCATGTGGGCAGACTTGGAGCGGAGTGAAAAAGTTGTCAGAAAACTGAAGGCAATGGAGACGTTTTGCTGAAGCCCTATGTTCCTCTAGGAATTAAAGAATATAATAATAATAATTCTACCTTGTAGTATGCTTGAAGGAGGCGTAAGATGATGTTGAGCGTTGGCCTGGCAACTCCATTCTGTTAAGACAAAACCGCTATTACTGAAACTTCAGAAGCCTTAAGCCCTCGGAACGCAAAAAGATGAGAAACAATTCCATATAACAATAAGTTGTTTTAGATACGAAGCAGATCGCTAGGGTTCACCCCCTCTGAACACGATAATTATGCTACATGAAGTGTCTTCATTGCTGCCAACAGAAGCCTAAAGCGGCTTCTAACAGCGGTATAACTATTCTGACGAAATGTAGACTTCAAATAGTTTCTTTTACATAAAACTACCCAGTCTTAATAGTATAACAGAAACCTTTATAGAATAATTATGTACAGATATGCAACAATGTTACGCATTAACTGTTTAAGACAAAGAGACAATTATTATTATTGTTTCCTTGGGTTCCTACACGGACATAGGGCTTCAACTCCACGTCTCCACTTGCCACTTCTGTTTTCTGCTGTACTTTTCACCTGCATCCATGTTAGTACATACTCTTTCAACTCCTCTTCACACGATCTCCTCCATGTCACCCTTTCACTGACGTCCCACTCGCTGATTCCCTTTAGGGTTCCACTCGAGCAACGGCCTGACGCGCGGGCGATATCACACAGCGGCCTCCTCAGCGAGTGAGTGTCCAATCCATCTCAACTTTCTCCTGCATATTTATTTGTTGTTTGGTGAATGGCTCTTGTTTTGTTTCTTCCCATAGTTTCTTGTTGGTGATTCTTTCCGGCCCGGCCCGGCCATCTGATCTTCAGTATAGAGTTAGCGAAGACAGTTGTTGGTTGATGAAGGTGTGCAACGGGCTGTTGGAAATATTCTTTGTGACCCACCCGCCAAGTTTCTGATCCGATCCGTATAGAAGAACTGACTGACTTGACGCTGTTTGTATTGAAAATCCGACCGAATTTTGTTGTTGATGCTGGCTGATTGACGAAGATTTCCAGGTTGGTTTCAGGTTGATGAGTAAATGTGTTTCTCACACACCACCCGATTCTCGCTCGATTTGACATCGTCGTCCGTTCCGACTGTCTGTAGTTGGGACAATGCTCCTAGATAAGTGAATGAAGTAACCTCTTTCAAATCCCTCCCGTTGATGGTGATTGGCGCTGAATGTTGTTGCTGCTGTTGTTGTTGTTGTTAGCTGGTTATTTTCATAACCTCCGTCTTGTCTATGTTCACCTCGATTCCTGTTTTCGCCGGCTGCTTCTCTGACCAGTTTGTCGGTTTTCGCTTGTAAGTCTTCGAATTTGTGTGACATCAAACATAAACCATCCACGCGCGAAATCCAGGTCTTCTAGGTTCTTCACGTTGGTCGGTCCAGGATATTCCTGTCCCGTTTCTCGTTTCCCACTGTCTGACACATAGTCCAGTCCACCACAATTAGGATTATCATTGGTTGGTGATAATGAGCACCCTTGTCTGACTCCTGTGTTTACCCCAAAAACGCCTCCCTGAGTTTTCCGTTGTGGATCACTTAACATGTGCCTTTGTCGTACAGCTGTTGAATGAGGTTGATGGATATTTGGGATGCGCCATAGTACTCGAGTAGGATTTCGTCATCTGATGTGAAAAAATTTCGCTAAAATAGATAATAATCCTAAATATAACCTGAAAAGTATGACTACAGGATTACTTTCTGTATTATTATCACCTATGATTTCGGGTTGAAAATAGGGCTTCAACACCATACCTCTGTTTCACTCTGCCCTTCTCTGCCTATCTTAAATGGCTCCGCTAACTTTTGTTTCTTCTAACGATCTTCTTCTTATCACCGTTGGCCTCCCAACCCATCGTCTACCATTCAAACTTAACTCGGCGACCTGCCTTGCGTGTGAAGCCACTTTATCCGTCTCCTCAGTGTATGTACAGTCCATCTGCACACTTGTTGTGCGAAAGCTTTTCGGTGCGTTCAACGCCGAATAATCTAATCATCTTCACTATCAAGTCAGCAAAAGCAGCAGTTGATGAAAGTCTATAGAAGGCTATTAGGAAGGCTTTTTAAGATGCATGTGTCTAATCTCTGAAAGGTAATTGAAACGATGACTTTTAATTACTTCTGAAAACCGTGTTCTTCTTTCCTGTGGGATTCAACGAATTCACTAAACATTGGTTTTTCCGTAGCTATTTCAAAATGGTAAAATATTTGAAGAAGATTACAATTACAATCTCCAAGCCTATGAATGTTACAATCTGAACTTAAATTTTACAAGAAAGCTTTCTAGAAAGTGATTTAAAAAAGATTATTTGAAACCGAAAAGCGATGTACACATATGTGTTGATTAATTCCTTTTTTATTTATATTAAGTTGTCGTTGCCTGTTAAAATCTATTCACATCTTAATCTAGAAAACTTTCAGTTTAACAAAATGATTTACTAGTATTCCTATGCAGCTGATTTCTTTTTTTCAACAAAACACTTCCTTCAAATTATCTTACCACTTGCGGTGAATGCTTCACGGATTAACTGAACTTGAGTGAAACTTCCTTTCTTATAAATCAAACAAATTAAAATTTATTGCTGAGTTGACATTTTGTAGATTTTTCATTAACCTTGACTCAAACGTATAAGAAAACTAGTGAATTTTTTTAGGCATTGGTTTTCGTAGGGATTTTGTTTGATTGGATGGAGGATTTCATCACGAGCTGACATCAGTTAGGAATTCATTTGGAAACTTGGGAGTACTGGACAGCTTTTATTTTATAAAAACACAACACTTAGTATCCATGAAGTAAAAATAAGACGTATAAGTGAAAATTCTTGATGAGATGAAACTTCAAAATCAAACTATTGCTACAAACTTAAGGCTTGGAAGTTGATACACTGTTCCCTTTCTGAATTTTATTTGACATTTGACAGGGTGAAGTTGCTAGCCTCATGCCCAACCTTCCTTTTTTACCATTTTTATTACTGGCTTAGTGAGGTTTAGAAGTGCGTCGGCAGGGAATCGAACCCCGGACGACGTGTACTTTTGTGCAGCATTCTGTCTCTGTGCCACTAACGCACTATGTTTACTAACGGTGATATAAATATATATACTTGAGAGAACTTAGAATTCATGCACCATGGGATTCTACAACAGTAGCTCAATGTTAACGCATCACTTGTTAACATGAAGGTACTAGGTACTATCACTTGTAAAGTCATGAGTTTATCCAGTTGAAGAGTCTGAAAGTAAGACAAAACGACTGTCCAGTTTTCCCTTGCTTTCAATGGTTCTCTGACCAATGTCCCTTTGTGGTGAAATCTGACTTAAAATTCTTCAGGTTGTGAAGATTAGTGATTTGAAACTATAGCATTCGAATATATATAAAAACACAGTTTTTGATCGGTGAAGAAATATCTCTTTTCAACGACTTCATTCTCAAGCTTTACAGTCGTATTTATATCACGGAAAAGACATTAAGTGGCACCAGAAATTGCTCAGTCAATTTAAACATGATAAGAATAAAGATAATTAAAATGATTTATTAAGTTCGTAGAGTTGAAGTGGATGAATTACAAAACTTTTATTGATATAAATACGACTGTACAGCTTAAAAATGAAGTCGTTGCAAAGAGATATTTCTTCACTGATTAAAAGCTGTTTTTCTCCTATGAACTAGTGAGTATATTTCGCGATTTCCATATATTTTAAAACTTACATTTTGATATTTTTTTTCTAGTCATCAAGACATAGACGATAATGTATCTGAAACACACTCACCATATCAAGTTTCACTTGACAACTTTGAAGCATTCTCTCAAGATGATGATGCTGAAGAAGCAGGGAATGAAAAATACGATGAAGAGGATAAAACAAGTCAATGTCGAAGCCAAAATGATTATGCACCAAATGGAAATGTTTCAATGGATACAAGTCTCGTGGATTTGGTAAGTTTGAAGTCTTGTAACCACCTAAGTGATATACACATGCATATACTTTAACTAGAGATATATCTTACTGGTTTATGCGGTGAACTTCCAACCACTGGGTCATACGTCTTAATCTCTCTGCACTAACTGAGGTCTGGGTAGGCCGACAGTATCTCCAGCTATTACGCAATAGGATTGGTCCACTGTCAACTAGTCTGAACTGCGAGGGGTTGTTTAGTAACAGCATAAGTTAGTCAAAGCCCCACAGAGTATTTTAACATCTAACATCATTAACATGTAAAAGATAAGTTATCAATTTTTGGTTGGAGGGTTTCATCATGAGCCGACATCAGTTAGTGAATCAATGGGAATCTTGGGTGTACTCGACAGCTATTTCGTCCTAGTTTGGGACTCTTCATCAGTATGCACCCACCACCAGAGTGGTTCGAACCCATCACCTTCTGGCTACAAGAATAGCGAGCTCGTAAACCATTAAGTCACTAGGACCCGATCCAGTGGCCAGCCCACGAATTCTAACTCCTTCCAATTCATGATGCCCACTAGCGGCTGACCCTATTCAGGCAGTTAACCTGGGCTTCCAGTGGGAGACCGTGACTGGTAGGGTGCAGCAGGTTGAATGTGAAGCAGCAACTCATCAAAGAAGACATTATGATGTGGTCCCGCTATGCAATGAATTGGCAGAAGCTAGAATTCATAAAGTGGCCATTGTATCGGATCCCAGTGGCTTAGTGGTCTACGAGCTCGCTAGTCTTGTACCCAGAAGTTCCTGGGTTCGAACTCCGTGGTGTGGGTGCGTACTGATGGAGAGTCCCAAAGTGGGACAAAACAGCTGGCTGTTCAGTACTCTCAGGTTTTCCAATAGTCCTCTAACGGATGTCCGCTCATGATGAAATATTGCATTCAATGAAACAAAATTCCTACCAAACCAATACTCGTCTATCCGTTTTTATCATCTTGTTCAAGTTCAACCTTCAATTTCACCACTGGTATCAATATAAACTGTTTAAATCATAGTCTTTCTTGAACATTTCAAAGTAACCAAAATTAATCATGAAATTTTACAGAATTTAATATAAAAATCTAAAGCTTTAAGCATTTATCCTATGAGATTTATTAATAAAACTAAAAATGGAAAGGAAAATTTGTTAGAAATTCGAGACTGAAGAATTTTTCCCAGTTACGTTCAAAATTTCAACCAATGAATTTCTTTGTTTATTTTGACAGGATTACTATTAACAATGAAACGCCAAGTTAGGCAATGACACGAATAAAGTTGTGAATTTTGTAGTTGCTCTCAATAAAACACTCCTGTTTCTTTCACCCAGTTGAACAGTAAGAATTAAGAATGGGAGTTTTTAAGAAGCTGAGTCTTACAATTCAATTATTATTGGGCTGAGTTGCTTGCTCAAAAGGCGTTTCAGTTTAAATTGTGTCCTGAACTAGGCCTCCATCATTATCTAGGACTGCATTCTATTACACTGACAACAATATAGTAGTAGAATTTGAGCACTGTGGTAGAATACAATTTCATGCTAGAAAAGTTTATTCGATATAACACAGTGATACAATGTTAATAACTTGATGGAGCTTCGAGGATTTCATGGAGGTACTCACACAGCTTCCTGACTTGCTTTCTATTCATCTAGAATAGGCATACTGTCAATTGGACTGCATATTTTTCTGGCGTTGATTATATGAACAAACATCAAAGGGTTAACCTCTCTCTGCCTTCATCTATCTGTATTACTTCTTAATACTTTTACATTGTCCCATCTTGTTGTGTGATTATGTGCAAGTGAATGTATAGCAATGGCCCAGATTCTTAGGAGATTACTTAACTTGATGAGGTCGATTGTTCTATATCTAACTAAGTTCCTATGTTCCCATAACCTAACTAAACCAGTTCCACTCTTCCAGACTAGCTTTTTGACCTTCCAGTCATTACATAGTATTTAGTAAATGATATTACTTTTGTAAATTGAATCTGTTATGTCCTTAAACCGATAAAGTTTGCCTCTGAAGGAATTGGTTGTATTGAGTGACGCTCTCACTAAGAATACTACATATAACATGTGATGTTCATTCTTTATACTGTGAGTAACGTGAGTGGTATTCAAGTATTCATTTTATTCACTAAGTAGAAAATAGGAACATGTATGAATGCATATGTATTACATAAGTCGAATTGATATGACACACAGTGGCACAGTTTTAATAACTGGATGACGTCATGTTGGTGTGGATTATGAAAACGACATAAATAATTAGGTATTCAAATAATCGATAGTAACGGCATATGGAAAAGGAAAATCACAGGTTCTGTGTAGGAATCTTAGTAGGGCTGGCATAAAGTGGCATTCTTACACAGTCAGTTCATTCAAAGATACACTTTATCCACGATTTCTTGATTGCTATCTACGGCGCCTAGCAGATAATTTATTGTATTCGGCATAATTTCGATTTTCAAACGAAACTGTGGTGAAATTTCATCTAGAATGGTGGAAATGTCAAACTGTGAATATGACACTCTGCAACTAGTCAATGAAATTAAAAATACATTTATTCTCCTATATGAATTTGAAAAAAGCAAGAACAGCAGTGGTCTGTGCAAAACAAGACGATGGTACCTTCATTGTTTATTTCATTGACTTTTCATCAACTGCTTGCAGCCTAAGGAGATTATTAATCTCATGTACAGAAACGTTTTAACAAACTTGTAAATTTTACATGAAGTCAGTTGACAGGAGGTTCCTAACTTAGTGAACAGTGCTCAGAAAATTACACTTATATAGTTTTCATAGAGGGAGCTCAAGTTTAAACAATGTGAGAACAGAGAGAAGATTACACCTCCTATTTTCTGAACATGTACCGAAAAGCCTGCATCTCAAGGGAATAAAGGCTTAAAATATTACCATTACTAGGAATCTTCTTGATACGGATCGTGAGGTGTTAATCAAAAAATCCTGTCAAGTTATCAAAAGAACAAACGGAGCTATTCTCCTCAAATTTGCTGAAGAGATCTCTGTCAAACGCCTGAAATTCGATTTATGTGTTCAGCAAGAAGCAGTCATCAGTCTTTCCTCGCCTTGGTAACTGGATGTCTTTATTCTCTCTCTCTCTCTCATTTGGTTACGTAGTATTCGGCTTTAACCCCAACCCCGTTGATACACTGTAATTTCGCTTGTCTCTTGTTTCTATGATTTGAGTTGAACTCAGTACATTGGTACCCAATTTCCCAGTTACTCATCATCACCTCTCGTCTTTATTATATAATTCCATTAGCATTGTATGCGTATACATTTACTTTGTTTAAACTTGGACCCCGTGTGTAAAAAGTATATAAGCTTCATTTTCTGAGCACTATTCACTGATTCTGGAAACTGCTGTCAGCTGACAACACGAGAAAAATTCGCAAGTATGTTAAAACTTTTCTGTACATGAGCTTGATAATTCAAATAGACTGTAAGCAGCTGATGAGAAGTCAAAGAAATAAACAATGATGATACCATCTTATTCGGCATAAAATGTGTTGTTCTTGCTTTATTCAAGTTGAAAATACTTTGAAATAGTCTAATGTGAATTATCTTTTTTTTCAAGAAATAATTGTGTAAGAGTAAGAACTCAACTCTGTTTTTCTTTATACTATTATAAACCTCTATATATGTTAATCACTTCTTTCATTTCTGTATTTTGTTAACTAACCTCATAAATATTATATCGAAATAAATGTTCATAGTATCCTTTCACTGGACTATAAAGCACTAAACTGGCTAGTTAACAAACTACATAATCCTTACAATTCATTTAGTTTACTTGTTCTTTGTTGTTGTTTTTTTTTTGTTTGTTTTATTTTCATGTACTTTTCACGTTCGTCGTTTTGTTTCTCAAATAATCAGCAATCCCTTGGAAAATCTCATGATAATTCATTATTCAACAGTTCAATAGTATTTAGTGAAGAGATATCATTAGACGGGAATAAAAGTCGTCTTTTATCTACAACTGATATCGCACATAGTGAATTAATTGATGATTTGGAAAGTGATATTCAATCAGATCAATATGTACATATGGATGAAGCTCCAGAAAGTTTAGCTGATGCGATCTCACTAGGTGCAATCTCTTTAATTACTGGTTTATCAGAAGATGATGAACATGATCCCAATGATGGTGATGGTGATGGTGACGACGATGGTCGTAGATACAATAGCAGTAAAGCAGAGAATATATTGAATGTAAATTCAGTCTATCTTGAATCAGATAACAGTGTAAAAGTGAAACATGCAAAGAGTTTGACGCATTTACCTAGACGAGAAGTTATTTCTGCTCTAACATTGGACTCTTCGAATATAAATGCTCAAGGAATAGTAGAATCTGATAAACAATCTTTGAATGAACCGACTTGTAAACTTGTTCGAGTAAAGTCACAACAAATATTCTCAAACACGGATGCATCATTTAGACAACATCGTCATCAGCAGCAGCAAATGGAAGCTGAATCGTCTGCTCCTTCAGTAATGTTGTCTACACCTACATTGAATGGTACGGCAAACCAGGTTGACCAGAAAACTTATGAGGTAAGTTTATAAGGTTACAGAATTTATATTATTATTTATTATGCTTCATGTCGTTCATCAACAACATTGATGCTAATGAATTACGATTTCTTTCAAACAACCATCTATTATCAACTTAAGTAGAGACATTGTATCACTTCACGACAGACTGTATCATACTGTTATTATTATTGTTGCCTTGAGTTCCTAGACGGACATAGGGCTTCAACTGCACGTCTCCACTTGCCACTTCTGTCTTCTGCTGTGCTTTTCACCTACATCCATGTTAGTACATACTGTTTCAAATCCTCTTCACACGATCTCCTCCATGTCACCCTTGCACCGACGTCCCACTCACCACTCCCCTTTCGGCCTGGTTCCACTCGAGCAATGGCCTGACACGCGGGCGATGTCACCCAGCGAACTCCTCAGCGAGTGAGTGTCCAATCCATCTCAACTTTCCCCTGCATATTTGTTGAGTGATTGGTTTTTGTATTGTCTGTTCCCATGGTTTCTTGTTGGTGATTCTGTCCGGCCCAGCCATCTGATATTCAGCATAGAGCGAAGACAGTTGTTGATGAAGGTCTGCAACCTGTCGGTTGGAAATATTCTTTGTGACCCGCCAAGTTTATGAGTATCATGCTGTTGGTAGACGTAAATAGCTTACCTGACTATGAGCTGCCGCCGAGAAGCGTTTACTGAAAAACGTCAATCCTTCTTGAACACCCCTGTGAACAGCTATCAGACAAGTGAATAAGCCAGGCCTGAATGGCCATAGAGAACAAACAGTAGCTAAACTGGACTTTTTGACAAGAAATAAAGTTTATATTTTGACAATAAATAACTAAACTCATCATGAAGAAGAAGGTGGCACATACGGTCTGCTGTAGAATCAGAGGTAAAAGCTTTTTGTAATTTATAACCAAAGATTAGTAAGTGTCGAAGTTAATCTACCTGATCTCAAATAGTTGGAATGGAAGGGGTTAGTGGTTGTATTCAGCTGGACACTGGTATTGCTCACAATCAGATGTACCGTTAAGCTCGCATTACCATGCAGCCAAGCGTTAACAAATATCATGGAGCAGCTAACTTCTGTAGTTTTGCAGTTCACTAAATTAAACTTTACACCCATTACACATGCTGAAATTTTAGGCATCCGGTGAATATTACCGGGTCTCATGTCACAGATATCTGTCATTCCTAGTGAGACTAATACCATTTGTAGTTGGTGAGTAAATTTTACAGCATAGTAAGTTTTATTCCAACAACTGGTTGTCACTGTTACATAAATCAGTATGTATGTCTATGTTAGGGTTATGAAAATACTCCCTATTTCTACGTAATTATCACAGAAAAGAAACAAAAGTTTTGATTAAAAACAAACTGTTATGAATGAACAAAATATTACCGATATATATATATATTTGAAGTAAATAAATTCACTGAAGTGAAATCAAAACGTTTTATATGAATTATTTTGTTGAGAATTTTTATTTCTCTTCTAAATTTAGAGTTCTATCCCAGCTACAAAGTAATTGCAGCCTATTTTTTTCCTTTTAATCGCAATAACAATATTATGTTTGAATTTTTGCAGTTAGTTTTTCAACGGTACATTGATAGAATGCTCACTAGCTGCGTGTGAAGTCCGGAGTTCAACTTCCTGCTAAGGCATTCTTAAACCCCGCCTAGCTGATAGTAAACCCAGAAAATAGGGGTAAAGGTTTGGTGTGAGGCTAGCAACTCTACCCTGTAAAATAAAAAACACATCTGCTCGTGAAACTTCAAAATGCTTAAGATCCTATGATCCACTTACCTACTTGCTTACTTAAAAATCGAACAGCTGCTTCGGAATTAAATTGAAAACCTACTAGTTTGAAATTTATCGACAACCTAGACTAACTATCATTTCATCATATTACGCGCTATTATCCAAATGATAAATAGTTTTTAATTTCTTCCTCTAAATTTTGAGACTTTGTCACATTATTATTATTCTTTTGGGTTCGGAGTGAAACATAGGGCTTCAACAACACATCTACACTTTCTTCTGTTTTCTCCCATCCTATTCAAATGAATCCACGATTGATCACAGTCTCTCATTATTTATTTAAACCCATAAAAAAACTTGGTACAATATGGCACCAAGAAGATGCGCCACACAATAATTATAAAACAACATAGATCAAAAAAAAAAAATATAAGTAGAGAACGGATAAAGAACTTCATCTGGAAGGAAAACAGTCATGCTTAACAAGTTCAAACAGTGTTCGTTAACTATCATCGGGAAGGGAAGAAAGAAGGAAATCGCAACACATTCGCCACTGATTACGATTCTTGGCCATATCCGATAACGTTTCGAGCCATCGATTTGAGCTATCTCTCGGACCCCAACCAGGGAGTCGTGACACACCAACCGATGCTAATCTAGCACAAAAATCCTTCATCCCACGACGCCACGTCATGGACTGACCACCTCTCCGCCTTTTCCATCCCGTCCCAGGGCTAGCGAACAGAGACCTGTACGGAAGCCTCTGGGGTGACATTCGGAGCACATGTCCAAGCCACCGGAGCCGGTGTTTCCAGATGACGACATTCAATGAATGGTGATCTCCACTGTTCAAACACACGCCGCCGAACCTCAGAATTACTCACGCGATGATGCCATCGAACGCAAGCAATCCTGCGGAGACAGCGGTGATCGAACACGCAGAGTCGCCGCACATCCTCAGCTCGGAGAGGCCAGGTTTCACAGGCGTAGAGCAGCAGCCCGCACCGAAGCATTGTATACCCGACCTTTGACAGCCAGGCTAACGTCGCGACGGCGCCAGAGGTGGCTCAAGTTGATGTATGCCACCCTAGCCTTCATTATACGGTTGGAAATCTCATCCGTCACCCCTCCGCCAGCACTCACACAACTACCCAGGTACACAAACTTATCAACAACTTCAAGCGGTTCACCCGCAAGAGTGAGTGCAGGTACAGGCTCCTGCCAATCTTGTAACAGTACTTTGCACTTAGACGGCGCAAAGCACATACCATACTTACAGACACTGATCGCCAACTGATTAAGTGCGATTTGGGCAGCCTGCATGCTATCGCACAGTAAGACGATATCGTCTGCATACTCGAGGTCGAAAAGTCTATCTCCAGGTAGCAGATCTACACCACCTTCACGCACATCCTTCAGAGCTGACTCCAGAATGTCATCGATGGCAAAGTTAAAGAGAAATGGAGAGATTGGGCAACCCTGTCTAACCCCACTGTTGGTTGGGAACAGTGGTGATAGTTGGTTGTATGCCCTCACTCTACCTGAGGTGTTTCTGTATAGGGCTTTCAAGATGTTAACAAATTTCTCAGGTACACCTCTCTCTAACAGACAGTTCCAGAGCACAGTTCTGTCCAACGAATCGAAGGCAGCCCTAATATCAAGAAACACAACGATCGTTGGCCTGCAATACGTGTGGCGGTGTTCCAACAACTGACGAAGGGTGAACACATGATCAATGCATCCACGACCTGAACGAAACCCAGCCTGCTCTTCGCGAATCAATCCTTCACGTATTTTGCACAGTCTGCGAAGCAAGACAGCAGCCAATATTTTAGACGCGACTGGTAACAGACTGATACCCCTATGATTGTCACACGAATTACGTCGACCCTTTTTAAAGATGGGGACGATAATGGCTTCGTTCCACATTGATGGTACACTCTCTGTCTCCCACACCTTCCTGAACAACCCAGTTAGAGCCATTGTGAGAGTCTCGCCACCATCTTTAAAAAGAGCCGGGGGTAATTTGTCTGGGCCGGGCGCCTTATGGCGTTTCAGAACTTGGAGTTCCTTACGGACCTCCGCTTCGGTGGGTGGGTCGGTACTAACCGACCAAGGAGCACTCGGGCTAATGATAGTAGACACTGAAGCTGGTGGCCAGCTGAACTGCTTCCCGAAGTGCTCTGCCCAGCGTTCCAGGCGTCTTTTCAGGCTGGTAATTGGAGTGCCATCTGCCTCACAGACCGTCTCGCTGACACCTTGTTTCTTGCTGCCGGTGGCTCGTATGAGTTGGAACAGCTTCCGACTGTTGCCAGATGCAGCAGCTGACTCCATCTCACACGCACGTTCTGACCACCAGGCTTCGCGGTCCTTACGTAAACACTGTCTAATCTTGCGCGTGAGCGCCTTTCGCTGATTGTTGTATTCGCTGCCAGCCGGAATGGACCGGCGTTCATCCATGAGTTGCAAGGAACTCGCAGAAACCCAGTGGTTGTTAGCGGAGCATTCTTTCAAGCCGCAAGCGGCTACACTCGCCTTTTGCATGGCACCTTGCACATGAAGCCAATGTTCATCTATACTACTTGGGGGTTGCTGGCAAGCATTGTTTTTAACTCATTCTGATATTTCAAAGAAGTAGCAGGTGCTACTAGTTTGCTCACATCAACGCTTAGACGACGGCTTTTACGAACCCCACCAAATCGCAAGACGAACTTGGCACACACTAACGCATGATCGGAGTCCAGGCATGTGCTCCAGAAGGAGCGACAGTCTTGTATGCATCCTCGCCACCGGAAACTGACCGCGATATGATCAATCTGAGTCCAAGCTTGCTTCGCAGAGGGAGGACGCCAGGTAGCGCTACGGCGATGGCTGTGCCGGAAGTTGGTGCTAGCTAGAAATAGGTTGTGATCCGCGCAAAGCTGCAGAAGACGGTCCCCATTATCTGACCTGCGACCATGTAGTCCCCACTGACCACCTAGACGATTCTCCTCTGAGCTTAGACGCCCCACCTGTGCATTCAAGTCCCCAGCCAGCACTACGATATCCCTCCGACCCGCCTGTTTCAAGAGATCGCTCAGTTGGTAGTAAAACTCATCCTTCATTGCATCCGGGCTGCAATCCGTCGGTGCATAGGCAGAGACAACAAATAGACACCGCCTATCTGGCCTACTACTCTTACTTTCGTATAACCTTCCAGCCTCACAGCACATAAACGACTGTTAATGGGAATCCAGTCGAGCAGTGCAGCTTCGGCTCTAGCGCTCAGTGCGACACCGACACCAGCTACGCCGGATGCCGACGCCACAGGGTCCCCGGATAAGCGCAGGTGGTACATACTACTAGAACTTCCAGATGGAGAGGATAGTCGAAGCACTTCACTGGGATCTTGAATGCGGGTCTCCGAAATGCAGCAGACATCGATAGCGAGGCTTTCCAAAGTTCTTGCCAACCCTGCCTGTTGTCCGATTTGCATCAGCGTCCGAACATTGTAGGTAGCCAGCTTGAACGCAGCACGCGGTTTCAGGATATCTGTGTTAGATGTCACATTGGGAACAACCATTTTGAGGACTACTCACTAACATCTCGAAACGACACGGATAGGCTGGGAATCTCGACAAAGGCGAAAGGCTGTCGAAGGTTAAGAAGCCAAGGTTAGCAAAGGTAAATACAGGAAACTATGTATAAAAATAAAAGTAAAATAGGAAGGAAATAATTTGCTTGAGGGATCATATTGCTTGAAATCATTTTTACTAGCGCACTTTGAGTTTCAATGAGAGTTCGTTACTTTAATTCATTCATTGTGTCTCTCATCCTCTCATCGCCACATGATCTCCTCCATGTCACCCTCAATGTGATGACCCACCAGTTGCTTCCCACTGGGATCCCACTCGAGCGATGGCCTGCATTGCGCGTGATGTCATTCGACGGTTTCCTCAATTTATGCCCAATCCATCTCCATTTTCTCCCACATATTTGTTGAGCGATAGGTTCTTGATTAGCTTGTTCGCACAGTTTCTTGTTGTTAATTCTCCCTAACTGGCCAGCCGGCCATTATGGGGCCGGCGAAGTCACTTGTTGATAAAAGTCTTCAACCTATAGGAAATGCTTTTTGTGATTAACATGCAGTGCAAGTTTCTGACCCGTGTTGAAGCACTGACTTGACATTGGTGTTGAAAACGCAAAATCTTGTTCCTTATCCTGACTGAGTGCAGAAGATTTCCAAACTAATTTCAGGTTGATGAAGGCGTATCTTGCCTTTCCAATCCTGTCTGGCTTTGGCATCTTCATCCGTTCCTCCTGTAGTTAAAACGATGCTGGCTGCCTAGATAAGTGAAGGAGGTAACCTCTGTTAAATCTCTCCCGTTGATGATCTTTGGTGCTGGTTGTTGTTGCTGTTGGTTGGTTATCTTCATCACCTCCGTCTTCTCTACGATCACTTGGAGTCCTATCTTCGCTGCCAGCTTCTTTAGCCATTTAATTGGTTTTTGCCTATAAGTCTTTGAGTTTGTGTGACATTGAACATGTATTATCTACAAAATCCAGATCTTCTAGAGTTTTCTTATCGGTGGTCCAGCGTACTCCTGTCTCCTCACTCACTGTGCACAGTCTCATGCATAATCCAGTCCACTACAATCAAGAATATCATTGCAACAACAGATCGTCGCTAGCAGGGTTCACAATTCCAGGATGAAGTGAATGCCCATCCATGATATACGTCAGAGGTAGTGCTATATCACAAGTGGACAGAAGTTAGGATTCATATGTTATGGAATTCCGACTCAGTCATCTGGCCGAAATCGTAACTACAATTTCCTGTGTTCGATCCATGGTACAGTCATGGGCGCGCACTGTTGAAAAATCCCACACTAGGATGAAATAGCTGTTCCGTACTCTCTGGTTTTCAATGATTCGACAACTTTTTCTGATTCATGACAAAATTTTCAGTGTAATATCACAATTGATAGGATTAATCGCGAGCTGATGTCAGCTACAGAACCTTTGGAAAGCCAAGGAGTACTGAATAGTCATTTCGTCCTAGTTTTGAGCCCAGGTGCTTCCGGTTACAAAGCGGGCCCGTAGATGATAATTCAGTTACTGGGAGCTGATCCAATCGTCCATGGATTCCAACTTCTGCCGATTGGTGATATGTATAGCGCGAGCGGCAGTCAGTGTTAAAGACGACTAATTGTTCTCTTACCAGACTTGGTGGACCCAGCTATTTACAACTTTAAATCAAAACTCCAGGGAACTTCTTATTTGCAGCCAGTTGCTAGTGAGCATCAGACTGATGATCACGTGTTGGGGATATCAATTCATGTTCAAACCTGTAACCAATCAAATCCCTGAAAACCAACACTTGGTAATATTACAATATCTTGTATTAATCACTCAATTGAAACATCTGTACTCTCTACATCTATCAATTCTACTTATTATTAACTTTGTTTAGCTATCGTGAGTCTTTTATAGTTTTTTTTTCATTATTGTTATTGAAGTGAGATACTCTTCAATGAGCTGAAAGTTTCATTGCATTGATAAGCTGTGGTTTTAGTAACAAATAGCTTGGCCAATTACAGTTTGTGCGTTAAATGTAAATATAGTTTGAATGAATTACACCATAGCTAATTAGATAACAAACATCAATTTTAATTGTAAATGTTACTCATGATTCCTTATAAGTATGGGCTTGATTCTTCATAAAGTTATGAAAGTATGCTTAAGTAGGATAAAGCAGCCTTTAATTATTCTTTATTTTTACGAGTTGATCACGGATTGATATCAGTTAGAGAACCATTGAAAACCAGCACTAACGTACTGGACAGCTGTTTCATCCTAGTTTGAGAATCATCGGCAGTCCTGGTTTCGAATCCCAGTGGGTGCGTACTACCGATGATGATTCCTAAACTAGGATGAAACAGCTGTTCAGTACTCGTTGCTGGTTTTCAATGTTTCTTCAACTGATATCAATCTGTGATCAACTCGTAGAAACAGATCTAATCTTTGCAAACCAACTATTGAAAAAGTATTCTTTATGGTTTAACACTTCTCTTACTTTCAACTTTTTACGACACATTATAAAGGTTTTAACCTATTTAATAAGTATACTTTTTTTCAAGCAAACATCGCTGCTACTCTTTTTCGATAAATTTTGTTTGTTTTTTTTTATATTTTTTTTCTTCTGTTGAAATTCACCTTACTATTGATGATAATATTTTTTTAAAAATGGTTTATTTTCATTTCCACAACTTGCTTTAATATTTCAGTTGTTGAAAATCGCTTCAGGATGTCTGGATATATTCAAAGAAGTTCTGTTGACAGAAACTATGTACAATCATGATTTGGAGTTTTTGCTAGCGGCAAGTTTTTTATGTTTGTTCGTTTGTTTGTTTTTTATCAAATCATTATTAACTATTTCTTTCAAATTAGAAAACTTTTTCCCATTTACATATCTCACTTGAAATATAATCAATATATAGTTAGGTTGTAGTGTACTTTAGGTGTTTTATATATTGTAATAACATTTAGATATCAAGAAAACCTCGTAGTAATTTAGTTTCCCTAGGCAACTGTTACCATGAGAACATATGAATTGAAGTTCATAACCTTGCAAAACCTTGTTAACTATCACAAAATGTTACCAACATCTACCTTCTCGATAGTGAAGATCAGATGCCTGGTTGATCAGAGAAGATAAGCAACAAGAAAGTTTGACAGAAGTCAAGCAAGCATGTATTACCCTATAAATATATATATTAAAGGAAATGGAGACGGATTCGACATACTCTGAGGAGACTTACAGACTACGTTACACACACACACACACGCCAGATTGTAGAGTGTTAAACAACAGTTTGGGCGTCTATGAGTGACATGAAGGAGATAATGTGAGAAGAAAGTGAACAGTTATAAGCAGTCATGGTGTGAGGGGAAATGTATGGCAGAATAGTGAGTGGAATATAAATGTTATACAGAAGCCTTGAGATCTGAGTAGAACTCGAGGAATAAATAATAATGGTATTTCATACATTTATTCCCCTTAATGAATTTGAACAAAGCAAGAATTACACTTTTAGCAGAATAAAATGGTACCATCTTTTATTTCGTTGCCTTCTCATCAGCTGCTTACAGGCCAAAGGCATTATTAAATATGTCTACAAAAACAATTTTAGCATGCTTGCACAGAGTTCATTTTAAACAAAAATCAATCGATCATTATAGGCATACATCAATAATATATATGTAATATTAAACACTATTCCGAACAATAATAATCATACACAATGGAAACTTTTCAGCATTACACATTCAAATGAAAGAGAGATGAAAATATTCAGTTACCAAGGCAAAGAAAGACTGACAACCGCTTCTTTCTGGACGGATAAATCAGGTTTCAGACGCTTGATGGAAATGGCTTCAGCAAACTTGAGGAGAATTAAGCTCTTTTGCCTGTTGATAATTTTGAACAATGACCCATGTCGAAAAGACGCCTGGCGATGGCACTTTTTAAAGCATTTGTTCCCTTTAGACATAGGCTTTTGGTACATGTTCAAAAAATTGTAGATATGCCCTTCTTTCCGTCCCTCCAATGTAACTGCTCCCACAGACACATGTAAATTTGTATACACAGTTGGAGTTAATATGAGAAGGACATCTATCGATTTCTGATTGCACTAAAGAGCAAGTTGTTTGATGGACGGGGACGAGCTTAGCTGCAGGATAGGCTATGGCTAGTGATGGTATTAGATTGAAATATTTTCATAATAATTTAATCACCTTTATACGTTTGAACTTTTGTAAACTTTTCGCTTGAATACTGTCAATGACCAGTATATCACGAATACAAATGACTAAACAAGTCCCAATCATGAATTATGGTTTAACTTGTGGAGTAGCACTCATCTTACAGCTAGTCTTATTATTCATTATTGATTATGTGTTACTTACTTAGCTTACACCTTGACTTCATTTTAAGTTAAAGTCTTTTTATGAATAAATAATGACTATACTTCAGTATATTACTCTTGTAATCTAAAAGTCTGTAAATGAATATAACCTTAGTGTGGAAAATGGCGTCAAGGTCACCATAGGTGGCGCGAATTGTGATTAACATATCCACTTGCAGACCATATAATTTAAGATTTGAAAGCGTAAACTGATAATATCTAAATTATGTAAGGATTACTGAATGTAACATATATGATGAAAGTAATGATAAAAATTGTATACCTTATCTACCTTGATATAATATATATATCAACTAAGTTATTTTATATCAGAAAAAATTTTGAGCATTGTGTATATCACTTTAAATTTAAATTTATTTTTATAGTTTTTACACATGATTAGTTTTTTTTTTTGTTAAAAAAAGAAGGAATGAAGATATACACGCCTCAATAAATGAACCAACAGGGGGACAAGCCTACAAAAATCTTGAAAAAAATCTTCCCAAGCTGCCCATGAATGGGGAAAAACCCCAAAATCGATTGGGGGAATTTGTGTTTTTTAAAAAAAAAAATGAAAAAAGGGAAAAAAAAACCTTAAAAAAAAAATATTTTTTAAAAAAACCCCCCGGGATATATTAAAAAGGGGTCACTACAACAATCTACAAACAAAATATAATTCTAAACACAAACACATGAATGAATGTGGAGTATAATTCTGAACCACACATATGCACACACAAAACATGAATGAACAAAATAATAATAATGAACTATATATGTGAATACAAATCACAAATGTGTGAATAAAACAATTCCAACAGTGGTGTGAACACGGGCAGTAATTTTGCTCGAAATATTACCAATAACAAAACTTATCATTGTGTGTAAACTATTAAAATATAATTATACTTTAACTAAGTTACTGTTTCTAAGTTGTAAGACAACATGTCAGCCAATGGTTTCAGTTTTCTGTTTGTTTTCTTATCTGTTTAAGTTTCATTTCATCATCTACCTATGCTGTACTGTATTCTGTTTTAAATATAAAATAAAGCTATTACCATTTTCTCAAATACTTTTTCATGACGTAAACGAGGGTAAGAGGGAATATTTATCAATGCTAGACTGGAATAGGCAAACAGTAATAGGGAAAACAAGAAAAAAAAAGGAGAAGAGATATGTATATCACTGTGTTACCATAGTGATGTAGTCCTGGTGATTATTACTATTACTATTAGTATTACTAATCTTAGGTATGGGTATGCATTTATCAGCCATTGAAAACTTACTAGCCATATTTTCTTCTTGTTTTTCAAAATGTTTATTGGTAATGTTGGAAGGGGAAATCGAAAAGAGATTTTCAGAGAGATAGATATATATAATCTATATTTTGTCTGGTTCGTTCTTATCCTTCATTGATTCGATTACTTTTAAGTTAACTAACTGAATTAACCGTAACGCATAAGATTTGCCTCATATACTTATGGTTGTGTATACTTATCCTGCTTAGTTTTCGGTTCTTACCCTACTCCCTTTTGAATTTTTTTCTATATATATCTTTTGTTACAAACTCTTAAATGATAAGCGAGATCTTTTTTCGAAGCAAATTTGACTTCCGTTAGATAACCACTGAAAACCAGAGAATAACTAGACCGCTGTTTCATCCTAGTTTGAAACTCATTTTTTATCTGTACTAAATGTCTCATACTCTAGCGTTAATATCACATAACACATTAATTAATATTATTAGAAAATGAACTCTACACTATTAGTGTAGTTTCTGAACATTGTAAGAAGCATGAAGTTTTTTATATTCACGGATAGTCTAAGCTGAAAAGTTCTGATAAGCAACAAACCTTAAAAACAAAGATTCTTCATAGTCTATTTCTAACGCATTAATCAAAAGGTTTTTTATTTTATCGAATTCTGAAAAGAATTTAGGGTTATGTTTTTTTAAGAGATGTATACAATGTTACAACAACATTTTAACACAGCTGTACAGTTCAGCACCAATCATCATCAACGGGAGAGATTTACAAGAGGCTACCTCCTTCACTTATCTGTCTAGGAAGCATCATTTCAACCGCAGGGGAGCAAAACGGATAAAGAGGTTAAAACCAGCCAGTGAGAGCAGGAAAGACAAGATACGCCTTCGTTAACTTGAAACCAGTTTGGAAATCTTCTACACTCAGCATAAGGAACAAGATTCACATTTTCAAGTCAGTTAGTTCTTCTATACGGGTCGGAAACTTCCACTTCCTGTCACGAAAAGGATTTACAACAGGTCACTACAGACTTTTATCAACAGCTGCCTTTGGTGGTTCACTATTGAAGATCAAATGGCCGGCTGGCCAAACAGAAACAGTAAGTAACAAGAAACTGTAAGAACAAGCTGACCATGAACTTGTTGTTCAACAAATATGTAGGAGAAAGTGGAGATGGATTGGGCATACATTGAGGAGACTGTCGAATGACATCGCGTGGAATTCAGGCCATCGCCCGAGTGGGATCCCAACAGGAAGCGATGAGGGGGTCGTCGGTGCAAGAACGACATAGAGGAGATTGTGTGGCGAGGATGAGATAAGATACTATGGCCGATTGTGTACCCAGCTGAATAGGATGGCAGAAAATATGATAAAGTGTAGATGTGTCGTTGAAGCTCTGTGCTTCACTTGGAACCCGAGGGAATAATAATAATATGCTCGGTGGTCGATTACGTCGTGGAAAAATAGGCGAGAAAAAAGCAGGTAGTAAGTGAGAGTCCAATTATTGTCACAAAAATAGTAGAAAAATGCAGCATCATTCACCTAATTAAGTTTTGTAACTTTACAATAAAGAAAACAGACAGAACACACTCTTTTGAATACCAAATTAATCAATAGGAGTCAACCTCTCTCTCTCTCTGTAAAATCACCAAATAAATAATGTGGACTTATAAGTGGTGGTAGAGTAGGCAACCCTTCCTCACTGAATATATTCCTAGGCTCTCAGGCTACAGATATCCTTCCCATATTATTTCAATGTATCACATGTAAAGCTGATACAACGTCTGTCCCAGATTCACCGAGACAGCTTGTGTAGACACTACTACTCATCAAAGACCGAATTGATCATGACTATTGATATTACACTAAGTATATGGTTACACCAAAAGAATACTTTAATAGCATTGGTATCACCAAATGGAATATATGAAGAAGCGTGATTCTAAGTAATTAAAATGTATACTAAGCGGTATGGCCGTATGGTTGCTTTGGATATTAAACCACTGAGAACCCTAAAAGTTATTTAGCTTGTAAAAGATTTGTATATTACAAGAGTTGATAAAAGAGAATTTCATGAAATTACTATCAGCTAAAATGAATCACAACGACTTATTATCATTCGGAAATGGATTAGTATAGACTCAGTCAATTCTCTCTCTCTTTTCCTTCTCCCACAAGTGATTCATCCCGTCATTCTCTATTCAATTTTTGCTATCTTTGAGTACCTCAATTCTTTGTTTTCTAACCTCTCCCTCTCTCTCTCTCTGTATGCTTTTTACGACTTTTGCATATTCAGTAGATGAATAAAGTATTTGCTTAATTTGTTTACCTCTTGACTTAATACTTTAATCAAAAAGATTCTTTTTTTTAATAACTGTCCAAAATTCAGTTATTCAGTACCATATCATCTGTTGTTTTTTAAACCTTCTAACAGCAAACACGAATTTTCTTTGAACTCTATCTAAAAATAAATGTCTGTTTTTGTTTCAATGGATGCAAAATTTCCCCCATTTGATGTAATTAAAATCACATAAGTCGGTAAAGAATTCTCTTTTCGAAACTTCTCTTCAAAGCTGCACAGTTATTTTAAGGTCTTAAATATGTACAATGCTAAATGACAACAAAGCTCAGAGGTTATTATCAGTTAGGGAAAAAACAAGTCAAAGTGCGTATAAGAATAACCGATGTTTGGCACTCTTCAGCAGCACGCAGCCACCACCAGGACCTTCTGGTTAAAAGGCCAGTGAGCTCGTAGAGCATTAGGCCACTGGGAACCAATCCAATGGCCAGCCCATGAATTCTAACTTCTGCCAATTCACGACATAGCGTGACCATTTCGTAATGTCTTCTTTGACGAGTTACTGCCTCGTCTTCCAGTGGTTCTCTAACTGATGTCAGCTCGTGATGGAATCCTCCATCTTATCAAACAAAATCCCTACAAAACCAATTCTTGAAAATAACGAATGTGTTAAAAATAATGAATAATCTTATATGATCGGGTGACCACTAATCAGTTAAGTCAGGAATATTTGCTCGGCAGTAACTGACAGAAGACAAGAGAACAAAGAATTGAAGAGAATTTAGAAAAAGGTCAAAATGACTATCATGAGTTTATTATGTAACAAGTCAGGTAAATAAAACTGGTAATATAGTTATGGTAGTGAAAGAGGCTGGATCAAATACTTCTCAACATAAAATTCAAGCAGTGGATTGCTACGGGATTGCATGCGTCAGTGGCACAGAGGTAGAATGCTCGCCAACCACGCCTCATGTGGTTAGGGGGTCCAATGCCCGGCCGATGCACTCCCGCACCTCGCTAAGCCAGTAATAAGACTGGTAAGGAGGGAAGGTTGGATATAAGGCTAGCAACTCCATCCAGTGAGAATGAATACAACACTGCTACTGAAAATTTAAGTCTCTAGCTTGAGGCCCTATGTTCCCTTGGGAATGCAAAAGAATAAATGAAAACACAGACTCGTTTGCATGAAGAAAACGTAAGAGAAATCATTTTGAACATTCTTATCGTACCACATATATATGCCGCTAAATTAATTCTTAACTGGAACTGCGTGACCAGAAATAATAATATGCTCTATAACCGTTATCAATGTTTCCTTAGGTTCTCATTGGAACACAGAGCTTTAACGTGACGTTTCCATTTAACCCTGTTTCCTTTACTCTTCTTTACCTGCCTCCACGATTGTCCATAAGTTTTCATCTGCTCCTCACAATTTCTCCTTAATATCGCCCTTGGATCCATATTCTAGCCTTCGTTTCTCACTGGATTTCCATTCGAAAGCCTAATGCGCAATGTTAGTCGAGGGTGCCCACAGAATGAGACCAATTCACCTACATTTCTTTCGATATATTTTTTGGGCAATCGATTCATGGTTGATTCGTTCCCAGAGTCCCTCACTGCTTATTTTCCTGGCCATTTGATCATTATTGTCGAACCCGTGAAGGTACCCGTTGATAAAAGTCTACAATGGACTGTTTCGAATACCTTTTATGACACTCCATGTCTCTGAACCAGATGGACGTACTCAGCGTTTTTCATGCTTTATGCGGCACATTTCTACATTGATTTCAGATTAGTGAGGGTCAGTCAGTCTTGTCTATCTGATCTTGGCTTTAACATCTTCATCCATGCCACATGTTCTCCTTTCTATCTGTATTTTCTCAACTGGTTTTCTTGTCTAAATAATACATTATTTCTGAAAATTTTGTAGGCTCCATTGGACATTGCTAATTCACTCCATGTGATCCCATTAATCAACTGGTTACAAAATCGTCTTCTACCAGCGGTTAAACCAATCTACGATAGACAAGTATCACTTTTACATCAACTCAAGATTACTGTATCTACACTGAAGCGTTTGATTTCAAGAGTAAAACTTCTCAGTAAACAAGTATTCTCTAAATCCAAAGATAATGATGGTGATGGTGATAATGATGATGATGATGATGATGGTCCAATGCGGCATTTATTCCCATCTTCTGTAAAAATCAATCATGGTAAGTACTCACTGTTTTTTTCTGTTTCTCTCTCTCTATTTCTTCCTAGAAATATATGATGGATTAGTATTCAATATGCTTGCGTACTTTCATTACCCTTAAGTCTGTGTGGAGGTCAACATCACTCAGCATCAAAAATAAGATCCGGATTTTCAACCCCAACGTGAAGTCAGTGCCATTTACTATACGGATAAGAGACTTGGCCAGCGCGTCACAAAGACCATCTCAAACAAACATCAGACCTTCATTAACAGTTGTCTTTGCTCAATATTCAAGATCAGATGGCCGGCCAGAAAAGATCAGCAACAGGGATCTCTGGCAGCGAGCGAACCAACTCAGCAGGAACCGATTGTGAAACAAATAGGCAGGAAGAAATGGAGATGGATTGGCCATACACTGAGAAAACCATCAAGTGACATCACTAGACAAGCCATTGCTCTAGTGGAACTCGAAAGGGAAGCGGCGAGTTGGTCGTCAGTGAGAGGGTGACTTGGAGGAGGTCATGTGGAGAGGAGATGAAAGCATGTGGGTATATTTTGAGCCAGGTGAAAACTCTAGCAGAGAACCGAACGCAATGGAGACGCGCGGCTGAAGCCCTATGTTTCTCTAGGAATTAAAGGATATAATAATAATAATGCTTGCGTACTAAGTTTTCTGAGTTTCTCATCTCCCTGTCTTTCTCTCCATCTCTTGAATTTGTAATTTCGGCTAGATATTGTTTGTTTGCTTATTTGTTTGTTTCGCTTTTCTGTTTGTTTTTCGATAAAGAACATAATTACTCATTTTCTCTTGCAACAAACTATTTGACTAGTTAACTGACATTTATGATTGTAAACACTTTTTTCATCCTTTGAAAACAAATTCTGAATGTTAAGTAGGAATAACTTAAAGAAAGTAAAGCTTAGAGTATTTCTTTGGTGAATTGAGAAATTCTCATATTGAGTTATAAGCGAGAGAGAGAGAGAGAAGATGTAGTAGCAAGGAAAATTTTCTCTTTTTGATAAATCATTTTCATAGGTTGTTAAACTGCTAAACGAATAATCCATAAACATAATCACATATTGGGAAAAGTTTTAAGTTATCTAAGAGATAATCTAATAGGGAATGAACAACTGAAGTTTTACTAAGAAGTCATCACCAGTGGGATACATCATTGTCAGGCTGAAGGTGATACTAATCGATGGTGTTGCTTGAGGTTAACGTTGTATCGTGAATCGACAGAAGTTAAAGTTTGCGAACTACTGAATCCCCCCCCCAAGTGAGTGAATGTTCAATGAGCTTGGAGTTGGGACCCGAAGGTCTCAGTATCTATCCCCTGGAGGGTCGTGGATATGAGCTGACGAGGAGGCCCAAACTAGGACGAAACAGCCGTCCCGTTCTTTTGAGTTTTCAGTGGTTCCACAGCTTTTGTTAGTTCGTGACAAAATCTTTATTTAAATTAATCTATATCCTTAAAAAATAGCTCATAATCTAAATATTTATATCTATCTATCTAACAGTGAGGTGACGTATCATAATCATCAGTTGATATTAGATGGTTGGAGGCAATTGGCAGGAAGCCTTGGCCACACCTATGTTTCGTGCCAGTTGGCAATCACCAGCCAACTAGACGTATCTAAAGTCTTGAAGGAACACAAGTCCCTTCTGAGATTAAAACCCGTTTCACCCAGAGCTGCAGTCAGAGACGTTACCATCAAGCTATTAGGACTCACGACTGACCTCCTGTAGGGCTGTATTGAATGTGTCCGATCCTTTGTTTGGTGCACACTGAATTCTATCAGTTACATCACCAGACACATCACACTAGTTACTAGTGTCCAATCAAATTATCCAATACAGTCCTACAGTAGGTCATTTGCGAGCCTGAATAGCTCAGTAATAATATCTCTGTCTGTAGCACTGGGTGATGTGGGTTCGAATTTCAGAAGTGACATGAGTTTCTTTAAGGTTACACATATGCCTTGCTGACTGTTGAATGTCGATTAGCACGAAACCTCCGCCCAAGGATTCCTGCCGATGGCCTCCAACCATCGAATATAATCAAATCAATCCGCATCGTGATGATGAGCTACATAGTATGGTGTCCGCATTGCAAATCTGACTGGTAGAATTCAGTCTGCACCAAAAAAAGGAATAGACATATCACACTAGTTACTAGAGTTCAATCAAACTATAATCATCAGTATTTGATCGGTTTTATGGATTATTCTGTTAGAGATATATACAGCCGAACAGACTTTGGAAAGGATTTGTTGAGAAGAAAACTTTATTTGCTGTTACACTTTTTTTTACTGTAGTTGAAAAATATTATTTTAACCCGAAAAAGTGAAGTATAATTTAATTTTGAACAAATTTATATGATACAAAATAAACGCTATATATCTTACGAGTGAAAAAAAATTTCCTATGAAACACTTAATTCTACTGCTTGTGATGACCACAAGTGACAGTTAGCGAAATTTGACTAATTTGAACTCTGTTGAAAGATACTTAACATAATTAGCTATGATAATACACAAAGGCAACACATAAAGATACTCTAATTCAGCGGGTCAGATAAAAGTATGAAAAGAATAGATGAATATATTGAACTTGGTGTTGGAAGTTGTATTACATGAGATTGGTTTATGCCAGTTTGGTTAGAAAAGCTAGAAGAATTTGACTAAAGAGGTTGAAAAATATACCGAGGCTGGGAATAAGTCAAAATTCAAGGTTAAAATGCTCCTTCCTCTGTTCTGACAATAAAGGCATCACTCGCTGCTAGTGTTTCCTGGTTGTTAATACATAATTTTTAACTAAACAACTCAATTTCAAAATGAAGAACTTTGAATTCAACCGATTTCACACTTTGCCATAATATTTAAAAGGAAAAGGACCAAGTGTTTCTTTCTGAACGCAGAAAATCAATCTATGCATCCTTCCATATTACCTTCCTAAACAGTTCGAAATTATATCACAGCAATAACAAAAACGCACACTATGGTGTGATAGAATCTGTGTTATTATTCAACAATAATGACTTAATTTAATTGAATTTGATATTTTCCTGTCGATTGATTGGACTAAAGTGCTCGGTCTCAGGTTGACATGTCGGCTTGTTGTGCAGATGCTTCGAAGATGTCCGGGCATTTATTAAGAATTTAACTGGTGGATGGTGACTAGCAGTGGAATCCAGGACAACTCGCATTTCGTCCTGTTTTGGACTCGTCACCTGGAGTGAGTGGAAAATGCGGTTTCATCCAGCAGACGAGCCCCAAATAGAACGAAATGCGCATCCTGGATTCCACTGCTAGTCACCATCCACAAGTTAAATAATGACTCAAGAAATGATTAAAGATGCTCATGAGAAATTTCATAGAACTGATTACTAAACAAAGAATAATCGTGATATTAGATGAGTGGAGGCAATCGGGAGGAAGCCTTCAACCTTGAAGGAACTCATGCCCCTTCTGAGATTCCACCCCGTGTCACCCATCGAAAACCAGCAATTCACAGTTCAGTGAATAGTGATTACAAGCCACCTAGAATGGCGTCCATATTGCAAACTTGATAGATAGTATTCAGTCTGTACCAAAGACAGGACTAGACAATTTACACTAGTTACTTACTAGTGTCCAACCAAAGGTTATGCTTTTCGATAACTTCTCCATGAGGCTTTACAGTTATATAACCATAATAATTAAAGAATTACTGTTATTGATAACACTATATTTAAAAAAATACAAAATAACTCAGCAACGCTGTTCGACAGCTACACAGTACAAAATATAAAATTAGCTGACCAATCAGAATGATAAATTACCCACGAATCAATAAAAATATCCTCAATTAGAAGAGATCAAAATCTTGTCTGCAAGAATTAAATAGAACAAAGCACTTTTCCAATAGACAGTTTAAGGTCAAGCAGTGACTTAATGGTGTCACCTTAAATCTTCTCGGACAAAATCGTGATTTTCAACAACAACAACACAGTAGGGATCAGTCGTAAAAGAGGAAACAATAATAAGGATTAAGGCAAAAAGTGATATACAAATATTAGAACTATACAGGTCAGGGGAAAAGGCTAATAATGACACAATTAGTAGAAATGGATTATTTATGGAGGAAATTTCCAGATTGATTATCCCATTGAAATATTATAATTCATCTCATTTAAGTAAAGAAATTACTAGGATGGTCAGTTTATTTTAGAAGTTTTTCAAAAAGATGGAACATTCTTGTAATGTGTACGAAATAAATGCATCATATTCCTTGTTCATAACATTGAGAAGTAAACAGAATCTCCCCATTAGATTTAATTTACTCTCCAAAACTTTTATTGCCCTAACTTCATCTACTAATAAGTGACCACTTGTATACGTCCCCCTGTTCAACTCCTTATTTTCACTTATGACTTATCCTGTGGTTACTCTGATATTGTTTATAAGTGTCGTCTTTATTACTGATTGAGGTTAGACATTAGTTTCTAGGTAGAATTATAAGTGAATCGACAAAATCATAAATCTTAAATTTTCAAGTATTGGTTTTGTAGGGACTTTGTTCCATTGTATGAAGAATTTCATCATGAACTGACATCAGTTAGAGAACCACTGGACAACCTGAGAGTACAATCAAACAAAATCCCTACAAAACCAATACTTGAAAATTAATCTGATGCTCACCAGCGACTGGCCCTATTCAGACAGTTAACCTGGGGTTCTAGTAAGAAGCCGTGACTAATAGGGTACAGCGGGCTGAAGATGAGGCAGTAAATCATCGAAGAAGATATTGCGAAATGGTCGCGCTATGTCGTGAATTGACAGAAGTTAGAATTCATGGGCTGGCCAGTGGATCGGTTTTTCAGTGGCTCAATGGTCTACGAGCTCGCTAGCCTTGTAACGAGAAGGTCCTGGGTTCGAACCCCCGGTGGTTGCGTACTGTGAAGAGTACCAAACTAGGAAGAAACAGCTGTCCAGTACTCCCAGGTTTTCCATTGGTTCTCTAACTGATGTCAGCTCATGATGAAATCCTCCATGCAATCAAACAAAATATCCCCACAAAACTAATGCTTGAAAACATTTCTTTGTTTATTTTAACTGTTGTATATGTGTTAGTAAGCAATCGGCTTCGAAACCGACTTCAATTTCAAACCTTAATTTGCTTATTTGGTTTTTTCTGACTCTAGATACATTTTTAACTGAAAGCAGTCTCTGAAATTCAGCTCAATCTTCACTAACTAGTGAACAGTTTTTGGCGATATTTTCTTTCGATCAAATTAATTTTCATCCGACCTTTTTGTATAAATGCTGATAATGAATTTGCGAAGCAAATGTTTCGTTTTTGTTTTAATTTTCGCCTTTATTTTTTTTGTAGTAACTTGTTACTAATATGAAAACTTAGTTAATATGTGCAAAATTCATGGTTGAATAGTCCATCTGTGATACTTGTGCAGTTTTTTCTATTTCTTCTTTTAACTAATCAGTTGAAGAAACTTGAACAAAGCAACAAAAATAACAAAAATGTAACAAGATGACATGAGCTCATTCTAATTATTTTGAGGATTCTTTCCAACTGCCTACAATCTTATCATTATTATATATTATTCCCTTAGGCTCCGAGTGGAACATAGGGCATCAACAACACATCTCCACCATTTTCTATTCTCTGCCATCCTCTTCAGATACGTCCACGATTGACCCTAGTCTCTCATCTCTTCCTCGTCTCACGATCTCCTCCACGTCATTCTCAAGATGATGACCCACTCGAACAACAGCTTGGCGCGTGATGTCATTCAACGGTCTCCTCAGCGTAACCTCAATCCATATCTACTTTCTCCTACATATTTATTGAGCAACAGGCACTTAGCTGATCTGTTCCCAGCCAGAGTTTATTGTTAGCAATTCTTTATGGCCATTTGATCTTTAGTATAGAGCCAGCAAAATGGGCAGCCGTTGATAAACGTCTGCAGCTATCTGTTTAAAATCCTTCTCGTGACATGCAGTGCAAGTTTCTGACCCGAATAGAAGAAATGACTTGAAATTTGTGTTGAAAATCCGAATCTTATTCAACTTAGGCAATATACAAAATATATATAAATTATAAAACAGGGTTTAAATCTACTTTTATCATATTGACAAGGAGTTATTGACGGGAAACAAAAGTAACATAATTTTTGGCTAATGGAAGTAGTCGAGTGGTCTGACGGTTTACAGGAGAATTAGATTAATATTCTTGCAAAAAAAAGAGCCAACTTTAGAATTTGGATAGGAACAAAGTTTAAAATGAAATTGTATGTTAGTGTAACAAATTGTGTAAATTAATCAGGAAATTTTACAAACGAAATTGGTAATAATAATAATGATAATAATAAAAGGGACGATATGCGTAAAGAATATTATTCAGAAAATGAGCAAAACCCACAATAAAGAATTTAAAACACCAGTTGTGTTTTCGTGCAAGGAAGGAACTTCTGAAAACAACACAGGAATAAATGTGACATTCGAACGCACAAACTCATTTAGAAACAAATTATATCGGCTAAAGGTTCCTGTGGAGCCCATTGAACAGAACAACTGCTGTCAAGTTCAATACACCGGTCAAAGTAGTACGACGGAATCAATCAAACTAGTGGAACACAAAAGCCATGTGAAATATAGATTGGATGACCCTAATAAGATAAGAATTGTGAATAATAGCTCAGATATAGTAATGCATACAAATACATACAACCACACAATAGGACTGTATATAGTGGCAGTCCTAAAATCCAACATAATATGGTGGAGGGGAGAATTGATAACGCAAGCTTTATTTATCAAATCAACTGAGAATAAATGCAGTAGAAATGATACAACATTTTTTCACGACCATCTGGAAAATTCTATTACTCCTACGACGAATGGGAAGGAATAAAAAGTACTGTAAAACACAAGTGTAGTTCTTAAGTGATATGATTATGAATAATGAAACGTGTTTTAAATGCCACACACTATAAATAATACTATTTCAGTGTGTGATATATCCAATAAACAAATTAACATGGAGTTATATACTACCACAGTGATCATGTTCAACACAAGTCGTGTTACTACAAAAAGTATTTTACAGCAGCAACAATAATCAGGTGAATGAAGTTCAGATGAGAAAAGGGAACAAGACAGAAGATATAGAAAAATCAATGACATTGTGTTTATATATATATTCACAAGGTTAATGCAAAATATTTAATCCTCTTAACTACTTACATCATTTTGAACTTAAGTTATTTACAACTCCTATCGATAACTCGTTGTCATGGTTACAAAAGTATTTTCACAACTTCTCTTAATTTATATACTCTGGTACTATTTAGGTTCTAATCAGTTGAAAAGAATCCACAAGATAATGAAATTGAGATTACCTGTATTCTGCGGTGTTTATTTCCCTTGCTTTCAAGTAAAAGCCTGTAGGTATTTCATTGGTTTCAAGTTTGACCACAGATTAATATCAATTAGAGAACCACTGGGAACCAAAGAGCACTGGACAGCTATTACAGCTTAGTTCAAGAATCTTAAGCAGTACACACCCATGCCCCCCTCCTCAGGGGCCTTCACATTACGAGTGGAGCTCATTGACCATTGAGCCATTGGTGTCAGAATCCAGTGGCTCATTAATTCTAACTTCATGCTTTCGTCAAGTTTATCAGCGTGAAAAGGAAGTGTATGGAGTTTATTAAATCAAGCTAAATAGTAATATTGCCAATTGAAAGTTCTAACATCCATGAGTGATCCTATCTCACTGAAGAAAAAAGATTGCAGTCTACCTCATGTGATTTTGTAATTATCAAATGCATAAGGAATCATTTTATGACATTTACTAACCTACATCTCTATAACAAAACTACGTAATAAATCAAGTTATCGTCTATTTTTTTATTTTTTCTAAAGGTATATATTTATTTGCTCTACAATTCCTTCGCGTGTTTCACTAACTAGCTGAAATAGTAACACAGTACGTAGCTGCTCCTACTTAACTTCATATCTCTAAGTAAATAAGATATAGAATACTATCTTTTTGCTTAATGGACCACTCCACAAGTACCAAAGATGACATTATTCAGCCATTTCATCTTATCATATATGCGATAAATGTTAAGAGAGAAAAAAACGAGTAGTGGTCATGCGCTTTTCGTTCTATTAATAGTTCCCCCTTTATTAAATAACCTTTCTTCTAAATCCCTTTTGCAATCCAAGTGGAACACAGGACTTCAAGCTTCAGCTCTGAAGTTTTAGCAGAAGGGATCTTTTTTACTTGACTAGAGTTGCTAGCCGCACGTCCAACCTCCCCTGTTTTTGTCGCCTTTACAACCTGGTACCAATCTGGAAATCTTCGTCACTCAGCATCAACAACAAAATTCGGTCGGAATTTCAATACAAACGTCAAGTCAATCAGTTCTTCTATACGGATCAGAAACTTGGCGGGTGGGTCACAATGTATATTTCCAACAGCCTGTTGCAGACCTTCATCAAACAACAACTGTCTTCGCTGGCTACATACTGAAGATCAGATGGGCGGGCGGGAAAGAATCACCAACAAGAAAGTATGGGAAAGAACAAACAAAACAAGAACCAATCGCCGCCCAACAAGTATGCAGGAGAAAGTGGAGATGGATTGGACACTCGCTGAGGAGGTCGCTGGGTGACATCGCTCGTCAAGCCATCGCAAGAGTGGAACCAGGCCGAAAGAGAAGCGGCGAGTGTGACGTCCAAGGGTGACATGGAGGAGACCGTGTGAAACAGTTGGATTTGAAACTGTATGGACTAACATGGATGCAGGTGAAAAGCACAGCAGAAGACAGAAGTGGCAAGTGGAGACGTGCAGTTGAAGCCCTATGTTCCACTAGGAACCCAAGGAAACAATAATAATAAGTAAGCTAAAGGTGTCTGCTGGCCAGGAGTCGAACTCCAGACCACCTCCATGGTTATCGAGCAACCTACCGCTGAACCAATGTCGCACTAATAAATATCTATATTTTACAGATCCTTGATTCTTTCTTTCCGTGCTTGATTTTTAGATTCCCTGATATCAATGCATCATATATCAAAAAGTTGTGTCAGTTCTTCAGAATTATCACTATCTCATACTACGACTACTGCATCACATGTGAATGAAATTGAAGAATTGTCTACCTCTGAAATATCAAGTTGTCGTCTTTCACCACAATTTATTAAACATAAACACAAAAAGTGTGCATTACATGCAATATTGAAAGAATTACAAAATCTTAGTTGTTGTATAAATTTATTAATGAATTTACTAGACCAATTACAAGTAAGTATCTTTCTTGTTATTCTGTTTTCTTTGATTTTCTAGTTGTTGTAATCATAAACATAATTCCCATCCTTAGAATGAGATAACTAACACTGAATGGCTATGATTTAATAACCCCCTAATGCTGATGACATCGTACTTTTTCCACATACAATAACGAATGTAATTATGATTATTTTTGATTATGAACGCTACTTGATTAGTTAGAAGTGATAAACCCCTGCAGGATTGTAAGACACACTTACTGTGTGAGTAATTGGTACTTCTCCCATTTTTCAGGCTGAAGTAGGTACAGTGAGACTCAAACCTAAGACCCATCGGCTAAAAGTCGAATGATGATGTCATTGACCGACATCTCCACACATCTTGGACTACTATAACAGATCTGTGTTTCCATTTATTTCAGTTATTGTGCGGGTTTTTTTCGTTCATACTGAGAAACAATTCAATCATAACAAGGAGACGCAAACTATGATACGTGGAAATTAATGTCTTTAATCACCTCTGTTCAACAACAAAGGAAATCAAACATTACAGCAAACATTATAATAAAGGTTTTTCTGGATTTACCAATGAATGAAAAACAAAACGATATTGTTTTTACTGACGTTTCGCTATTTAATGCTTCTAATAGCTTTATCAAACTATTATTAAACGGGAATTTACAAAATCTCAGATTATATGTACAACTAGTTAGTCATCGTTCCTCAGCATAGGGTCATTTTCGCGTAGTCAAATCGGCCAATTGGTAAAGATAACAAAACCAGGTGTAGATTGTTGGATTTGCTAAGTGTGTATAATGGTAAAAGCAGCGTGTTTACATAATGAAATTGCTTATCACATTCGTGTTGTTTTTGTCACTTCATGGGGAAGAAAAGTGTTGTAACCAGGTGAAACTCTGTTTCAGTCCATCATTCCTATTCAGACAATTTGGATTCCACTTGATATGAAGTGCTTCAGAAATCAGACGTTCTACGTGATTCCTGAAATTTTTCTGGATTATTTCAATATTGTCAGAATCAATTATGTGACCTGATTCTATAGCGTGTAGACCCGTGGCTAGTGATTTTTCAAGCTTTTCTAGTTCACTAACTGGATTTCTTGGTGATCGAACAGATGATCTACGGTATTCATTTCTTCTGATTTCGATTTTTTTCTGGCGATGTTTGTCCGACGTATATCGCATCACATTTCAAGCATTTTATTTTGTAGACACAATTATATAGAGAATCTTTCGGGATTTGGTCTTTTATATGAACAAGGTTGTTTCGCAGTGTGTCAGATGTCTTGAAGAAAACTCTGATGTCGTGCATATTGATTACTAGATATGATAGAGAAGATTTGTAGCTCAGGTGGATAATTTTGATGTGGTTTTGTTCTCTGAGCTGGATGGTTAGTTTGCGAAGCTTTCATCGCCCTACTGGGTTACATCTTCAGCGCATACTTCAAATTGAAGTATGCGCTGAAGATGTAACCCAGTAGGGCGATGAAAGCTTCGCAAACTAACCATCCAGCTCAGAGAACAAAACCACATATTGATTACTCTTCTGATATGCCTGACGTCTCTGATCTACATTCAATGACAACTGTTGAGGCCCATGTTTTTGGAATACTTTTTTGACCATATTTAATGTCAATATTGATTTTGTTGATGTAGTTCTTTGGGTAGTTGTTTTGCTTGAGAGTCTCAGTAAAGTCTGATATGTTTGAAAAATGCCCCATGCTGAGGAACTATGATTAAGTTGTTATATATAGGCTGGGATTTTGTCAATTCTGGTTTAATAATACTTTGATAAAGCTGTTAGCAGCATTAAATAGCGAAGCGTCAGTAAAAATAATATCGTTTTGTTTTCCATTCATTCGGATATATAAAAAAACCTTTATTATAATGAATATCATATACCCAATGCCCAAAGTTTTTCAAACTGTTAAAAGTGAACATGGTTTGGACACATATAATTACAACAAACAGCTGCAATGAAAAATGTCCCAAGAAAACAGTATCAAGTTTAGAAGAACAACATTATCTAAAGACGAAAATTAATATATTTTTTTAAAGAATTAACAAGAAATGTCTTCAATTGGAGAATCGTTGAAAATCAGGGCTAACTCTACATCTGATTCTTGAGAATTTGGAACTCTTCAGCAGTATTCCCGTATTACCCTACCAGGAATTCAACTTAGAACATTCAGGTAACTCGGCAACCCATTCAGCCACTGGGATAGAATCTAACTACCCATAAATTCTAACTTCTGCTAATTTGTGAGATGTTGTATAATAGCCAGCCAGTATCATCGTCAAATACGTGTCTTCACATCGGACATTCATAAGACAGTTCGTAATGGATTTCCACAAATATATTCTTCTCTGAAAATACAATTTCAAGAGAAGCTGTAACGTCATAAGCGGAAAACGGTTTGAAGTCCTTTCCATTTTTAAGATTAGTATCGCTCAACAAATTTTATAGTTATTGTACATCATTAAGGGTCTACATCAGGTGCACCTAGTGCCCCTCACCTGCTCATCAATTGTATCTTGAAATTTATTACTTTCATGACACCCCACGACCAGATTATTTCCGTAATTGCTAGAATGAATCAAAAGTGAGGCGTCATGCGTTTACTCTGGATTGTTCATTATTTCTTTTTTTATACTTTTATTATATTAAGTGTACATTTAAACTCATCAAACAAACAGAATATATTTATTACGATTTGCAGTCAATTAATTGTATTAGACCTGTCGACATATTGGCTCTCAGTCGAAAATTCCGATCTGACAAAACCAGTCAAATAATATCCCAACAAATAACAACTAACACCTGTTACATAAAAAATGACTTTCGTTTCTCAGTGGCTCAGTGAATAACACTGTGGCTATTGAAGATAATTTTGCTAGATTCCAGAGTTCATGGGAGCAGCATCACTCATTTGCAGCCTAAGTACATCCAGATGACGATTCCCAGATCTGATGAAACGTCCCACCGAAAGCATATTGTGCTTAAACAAGTTATAATTTAGTTAAGCTGTAATTTTACTTACCGAAAGTAACTCAAAATAATAATTGAATAGCTTATATCACATTTTCCAACTGAAAAGGAAATCCAATCGGAAAAAATATGCGGGTTACTATTGTCAAAATAAACTGCAATCAACCGTGTTTTATACTCAGTATTCCATTTTGTTTTTATGATTATGTGATTATAGTAGAGTGACTGGACAGTAATCTGACTGTCAAATATAAATGAATAATCACCACCATATCTAGATTCTCTATGACATATAATTCACCCATCCATATCTACTGTTTGCTATCAGTGATAAAATATGAGTTATTAACCGGATATTCCAAATTAATCAACTGAGAAGCATATATATATATATATATATATATATAGTCACAAGTCTTTTCAGCTTCGTATGGAAGTCTTAGTATAAATGTAAATGTTATTGCAGTGTTAACTGATAGATGTCGATTAACAGGTTGGGGCAACTTCAAAACGTTCATAACCTGCGTAGACAACGTCTTCAGTCCCTCACTTCAAGATGAATTTAGCTTATAGATTTACTTCTGGAGGTAATAACCGTCTTTTCTGATTAACTCAAACATAACTGATTGTCTCCACAGACTTTCTTATCCTCATATTTACTTGTGTTAGTATTGATTCTCTTGTTGACCTGATAATCGACCTACTTTCTGGGTAAATTCTTTTTTTGTTGCTTTGTAAATCTGATCTATTTCAATATGTATATATATCTTTTGATGGCAGGTTCATCAGCACTAAGATCATGCACCTAAGCTACAAGCATTCTCCATCATATATATATGTTTGGAAAATTTCTCTTCCCTAACTTCATAGTTCCTTATTTTCTTCTATACTAGTGTTATGAAGCATGGATCAAGAATTCAGTGAATTTACTTACAGAATTATGGTTACTGGCGTTTTCAGATGTGCTTTCTTCACATCCAAACAAAGATACTGAGACAGCTAATAATCGGCTGAATGGAAAATCAAAAACTCAAATCACAGATTCTGACGATAATAATAATAGTAAAACAACTGAGAATATCCAACCCTTCAGTGATGAATATTCGCCTACATTAATACGTAAAGTGTTGCACAGTTTCGAAGAAGAATCATCATCTCTTGGTTCTATATGGCATTATTTGTTATTACCTAGTCGACGTTTTAGAAGTTATTGTCATTTGCTACAATCCTTAGTGGATCAGTTGTCGCTTCACTCATGTTCTGTTTTATGTAAAGGTAAATTTAGGCATTTTCATTTGAAACTATAATTTTCATCTTTTCTGTTTTTCATGAAATATAATGATAATGATGGCACTTGAAGTGGAAATAACAATAATGGTTTTATTCTGAAGGGTACATCATACATGTTACAGAATTCTCAACGTTTCACATAATTATTATTCCCCTAAGCTCTATGTGGAAATAAGGCCTTCAGCAACTCATCTTCTTTACACTCTGTTCTCTTTCCGTCTTTTCTTTTTAGTTGGCTTCACGATCCCCATAACCCATCAACTGCTGCTCACACGATTTCCACCATGTCACCTTCACACGCCCACCTCGTTGTTTCATCAATCATGTTCCACTCCACAGTCTGCCTAATATGTGACTTAACTCAACACACTCCTCAATATATGTCGAATCCATCTTTGTTTGTTCCTGAATATGTGTTGAGCAATGTGTCCTTGGTTGTTCCTTTGCCACAGTTCCTCTCTGCTTACTCCTCCTGGTCACCTGATTTTAGCTATCGAGCGAAAGCAACTGTTGCATTAGTCTGCTAGGAATGTTTTCGTCGACGCGTGCTCCAACTCTGCGAACCATTCAGGAGCACTAATTTCGCATTAGTGTTGAATATCGGATTTTGTCCCTTAAGCTGCATGCCGCAAATTTCTACACTGATTTCACATTAATGAATGTCTGCCTTGCTTTTCCAACCCTGGTTAGTTTTGATGTCCTTATCTTCACTGCCTGTAGTTGGAAGGATGCTGTTCTGGTCAGTTAAGTGAAAGAAGTGACTCCTTCAAATTTCACTAGTCGATAGTGATTAGTACTTGTTGCTGTCAGTCTTTGGTTATCTTCATAACCTCTGTTTTCTCTTTGTTCATTTGAAGTCTTGTATTCATTGTATTCATTCGCCAGTAGATCTTCGAGTTATTAGACGTGAATTATCCTCGAAGTCCAGGTCTTCTCCTCTTCCAGTTTACTAGTCCACTAGTTTACTGGCAGATCCTAAGCCCGGAAAAAGAAGGCTTTTGGTTAGCGGTCCTACTCTAGAAAATTAATCCAATTGCTACAAAAATTCCAAAGCATGGGAAGAAAATACAATCTTCTATGTCGCAAATTATTTGCTTCTTGTTAATAATCAACGATGTATCATTCTAAGCAATATTACTAATACATTCATTGCACACTATAACGACTTGCAATGTTTATCCTTGATTTTCTTTGAAAAATCAATAATAGTAGATTGAAACCAATTTGAAAATAAGCGCGAGTACACACTGCTGTTCAAGGACGTAGTTAGATAATTAAAATATCATAAAATAGAGGAAATAAGATTCATTTTTACGCATGGAAAATTTGTAAGCGGATCGCCTGTGTAAATTATCATTCTAGTTTTGTAGCAACATGTACGTCGGTGGCACAGCGGTGGAATGCTCGCCAACCACACATATGGTCTGGGGTTCTCTCCTCGGCCGACGCATCCCTTTACCTCGCTAAGACAATACTAAGACTGATAAAGAGGGTTAGTTGGGCATGAGGTTAGCAACCCTATCCTGTAAAAGAATAAACACCACTGCTACCGAAACTTCAAGCCTCTAGCTTGATGCCGTATGTGCCACTGGGAGCGTACAGGAATCAAAACAAACAAAAACAATGTAAAAAGAAAATTTCTAAGCGTTTCTTTTGACACTCATTCTTTCTTTTTCATGAATAAGGAAAACAGAATGGTATTTAGTGACAAAGAAATTCTTTCAAAAGACTTCATTATCTAGCTGTATATTCTCATTTAAAATGCATAAAATGTCTGTCACCTATATGATGTGGAAAAATATATATGGTGTGTGGCAGGAGAGGAGTGGCTGGAAACCATGACGTATATACAATAAGGGTGAAAGAAACGCCTATGCATACATACACATACACTTCTTTTGCAAAATGTTTTAACTAAACGTTTTTAGTTGGCCTTTTGAATTACTTAAACTGTTTGGCAACAGATAATTAGTCACTTAGATATCACTTATTACACTGTGAATTCATGATTGAATTAGAAGCGCTAGTTAGATTAATATAATATATAATAATAATAATAATTTACTTTATTCCAAAAACAGTACTTGTGATACAGAATGGAATTTTCAGCATTAATCACAATATTGCATCTAATTTCCTCAAATTATAAATAAAATTAATCACACAGAAAATTTTCCTCATTTACAATAGGGGTAATGTCAAAAATATGCAGCATATATAATGGAAATAATAATAATGATAACAGCTAAGGTAATAATAATACAAGTGAAAATTACTGTGGGCTTGTTTCACACAGTATTGTCGATGCGGTATAGAAATCTTAACATGTTTAAAAATATTGAATATAATGTTCTCTTTACATGATATGGTGAGGGAAAAAACGAAGATTACAGCAGTCATAGAGATAAGTTGCTGTTTGCAATTATGAGAGTAAAACAAAGAAGCAACATAACCATAAATATAACAGGAATAATAAAAGTAAAACTTGAAAGTATATAAGGATGGATGGAGGAAATTGTTTATTTACTAGATGAAAAAAGGTTAGTTAGTTCTTGCCTGACACTATTTTCATCATATAAAATACGTGCCAAGTATGGAAACATAGAATTTTTATACTTAGACGTGTGAGCATACAGTTTTCTGAAGTTACTTCTTGTTCTACCTAAGGAAATGCGAGGTGAAATCTGAGGGTAAAGTGGATGCTCCAAGTCAGACAAAATCCATTGGTTGGTTTCTTGTTGTCTGATATGACACTAAACTTATGAAACAATTTGGGAGGATTGGCTGGTAGTGGCGAAACCTCTATAGGGTCATGACCACTTCTTGATGCCATTTATATCTGTCATCTTGGATACTGTCGACATTGGCTTGCAATATAAGCTGTTGATGTGAGTTGTTTTCTTTTGAATGACATGCTAACATATCCTCATAAAGTTACATTTCCTTACTTGAAATAAAAGAGGTTAATTTGAAATTTTCTGGATACATTAACTGGTCCTATGTCTCGTCTCTAGTGTTGACTGAAATCCGTAAAATTTCATAATACTGGTAACTATTAGAGTGAGAAATGAAGTTAATTGGTGGATGGTGACTGGCAATGGAATCCAGGATGTGCATTTCGTCCTATTTGGTACTCGTCATCTGGATGTACCACCAATTAACTTCTAATTACATGCCTAGACATCGTCAAAGCATCTGTGCAAGAAGCGACATGTCAACCTAAGACCGATCACTTCGGTCCGATCAATCGACGGGAAAATCTAAAATTCAATTAAATGAGAAATAAAGTATTCAGAATTGGAGGGACTTCCTTTGCTTAAAGAATCTCACTATTATCAAACTAATTAACATGCAGGACACCCGCGTGCAACCAGGTAAGTATGCTAAAGTATACTTGGAATTGAAATACCTTTTGTATTTTAGTCTTCATGCTATTATTTGTAACTTGTAATGGCAACAGTAGTGAATACACATCACAGTCAGATGATCTTGAACCAACCAGTCAGAGAGCTGGTCATGGATGTTTCCATAATCTTATCTGCAAGTTTCACTGTGATTCAGGGATGAGGTTATGGTAGGATTAAGGTAGAGTTATGATTATGCTTAGAGTGAAATTTACAAAGATTACGAGAAGTATCCGTTTGTATTGCTGAGCGATTTGATTGGTTGGTCCAAGGTCATTAGTCTGTGGTGTCTATTCTTTACTTTTGCATTTATAATATATCGGCAACACCTTCATCGATTAATATTCACATTGTGTTTAATCGTTTTTTTTTTGCTTTCATATTTCCCTGTAGCTGTGTTTAGCCACTTCTTATTAACCTGTCGGTCGTTGGACACTACACTCGATCAAGCTGAAAGAGTTGCACTAGCATTCCAGTTATCCGTGATTGTTTTTCCCTTGGAGAAATTCTTTTTCACTTCAGATGAAACTATTCAAAACCATATCAATATGTCAACAGGTGATAAAGAAGATCAGCAAAATGCTAAGCTGATAACTGATGAATGTCGAATGAAGGATGCTGAATGCAATGATGATGATTACGGTGATGATGTTGTTGCTGACAGATTACAAGGGATTTCAACTTGTTTGTTGCACTCCTTGACCACTTATCCATTGATTCGTTTTGGTTGGTTAAATAAATATTCACGACGTGGATTTCAGCCTAGACTGATTTTCCTCTTTACTGATCGTTTAATCTATGCAAGTCGAATTCGTGGTGTACTTGGTTTATACTTAAAAGTAAGTCAACATTGTTGTTCCTTTGGTTTTTGTTTCAATACTGTATTTATGTTGTTAAAAAGAATCATCTTGACATCCCTACTGTCTGCCAATAAGAGTATAAAATTAATGTGTATTTTAAAGTTAAAATATTCAAATGTATGGGTATTATTCTTTCTGTTTATCTATGAAAATTTGTTTTAAATCACAGTTTAGCTTTATAATGCAAACATATATTGGGTTGTATACTTGTCACTTATACCCCAATAAGATTTTCTTACTATTGTGTAGTTGTTCGAGTTCTTAATCCTACTTTACTAATATTATATTACATTATCATTCTACACTTAAGCAATCAGCTTGTTCAGATATTGACCATATTACAGTTCCATATCATATTGTGTTTCTTTTACTAGATGAAGCAATAAGAACATGTAATTTGTCTGAATCGTGTGTAATGTATTTGTACAACACATTTTCGAACAATCTGATCACACACGGACTTGTCATAGGAATATGTATGAAATTAATAAAGAGTTAAAGGGTGATCAAGTCAAAAAGATATATTGAAGGTCAAAACAACAATGAAGATCACTTAACCAAATAAGAGAGGTAATACTACATCTACCCTGGCAAGTATCAAAACAAAGTTTGCCAAAGAGGGTTTAGTGTGATGACGAATTGTTGCTTTGGTCGCATAATGGTGAATTAAACTTCCTAATTGTCAACTAGGGCTCCCACAAACTTTAGGATACGCCCCAAACACGTTCTATAGAAAGTTTAATAGAAGTGTAAAAATCAACGCGATGTCCTGTCTCTATAATATGTTTCACAATAGAGGAGCTAGGTCTCATGTTTTCACCATTATTCGGTTCTAAGGATTCTATTCGATTCAGTACACAAGAGCATCAGTAAGGCGCCTCTTCAGTAGAATCCGACGAATATACACTGAAGACACACTTGACAAGAAAAAAAGAAGTTTAACACAAACTCTGGTTTATAATAATTATCCAGACAAGTTCATTAAGAGACATAAATTAGTCAGAACACCAAGACCTACTCTCTAACTCGCCCCTAAGAAAGACCTATATATCAATCTACCCTATACTGGTGATCATATCAGCTTACTAACTTGATAACGGTTGAACACTGTGGTTAAAAGGATTTTTTATGCAACTAAGATCATAATAATTGAGAATATAGAGCGTGTATATCCATCTAGACACTTAAAACCTGAGAGAAATGATGTAACCACCCAATGTTTTTACCATTTTGAATGTACATGTGGCCACACATACATGGACAGGAATTATCGATCTCTGCAAGTAAATGCTGGTTTCAGAGCATACTCCTAAACGGCTTCAGAAACAAATTGAATCCCAGAACCGATTAATGGTGAAAACACGAGACCTAGCTTCTCTATTGTGAAACATATTATAGAGACAGGACATCGCGTTGATTTTTACACGTCTTTTAAACCTATCTATAGAACGTGTTTGGGGCGTATCCTAAAGTTTGTGGGAGCCCTAGTTGACAATTAGGAAGTTTAAACCACCTTTATAGCATCACGCATTTATGCTTGCCTTCCTGATTGGCATTTATCGTCTCAAGCAGATGGCACATTGTGATCTAAATAATAATCGTAGTTCTCAAAAGGAACTATGGTAAATAAGATTCACTTCAAACTGTGTAAGTTAGCGAATTAATCTGCAAACTGTGAGTTTAAACCAACCTATTGTTTGTGAGGTAATAATGATGGTAACTACCAATGGAATCCATCCACCACCATCCTCAGACATCACTGAAGTATTTGTATTGAAGGCCAATATGTCAACAAAAGATGAACATTTCGGTTCATTCCATTAGCAGGAATGATAGGATTGATTTAAACAAAATAATAGTGAACTATGCTGATGAGAAATTTCTTATTGTCTAGATTGAAGCGGTAGTCGTATCTACGTTACACCATTTTTCATTTATCCTTCCAAGTTTATTAATTCGAAACTGACGGACACATCCTGTCTGATTTTATTAAATTAAACTTCATGTCACTTTGCATTATACAGTAGTATAATTCTAGTTTCAATTGATTGAACATTATCGACAGCTGAATACGACATTTTTTTTCAAATTCATTTTAGCTAGACACAAACTTTGGTCTAACTTGTTTTTGCTTTATTTTTTTTTCCTTCTGACTGAGCAATTTGAGAATAATTTTATAATTAGTAAAATTGTATCAAATTTCTATGAAATAAAAGTAGAAATCACCGACTCGATATTGTCAATAAATTTAACAGTCATGATCATCCTAACCAACCTACAACAGAGAGCATCAATCATTATCAATGAAAGAAATATAGACGAGGCCATCTCTTTCACATATCTAGGCAGCAGTGTTTCAACTACAGGTGGCAATCTGTTTCATTCAGTACAAGGAATAAAATCCACATCTTCAGCACCAATGTCAAGTCAGCGAGTGCTTCTTTGCGGTTCAGAGATTTCGTGCGTCTCGAAGGCATTTCCAATAGGCTGAAGACTTTCAGCAACAGCAGCCTTCGCTGGGTCGATACTGGCTAGAGAAGATAAGCAACAAGGAGCTCTTGGAACTAACGAACCAAGAGCATTTTGCCTAGCGAATATGCCGAAAGAAATGGAGATGAATTGGACACATGTTGAGTAGGCTGCTGAGTGACATCATCCACCAGGCCCTGAAGTGGAATCCGAATGAGAAAGGACGAGTTAAGCTTGAGTGTGAGGGCGACACGGCGGAGATCTTGTGATGAGGTAATCATGGAGACAGCTGGAAAAGACTTCAGAAAAGAAGGTATAATGGAGATGCGCTTCTGAGGCCCAGTGTTCCACTAGAAACCCAAAAGAATGGCATTTTATAAAACATCCCTCACGCAATTTTTCCCTTGATAAATTTTATATAATGAAATAAAAACAACTTTTAAAGGAGATAAGATGGATTTGTTTTATTATTTTCGAAGGCTTTTCATCAATTACATACAACTCAAACAGTAAAGTACACCAGCAGTCAGTCAATGTGACATAATTCCAAAATACTTCAACTGAACTGCCAATTCGCTTTTATGATAAGAGTAGAATAACAGGCCGGAAACGGATATGAGGTACACGCAAAACAGGAAGTTATGATAATCGTTTTTGGCTCAAGAAGAGATACATTCTATATTTTAAAGATAAGGATGCTCTGGAATATGGAAGCAAATTTACGCATAAGTGGGAATGGATACGTTATCACATAAAAATCGATTGAAATAGAATGAAAGACATGTAAAGTCACAAAGTTAATAGTAAATAGTAAAATTCTTAGGAAAATAGGTGAATGCAACTATCAGGTCGAATCATAAAAATGAAATGATTTGCCAATTAGTCAACGTAAGAGAGTCACTGATGACGAATGTAGTAACGCATAATTCACGTTTCACACTTTGGATGGTGACAGTTTCGTCGATTCAAAATAGTTATAAAGTGCTCTCTCTTCTCATCACATTATAAGATTGTGATGTGTTTATTTAATTTTCCGACGTCGATCTATAGCGCTGTTAAATGAAGTTGAACTTCCTACGTATATGTGGATTCATAAACATGGTTAAATTTGATGATAGTAGGAAACTGGTCTAGTGTGGTCTGTGTAAGTGAACAGATTGTTTTATACAAGTGGACTGGTCTGGCAGATTGATACGTCCTTGATACAGCAATTTTTATTCTTCTGGTTGTTTGTTTTACCTAATTTCATCACCTTTAAATCCTCATTTAAGGAGCATTGGTTTTTTTCTCGACAATACAGTGCTCTGCCTTCCTCCTGCCACGTTTACAGTACTTCTCTACCGGTCATTTTGTTTCTTAAACACTAATCATTGATATTGATTTCGTTCTTTGTCTTTTATGGAAGCATTCTTCTCTTTACAATATATAATGTATCTTTTTGAACTACAAATGATTATCATAACGTCCTGTTTTGTGTGTACCTCATATCCGTTTCCGGCCTGTTATTCTACTCTTATCATAAAAGCGAATTGGCTGTTCAGTTGAAGTATGTTATAATTATGTCACATTGACTGATTGATAGTGTATTGTATTGTTTGAGTTGCATGTGGTTAATGAAAGGCCTTCGAAAATAATAAAACAAATTCATCTTGTTTCCTTTAAAATATGTTATCACTGCGTTATTCACATCATTATCATCATCATCCTGTTAGAACTTTATGATTTGTGGTATATGCCTAAATTAAATGGGTCCACCGGTGAATCCCTTCATTTAAATACAAGACTGGACTACATTGACTCCTAAATTCAAGATACGGAGCGTAGTGATGGCTGAGTGTGTTGTTAACCACTTCACTTATTGGGGAAGTTGCATTAGCCAACGCCAGTGGATTGATCGCTCACGAAATCTTAGCACTGATACAGAAGGCTATTTTCGCATTCATCAAATTAAGTCATCCCTAGCTTAGCAGACGAGAAATGTGACTGGCTGTCGATCAAAGGACATGTTTACTGCTCAGCAGTCGGCCCTGTCCTCATTTATGGCTGTGAGACATGTCCATTGAGAGTGGAAAACATGAAAAGGCCGGTTAGCTGTCTTTGATCACTGGTATCTGCGTTCTGTCTCCCGTCTTAGGTGGTGGTATAATAAGGTGACTAATACTGAGGTTAGTCATCGAGTTTAAAATAAGGAAGGGAAATCAGTCAACGATTCAAATGGTTAGGACAGGTGTTACGCATGTACGCCTAGTCATCGCCTTTCTCGACGGGCAATGTTAGCTGATTGACATAGGATCAGGTTGGGAAAGAGGCATGGTGGTCAAACTAAAACATGGCTTCATCAGTCAATGAAATCCACAGCAGTTAGTTTAAACCAGCCAGCCAGTCACGTAGGGAGGTTTAGACTGGGTTCTTGGTTGGTGTCCTCAGAGTGGTAAGAACCAATAGTTGGAGACAGTTGGTAATGTGTCTCAAAGTGATCGTTCTCAATGAGTGACACAGATGCATTCACTCTCTGTGATTTGCCATGTCCAGTAAAACTATATTGTTCTTCCATAGTAGCAGTCTTTTTCCCTCAGTCACATTTCTGTTTGTTATCTCTCTCTCTCTCTTGAATCTCCCTTTACTTTCTTCTTTTGGTTTGTTTGCTACGTGGAGTGTGGCAACTCGAACTGCGGCACATCAGTGCGAAATTCTCCGTTGAAACCAGTCAGTCAGTCATTCGAACACCGAAGTAGTAAAATTATAAGCTGCAGTGCTACTGACTTATCCGTGATACTCAAGTAAACTCCAGGTTTAATCAAATTAATGTGAGAAGTAATTTTAAACTATGTTGTTATTTTCTTCTTTTAATATGCTTTAGCTTCATGGAATTTTATCACTTGCAAATACTATTGTTGAAAGAAACATTCCGCACAAGAATCACGACAGCGATTATTCCCTTTCAGATGAAAATAAACAATCAGTTTATTTAAAATTTGGTCTAGTAGTAACCTATGCAACACGTTCACCAATTCATAAATCATCAGAAGAACCAGATTCATGTGTACTAAGTAGAAATTCCGAAAAAAGTGACCATCGTCGACATATGAAATCACAATCTCCGTGTCGTTACAGACTACGTAAACATCGTAAACGTTTTATATTTGGTGTTCCAAATCAATCTGATTATGAAACATGGATTAATGATATCAGTCGGTTGTCTGAAGATAATAAAACAGAGACAACTAATGAGGCGTCAGCTGTTAATGATTCTAAAATGTTTAACTCTGTTCAAATGGGTAAATATTCTGGTAAGTATCATACTTGTTTCACTGTAACGTTTTATGAAGATGTTACACAGGCATAGACTATTGCCAGTTTTTTTTGTTAATACTAAGACTGTGTACTCTCCTCAATATCTGTTCTATTACTCTTATTAAAATCCGACCTAATTGTATATAAATATGTAGATGCACGGAAAGATGGCCCACGTGTCAAACAGGCCGCCTCAGACGAAATCAACTTCGTCAGATATGCAGATGACTGACCTGACTGTTTCGCTTCCCGTTAAATCTCAGTCAGACTGTTTCAAATTAAATAGCTTCCTGTCGGACATCAGTCAGTGGTCTAAACCAAATGGCCTCATGCTGAATCCCTCAAAATGCCAGACTATTGACTTCTCCTTTAGGCATAAACGAGATCTACAAACACTAGTAAGCACTCATGAAGCCTGTAGCATTGAGGGGACTAAAACTGAAACTAAGTCTGACGCAAAATACCCCGGATTAGTTCTATCTTCCGACCTTACTTGGTCATCTCATATCCAAACGATTTCTAAGAAAGTGTTTCGTCTAACCTACTACATTAAGAAACTCAGACTAACTGGAATCACTCAACCTCTGCTTTCACAATTCTTCAACTCTCGTATCTTACCTATTCTACTTTACTGCTCCCCATTAGTCTCTCCTGGGTTACTGAAAAAAGACTATACCATCCTGAGAAGGATGTTGAAGGTAGTTAGTAAGACTAATGGTGTAAAACTCAGTCAGCTCGTCACTACATTTGTAGATAAGCATCTGAATACATGCGAAAAATGGTCTAAAACCATACTCTCTGACCCCCAACACCCCCTCTATTCCCAACTCTCTCCTGGCATCTCATCAGGTAGAACCAGAAATCAGTACAAAATAATATATGCTCGTACAACCAAGTATAGGAATTTAACGATACCATATTTGGCCAGTGTTCTAAGTGACAGATACAATGTTAAGCGCGAAACCTATGACTTCCTTTGTTGTTAATAACATAATTTTGGCTCTTTTATTTCTCTCTTATTTGTATTCAATAGTGAACAACCTTCTTATACATACTTAGCTACTTAATATTATTATCATTGGCTTACTTTTTTGTACCTTACTCTATTCCTTCTTTTGTATATCTACTGGGTCCGACTATATTATCACTATGATTATTACAAAATTGTCCTGTCATTAACCATCATATAATATTAATTTTTGTGGTTGTTCTTTGTTCGGCAATATTAACTGACAATCTTGTTTGTGAACGCCACTGTCCCCATCTTAAGAAAAATTTTGTATTATGCATGATTCCTCACACAACCACTACAAACACCGCATTAGTGCTGACGATAAAAAAAAACACAACCTGAAATATTTATTTTATGATTGTTTAGTGTTGTTCAATCAAATTAACTGATCATGCCATAAACATTCTTAATATCATTTCATAGCTTCTTGTATGATATAGTTTTACTGTTCACCACGCATACACATATCATAGCTTCCACTACCCAATACTGAGATATTATTTACTTTGCTGTTTATTTTCCTCTTTACTTCTTGGTATTTTTTCGCATCTTTTTTATTTTTGTGTTTTTTGTTTCTGTTGTTGTCGTTTTTATATTTATTTTTTTGTAATACTCCTTTTAAATGTCTGATAAAATTAGATGCAATATTATAGATAAGTGCTGAAAATTCCACACTGTACCACCAGTACTGTTTCTGGAATAAAGCAAATTATTATTATTATTTAAAATAAACATTCTGAATTACAGGCGATGATTATTAGATGTTGTCGATTTTATATTAACTCTCTTAGTGGTCTGGAGCTATAATGATATTCAAAGAAGGTGAATATTTAACCGTGCCTCATTCCCAAATTTCTTTCTTACCGTGGCTTACTACAGCTTAGACGAGATTTAGGGATGACTCTACCGAGAATGGAACATGGAACACGTGCTTAGCTGGCAACCATTCTACTACTGAACCATCGAAGCACAAATCTCTCATTGCCTTTCCATCATCCTCTTCTATGCAAATAGATCGAGGGCTGTTGTATTAGTTTAATCGTTTTCCTTTATTATCACCTGTTGATACATCAATACAAACCCATGAATTAGTCTGATTTTCGGTAATTTTACTTTCAGTAGTGAAAGCTTAAAACACACAGTTAATATTTTATCTCTGGGGAATCTAATAGTCCGATTATATCACCTTAGGCATTATGACATGATTTTGTGTTTATTCTATCAAATAACCTTTAATTTTTTCTCCATTTTTAATTGTGTCCCAAAGAACTTAAATTTTAGCGTGTATAATGTTTTCGAAAGGTTTGCGTTATTAAATGGACGAATGACTATGACAAGTTTTCATTAATGCCTATGAAACGTTATTACTTCTAAGAATTGAAACTTATCACTGTGTACAAATAACCATTTTAAGTAAACTGTACTGTCTGTCTCCAAGCTTGATCATTGCCTTCATTTAGAGTCTGTGAAAATGATAGAGTACTAGGCAAGCATCTCGTTCCAGTGTAGAACTCTTCATCAGTACACCCTCCCTTACCCCAGAAGGGAAGAGACCTGAGACTTTCAGGTTCTAAGGCCAGCCAACACTCTAAAATTAACCTAGTGCTCACTAGTTGCTGACTACAGGATGAAGTTCCCTGAAATTTTAGTGATACTCCATGACGGGCGGATTCCATCAAGTTGACTGTGAGTACAGATACTCCCCAATGACATTTGCTGGCAGTGGCGCTGCACACATCATGATTTGGCAGAAGTTAGAAATGATGAACCATTATATTCAGTCCTAGTGGCCGAATGGTATGTGAGTTCGCCCTTTAACCTGTAGATCGTAGATTCGCTGATGAAGAGTCCCGAACTGGGAATAAACATCTGTACAGTCCCTACTTCTTTATTACCAGTAATACAATTATCGAAAATAGGCTATGGCCGAGATGTCATTCATTTATCAGCGCCAAGTCAATTTATTTTATCAAAATGGATAAATTTATTGTAGAATGATTCCTGACCACAGCGACCAGGAATAATAACTTTAGTTTAGGAAAATACATGCCTTAAAATTAAATTGTGTTGTCACACCACTACACATTTGGTAGTGTATTATATGATAAAAAATATATTCGGATTTATCGTAGAGTGCTAAGAAAGAAGAGGAAATTAATTAATGTGATTGTGAACATGTATCGGTTGAGATGTCCAAGAAGTATGTCACTCATGCTAAATCATATTCGTCCACAAATGTTGTTTGATATAAGTTTGGATTGAGAAAGAATTAGGAGTGATCAAATCAAAACATGGCATCAGTCCACATGGTCTTTGACTGTTGGTTTAAGCCACACAAGGAGGTGTAGACCGCCTGGTTGGAGTCCTTGAGATGTCAAGAATCATTAACTCGAGACTGTTATTGGTGTGTCAATGGTGTAGATTCATTCACACCCTTTGTAATGTTGCAGATCCACTGAATCCTCACCATTCTGCATGTAAATACTTTTTCTCCCTTTAATTCGTATTCGTTATGGGTTTTTAGAACTTCTTTTCTTACCCATATGTATGGTTTATGAACTGCTGTACTTGTGTGCGAAGTTCTGTGTTTTGAAAACTCAGTTCAGTTCACAGTGTCAGAGGTTCCAGTAAACAGAAATATTCCTTCTAGTTTGTTTTTTTTTTTTGAGAAATTCTTTACTTCAGATTACTTTCGTTACTTTAATCATTAATATGAATAAAATTCTACACGTCTTGAATTAGTAGTGCTCTCTAAGCTGGTTGATTTAAATTTCAAAGCTTTCATCGTCTTCCTGACAGGTTTCTTAACCTTCTATAAACTTGATGAATAAGTTAGTTATTTCTTTTATTCATTTTTTATTCTAGGAGTTGTTCGTCTACGTGATTCATGTACTTCAAAGCTTATCTATTCACAAGTTGCACAAAGATGTATAAAAAATACTAACACCTGTCAATATCATTCAGATTCTGGTGGATTACAAACAACTTCTCATAAGTCAACCCTTTTAACTTCATCATACAAAAATAATTTGGTTGAATTTTGTTGGCGACAACATTCATCAATTTCATGTATTAAATTGTTAAATATTATTGATGTAAGTCGTATTGTTAATTTACGCACGCTTACTTTTAAATATCGTGTATCATTTTTAAACTCATAACTTCAAAATATTATGGGGGTCTGTTTAAATTACTGGACTACCTAAATTCTCATCCAATATAAAGCATCAACTTTATCGCCACTTTATGTTGTTTTAATCAATAAATTATGCCTTTGGATTAAAACATGTACTTATACACATTTTTAATCAGCTTTAAGTTAATTGTTAATGCGCTTCTCTAAGGCGATAAATAGAAAAAGCAAAGTAAAGGATTGGATCTTGCTTTAGGTGGAGTAACACAGCAGCACATGATACACTGTCGATTATTATATTACTTAAAAATCCTGTACGAAGAGAAAATGTCTTCCAATGAAAGAAGTTGAGAATTCTGTACCGTGTGTAAATACACTCTGAAGAATGATGCTATCATCAATATTATTCTTATACTGAATTGACCAGATAATGTAAGCGAACTCCGCTAATCTGCATTAAATTTTAAGAGAATAATTCACAAAATAAACCGCTTTTCTCACTTCTGTTGACTTTTGACGCGGTGTTATTGTTGTCAGTTGGAGGAAAGACTTCAGGAGAAAGATACTACGGTACGTGAAAACACACGTTTAGTATATGTTATGTACACAGAGAAAAGTGTGCGCCTGCCTTGGTCAGCTCAACATTTATTAAATCAAGGGGATTTCTGTTGCTAGACTGTATTCCAAATCAATATTGATAGGCTTATTGCCATAAAATAACGAAACATCAGCAAAAAGTAATCCTGTTTTTATTTTCCTAGTTAAAATATGATCTCCCTCAAAAAATCAAAACGTTTTCACATTAATTAAACTGTAAACCAGCTATTTGACAGGATAGAGAGAAAAGGCAGGACTTCAGGTGAATGTAGAGAAAACAGAGGTGATAACAACAAGCACCAGTTACCACCTGGACAGCATTGTCTCATCTGCAGGAGGCACTGATGAGGCTGTTACAGCAGACCGGGATCTGGAAAACAAGACAAACGCTTATACTGTATGCATTTTCTGAGTCAACCACTTGTTTTCGTGTTACTCACTCAGCTGCTAGGAAGTCAACGTCATATACTTACTTTCATCGGCCTTTATACGAGCCAGATTGATAAAAATAGTGACAATGAATATCGAATTAGCAGCAGTGAGTATCGCGGGTTTGATTATCAGCGAAAATGTCAGTTCCCTCAAGATTGCAGGCACTCTACGCTGACGAGTACCAATAAGTATGAAACCTAGGTTTGTGGCTTTGTGTTGATTTCCTCAAACTATCTAACACTAAAACTCATCTCACTTATTCTGAGCGTTTTGATAATGATGGAGAAATTGTCATCGTATTTTTAAAGCTGTTCCCCTATACTGTCCACAGCCCACCAGACAGGTATGCATGTGGAGTCTAAAAACATACGTAAGCGGGTATCAAAACGTTTCGTGGTTTCTATTGATTCAAATAAAACACATATGATTGTTTGCCGTGTTGCAGTAGAGTATTCAGCTTTTTTTCCTTCACGTTCCCAGTAGAACATAGGGCTTCAAGCTAGAGGCTTGAAGTTTCTGTAGCAGTGGTGATTATTTTTACATAATGGATTTGCTAGTCTCATACCCAACCTTTCCCCTTTAGCAGCTTTATTACTGACTTAGCAAGATAAAGGAGGGCGTCGGCCGGAGATCGAACCCCAGACCACATGCGTGGTTGGTGAGCATTCTACCGCTATGCCACCGACGCACAAAGTATCTAGCTTACTACCTTAGAACTTATGCTATCCGAATACCTTGAACTAATCATAAAGTAGGCAGAATTCCACAGATAAGCACATTTACCACTGAGTGACTGTGTCAGGACAGTTCGGTATATATCAGTGTATCTAACAAGACTTTACCGTAATAATTCAAGTAGCTAACGCTATTAGTAAAACTTAAAGCGAAATCGAACAGCTAGTGAAGGTTAGAATAACGCATACCAGCGGTTCATGGTGTGTGGTGAGCATTTGATGAATCATGTCACTTTTAAAATCTATTGCAGCAAAGTTATATAACGTTATCTCTGAAAATTCCATACGTCAACTTTTTCCACAACAGTCTGTAACAGATGGTAATTTTCTCTGTTGGGATGAAATTTCTTAAATTAATATTCTATTCCCTTTAAACATGCTACACGTGACCAGCTTCAAACACTAGAACCTTGGGTTCTGTGGATATGCAAAGCTAACCAATTTTTTTCCTGTCCGAATACTTGAGGGATAAATCTAAAGGTAACATAAGGATTAGAAATTTTCAAAAACGGCTTATTTACTACATATATAATATTAATAGAAGCAGATATACTATTTATTGATTAGCTAATATTCCTCTTTAAAACCAAATATATCATTTTATTAATCTGACCATTTATTTCATAGTCTGGTTTTTAAAAGTAATTTATTTTCAGGATGAATAATAACAGATTGTAAAGTGTCTCCTCGAATGTTGTTCATATACTGACAAAAAGAACGAAACAGAATGTCGAATTTTTCTTAATTCTCTATCTTGAGAACTAACGTTTTCTTTCTTGTTTGTACCTTTTCCAATTTATTCGCTTAGGATTTGTAGCTGGATAAGAGTATGAATTAAAACAAAACATCGTTATTTAGTTTTATTTTTGTACTAAACAAAGCACTTCTTTCGATTTGATGGTTGGAATTTTAAAAAATTAAGCTAAAACTTGGCAATCCTCAATTTTTCTTTTCCGCCACTTCTATTCACCCCTATATGTTCTGGGTTGAATGCGAAGACTCAAGCTTTTGAAGTTTTATTAGTGATTATGGGGTGAGGTTGTCCTCACCGTTTCGCTCCGTCCTTCTCTATGGCTCTGAAACATGGCCAATACGAGTTGAATACATGAAAAGGTTGACTGTTTTTGACCATAGATGTCTACGATCTCTTTCTCACGTAAGGTGGTATAATAAGGTAAGTAATGCTGACGTTAGGCGTAGAGTGTTGGGCAAAGAGGGAAAATCAATCGACGAGGCTATAAAGTTACATAGATTGAGATGGCTAGGTCAGGTGATGCGCATGCCTAAGCATCACCTCCCCCGACGGGCATTACTAGCTGATATAGGTGCAGGTTGGGAAAGAGTAAGTGGCGGCCAAACAAAAACATGGCATCAATCCATGAAATCCTTGACAGTTAAACTGAGTCAGGTAGGGAGATGCAGACTTCCGGTTGGAGCCCTTAGGACTCTAAGAATTAATGGCTGGAGACAACAGGTGACATGGCTCAAAATCGTTGTCACTGGCGCAGACGTATTCAGTTTCTTTAACCTTTCATATTCCTTTCTACCATTACCCATTCTGTTTCACTCTTATACTTGTCAAACTCTATTGATTCTCTTCACTCATCTTCTTGTCTACCTTTGTGTGGTATTTGGAACGTGGCAACTCAAAGTGGTGCACTTCGGTGCCAAGTTCTATGTTGAATCCAGACAGACAGAGAGGTTGTTAGTCTCATGCCCAACCTTTCCTAGTTTCAGGGCTTACTACAGACTAGGTGATGTTGAGAAGTGTGTTGGTAGGGAGTCAGACTCGCACCACCCGACCAGTAACAACTTAGGCTCAAAGAAGATGCCCTTATCATTCTGTTGGCACCGAGGTGTTTGTCATTTCGTTAAATCTTGCCCGCATAAATAAAATCGGTGTAAAGACTTTAATGATGTGGGACATAAATACGGCTTTCTCCAGCGCCGCATACACGACGACATTCACTTTTTAGTCATTTTACAGACATCACTTCACATTACGTTATCACCCAGAAGTTAGATCCCTTAGTCTGTTGTGTGTTTCTCATTTTCGTGAAACTGTACACCGATAATTTATTACTGTTCATGCGAATAAACAAAGCCTGTTGAAGCGCAATTGGGAAGGAAGCTACAAGCTGCACACGACAGTTAAATACATAAGCTACCTGCAGCTAGCTTGTCAATCACCCGAAGGATGCAGTAGGTGGGATGAAAGATTGATAAGTACCAGGTGTTTTAATGTATGTACCATAACTGAATCCCCTTCTAACCATAATTAATTTTCTTTTCTTTCATTCTTCCTTCTTTCAATACTTTAGGATGAAATGTCTGGTTACTTATTTCGTCTTTCTAAACGTGGAACTGGTAGTAGACAAAAACTATGGGCTATTCTATCAGATTTATGCTTAAAATTCTATAAAACATATCATCACTATAAACTATTAGCACGTTTATGGTTATCCTCTGATAAATGTACTATTGAATTAATAACACTGAATTCATTACCATTTGAACATGATTCTACTGGAGTTGACTGTGAACACCACCGTCATAAACGTCGTCACCATCATCAGCAGCAGCAGCGGCAACGATATCGTCATCATGTTGTATATGGTCAAGCTATTAAAATTTCTCATAATTCTAAAGATTATTATTTTCAAGCTGAAAATGAATTTCTTTTGAAAAGGTAACTAAATTATTTCGTGTTTCTCTTTTATCTCATTTTATTATAATTATTATTATTATTCCCTTTAATTCCCAGAGGAACACAGGGCTTCAGCCGCACGTCTCCATTGCGTTCGGTTCTCTACTACAGGTTTCACCTGGCTCCCTTGGAGGATCAACTCGCCGCTTCCCTTTCGGCTTCCACTCGAGCAATGGCTTGTCTAGTGATGTCATTTGATGGTTTCCTCAGAGTATGGCCAATCCATCTCCATTTCTTCCTGCCTATTTGTTGCACAATCGGTTCCTGGTTGGTTCGCTCATTACCAGAGATCCCTGTTGCTGATCTTTTCTGAGAGGCCCTCTGATCTTGAGTATTGAGCGAAGACAACTGTTAATGAAGGTCTGATGTTTGTTTGAGATGCTCTTTATGACGCGCCTAGTGTCTGATTCGTATAGTAAGTAGCACTGACTTCACATTGGAGTTGAAAATCCGGATGTTATTTTTGATGCTGATTGGGGCTGTTGACCTCCACACAGACTTGAGAGTAATGAAAGCTTGTCTTGCTTTCTCGATCTTTGCTTTGATATCCTCGTCAGTTCCGTCTGCCTGTAGTTGAAACGATGCTTCCTAGGTGAAGGAGGTTGTTTCTTTCAGGTTCCTCCCATTTATGCTGGCTGACTGTTGCCTGTTGTTGTTGTTGCTGCTGTTGGTGTTGGCCAGGAATCTTCATCACTTCTGTTTTACCTATGTTCACCTGAAGTCCTGTCTTCTATGGATGCTTCACCAGAAATCATTACCATTTTCTAGTCTCATATGAATCCAGTAGCACCATTGAAGCAATCATAGTTAAGACTTTTCAACAATAAATTATCTAGTTTGATTATTTGCTTTTTTAAAAAATCTTTCTTTTCAGATGGTATAATTCAATTTTAAATGTATTAAACTGTTCAACAAGTGAACGCGGCCAAATTGAAAATACACTAACAGACGATGATTTAGCTCTAGTCAATGAATCAATATCAACATCATGCCTGTCAACAACGCCAGATGCCAAACTGATATTCACCTGCAGATCTGTATCTTCTGAAAAACCTAAAGAACAATTCGAAGTCAATAATGAGTAAAATAATGATGATACGTCAATAAGTTAAGTCATTGACTAAATTAGGCATCTTTTCAACTACCTCATTACTTTTATGTATAGGTGATAAATCTTCGGTTATCACATTTTTCTGTCGTATTTTTGTTTTGTTATCCGTACTTCGTTATTTTATGTTTTGTTTAATTTTTCAAAAACCACTGCTGTTGTCAAGTGACCTGTGAATCTGTTATCATTATCATCATTATTATCATTCCCTTGTGTTCGGAGTGGAACACAAGGCTTCAGCAACACCTCCTTCCTTCATTCTGTCCTGTTAAGTATCTTTTAATCGGCTCCACTGTTTCCCATGAGCATTCATTTCTTTCTTATACGATCTCCTGAATGTCACCTTCAAAGAGATGTCCAACTCTATTCCCATTCGTGGGCATGATTCGGGTGGGGGTGAATCTAACACGCTACTTTATCTATCTGATTGTCTCCTTCGATTGCTGAAAAGTGTATCAAAAACATTACATTTATCTTATGTTATATTTGATCATGTGCTTCTGTAGTTTATGGCATTGTAATTCCAGAAATATCCTATCCTTTTGGCTTCGAATTAATATTCTTCTTTTAGTGTGATATCTTATCGTGGTGTATGCGTATTATTCCATCAATTTCTTTTATTTGTAGTAGATACTTTTATAAAACTGTTTCTAACTCAATTTTACTGTATTGTATTCCAGAGAGCTTGTTTTTTTAAAAAAATATTTCACTATATTCATACACACACACACCTCTGTACATGGAAATGGGCGCCCATTATCTTTTATAATCTCTCATAATCCCTTTCTCTCTTCTTACCGGAAATGCTCATTCGTTTAATTTCTTCTATGATTGATAATCATATGTATGGTCTTGTCACTTATTTTATTTACATGTATTCTCTGTGATTTTGTACATTTCTTATTATACACTGAGATGTGTAGCTTAGGCCATTCTCGTCTAGTTTTTACCTTAATGCTTTAACATGTTTGACCTAACCTGTTCCAGATTTACTACAGCAAAGTAAAATTATCCCTATAATTATTACGGAAGATAGTATGAGGTGTAGCTTCTCTATAGCACACTTTCTTTTCATGTGAATGAAGTGTAAATTATTGTTAACAGAATTGTTTATAAATGTGCAATATTATCAGATGATACTGATTAACCTTCATACAAATAAATGAGAAAATGTTGTACATATATCTATCTATGTTTTCCTTATATGCTGTCGACAGCATCCATGATTAAACTGTCTGTTTCATAATAATAATAATAATTGATAAACTTAAAATCACACGGAAAAGCTGCTTCTCGCCTACCACAGCTTCTAATATGTGATTTCTGTGTTCTTATTAGATTATCATGCTTGTAATTGAAGAAACACATTCCTGACAGTATAATGTATCTTGAACTTCCATTAAAATGTAGACAAGATTAATTCAAACAGACCTGTATTCGACTAGATATGTCATATTCAGGTTAATAAATTATATTCCTGTCGGTTTGTTTTAGGTTTTCTACTCTGATCTACATTAATAATAGGATTATAGACGTAAGTAGGTCTGTAACAGCAGAAGACAAAGGCCAGGCAACAGGTCGTTTTACTAAGGAAATCAACACGTATTTATATGTATTTCATGTACATTATTGTAGCTTATTCAAGCGAACAAACACATTCTTCTGATTGTTTGTTTCTCCCAGGAAGTTGACCTTGCATCTCTTAGTGACTGTTTCTTGAATGTCAGGTCATCTCTATGTTAACTGTATCTGCCTACGCCAAGTCTGCTCTGATTGGTTGTTGAATCAGTCTTGTTCATATTTTCTCACGCCCAATATTGTGGACACAAACATTGACGTAAATAATTGTCTACCAATTTGGCTAACAGTCTGCTCTCACCACAGGTCAGTTGAATCAACAGTCTACAACTTCTTCGATATTTGGTGATAACTTATGCTGTTGTAGTAGAGTGGCTAATGAGCACACACTCGTTTAAACACTTGTAGTGCACATTGTACCTTTGAACTTTTGTTTAAACTGACTCACCCACGGTGATCCACGTTTTACCTTTTGAGTTGTGAGTCTTCCGTACGTTCATTGGTTCGCTCTCTTGTTGTGCTCTCTTTTCACACACTCTCCGAGCCTACCTCCAGCAACGTCTGCAGCTAAGTTGTACAGTCACTTTATTTATTAAATCTGTTATTCAGTTACGTTAAATACAACTCATACTAAGAATTCTTTCCATTGTTAGCTTTTAAACTTTGATTGAGTTAATCAGTACTTACACGTTAGGTAGAGTACTGGTAAAGTCATAAGACGGTGAAGTTTTTAGTAAGTGTGGTGATATCGAAGACTATCTTAAGTCTAGCTTCAACACTTACAAGTGGTGAGCCCGTTTTCACCGTTTTCCGCCAGAGTAGCTTAACGTGTTAACAATTCTTTTTACGTACCGTTTATTTTGTTATTTTTTTTCTTTTCACGCACGGTTATAAAGATTTGATTTGTTTTCTTTGTACTTATATTGTTTTTTTTATCACCTTGTTAATATTGTGCCCTGTGTGCAAGATGGCTGACAACAGTTCTGCGTCAGAGATGGCTATAACGCTGCAACTCCCCGCCTTCTGGACACATCGTCCAGCTGCATGGTTTAATCATATAGAGGCTCAGTTTGCCATTAGACACATACACTCACAAGAGACCAAAGTAAACCACGTGATTGTGAGCCTACCCGAAAGTGTCATAGACGAGGTGGCTGACGTTCTCGCAGATCCGTCTCCGGATCGGTACGAGCGGCTCAAACAGGCGTTAATTCAACGAGTCGCACTTACTGACCAACAGAAAGTGCAGGAACTTTTCCGCGATGTTCAGTTAGGTGACCGCAAGCCCTCACAAATGTTGAGGCAGATGAAGCAGCTAGTGGCGGACTTTAAAATTGACGAGGTTTTTCTCAAACAACTTTGGCTTCAAAGATTACCTCAGGCAGTCCAGGGTATCTTAGCACCGATCTACAAGTACCCCTTACAGGAGATAGCCGAGGCAGCTGATAGAGCCGTAGAGGCCATCAATCCCAAAATTGGCATTTCCGCAACAGTAACTGCTGCTCCCGCTCAGACTAAAGATTCGTCTGATGGGGGGTCATCAAGCTTTGACGCGGTGGCCCATATAGCCAAGCTATACGAGGAGATCTGTAGTATACGACAGGAGATGAACTCCAGGAGTCGTGGACGCAGTCCCTCGAGTTCGCGTAGTAGTAGACCCTTGCCACGTGCTAGCAGCAAGCGCCGACAGTCCCGAAGTAACCAGCCTGGAGTGTGCTGGTATCATCGACGTTACGGAGCAAAAGCCCAAAAGTGCACTCGCCCGTGCACCTTCGATGTTCAACAGTCGGGAAACTAGCAAGCCAGCACGTACTGGCGACTAACGTCGCTGGCGAACCACTCTCATGTCGCCTCTTCTATGTTACCGACCGTAACACTGGGATACGCTTCCTAATTGATACCGGAGCAGAGGTCAGTGTAATCCCACCCACAGTAGAGGAGCGCAGGCGGCCAATGTCTCTTCAACTACGAGCCGCAAACGGTTCGCCAATTGCTACGTTCGGCAGGCGCTTTATAGATCTTAACATCGGTTTGCGTCGTTCACTTCGTTGGGTCTTCCTGGTGGCAGACGTTACCACAGGTATAATTGGCATGGATCTATTGCAGCACTACCAATTACTGGTAGATACAGGTAATCATAAGTTAAGAGATCCTGTCACAAACCTCTCCGTCAGCGGTATCGTCACACAAGGCCCAGCCCTCAGCCCTGTATATGCCACACCCACTAGCACTGGTCCTTATTCGCATATACTGCAGTCTTTTTCAGATTTGTTCAAACCTAGCAGCGGCCTGCCATGTGCGACTTCCAACGTCAAACACCATATTGTCACTACTGGCCCGCCAGTTTTCGCAAAGCCGAGGCGACTATCCCCAGAAAAACTAAAGGTTGTCAAAGCGGAGTTTGAGCATATGCTAGAAATGGGGATTATTAGGCCATCCAGCAGCCCGTGGTCCTCACCGTTGCACCTGGTACCTAAGAATAACGGTTTAGATTGGCGTCCTTGTGGCGACTACCGCAGACTAAACGCACAAACTGTTCCCGATCGCTACCCTGTCCCTCACATACACGATTTAACCGCCTCACTCAAGGGAGCTCGAGTATTCAGCAAACTGGACCTTACACGGGCTTACTACCAGATTCCCGTCGACCCCGAGGATATACCTAAGACTGCTGTGATTACACCGTTTGGCCTGTTCGAGTTTCTTCGAATGCCTTTTGGCTTACGGAACGCTGCACAAACCTTCCAGCGTTTTATACATGACGTTTTGCGCGGGCTTGATTTCGCCTTCGCCTATCTGGACGATATCTTGGTAGCTAGTCCAGATGAAGCCACTCATCAACTTCATTTGCAGACAGTTTTCCAAAGACTTGTGACACACTCCCTCACACTCAACTTGCCGAAGTGTCAGATTGGAGTCACTTCCCTGAAATTTTTGGGACATAGGATAGACAAAGATGGAATTTATCCGTTACCTGACCGGGTAGAAGCTATTCAAAACTTCCCTCTACCCACTTCTCCCAAGGCACTACGCACTTTTCTCGGGATGGTTAGTTACTACCGTCGCTTTATCCCACAGTGTGCTCATATCGTGACCCCCTTGACTGACATGCTTAAAGGGAAATGCAAGTCTTTGGTGTTCACTAAGGAAGCCTCGACAGCTTTTGCAGCTATCAAGAAAGCTATTGCTGACGCCACAATGTTGGTCCATCTAGATGTTCAACTTCCAATCAGCATCTCCGTAGATGCCTCTAATACTGCGATCGGAGCCGTCCTTCAACAGCGTATGGCTAATGTATGGCTACCGATTGCTTTCTTTTCACGTAAACTTACCGCATGCGAATCTCGATACAGCACATTCGGTAGGGAACTTCTCGCTGTCTACGCTGCTGTCAAGCAT